GGTGGGCCTCGTGCATCTTGCTTTTAGAACGACCTGGTATCACGGCGACACCGCTTGTAGCGATTGTTCACATAACAACAATGACTTTCACCGGCAGATTTTACTCATACCTGTCCAGAAATTAATGAACCAGAGTACCTATCAAGAGGCCGCCAAGGGGTCCTACAGATCCGACAAGGTCGGAATGGTATATTGCAACCTCGTAGCTTCTTTCACCCCACGTGTCAGGATGACTTTGCCAGAACTCGCAAGGCTTTGCGGGTAATTCTTTTCAAAAATGAGACCAGGCTGCAAGTGCTGCGCACTTCCTTCTTGACAAATCAGGCAGCCCATTTGGCAAGTCGTTTGCGGCGATATGCTAGCTGAACACTGGTAAAAGGCGCACGTGACCGCGCGAGGAACTAGAGCCACGATCCCACGTGCCTTGGTTGCCTTGCGCGTTTGATACATTCTTTATCCCACAGGCGAAGACGTGACAACGTCTGCTCCTAGGGCGAGTTCTCTAGTAGTACACTTGCCAAAACCATTCAGGGTCGCAGAGCTTCTTCTCACTCGCCAATTTCGAAGCCGATTACATCGTTATACCTTCGGCGGCTCACCGCCGCACCGAGTCAAGATGTCCCAATTCACAGGTACAATGGCCTAGTTCGCAGCCCCTGTTGAGACATCGCCAGCTGACCTCATTTGCAGAAGCCGACAAGATTCGCATACTCGTCGCCACTGACAACCATGTTGGCTACGAGGAGCGAGACTCGATCAGGAAGGATGATAGTTGGCAAACGTTCGATGAGATCATGAATCTTGCCCGGACGGAAGATGTAAGCCGGACACAGAAACAGACGGGCACACCCACTTGCAGCATGCTGACCAAGAGCTAGGTTGACATGGTTCTGCTTGGAGGGGACCTCTTCCACGAGAACAAACCTTCGAGAAAAGCCCTGTTCAAGGTGATGCGGTCCCTCCGGAAGAATTGTCTCGGTATGAAACCGTGCGAGCTTCAGTTCCTGAGCGACGCGAGTGAGATCTTCGAGGGCCATTTCAGCCACGTCAACTACGAGGACCCGGATATCAACATCTCGATTCCAGTCTTCTCCATCCATGGAAACCACGATGACCCGAGTGGGGACGGCGCCTTCTGCCCGCTGGATATCCTCCAGTGCGCAGGTCTGGTCAACTATTTTGGACGCATCCCCGAGGCCGACAATCCTCAGGCAAAACCCGTGCTCCTGCAGAAAGGGCAGACGAAGTTGGCACTTTACGGTCTAAGCAATATTCGGGATGAGCGCATGTACAAGAACTTTCGGGATCACAGAGTCAAGTGGTTCCGGCCCAACGTGCAGTCTTCCGACTGGTTCAACATGCTTGCTGTCCATCAGAACCACGCTGCTCATACGCCGACAAGCTATCTGCCCGAGGGCATGCTGCCAGAGTGGCTGGATCTCGTTGTTTGGGGCCACGAACACGAGTGCCTGCTAGAAGAGCTATCCTACAACCCGCAGACTGGGTTCCATGTGATGCAACCAGGTTCATCAGTTGCTACATCACTCATCCCTGGAGAAGCTGTCCCTAAGCAAGTGGCTGTGCTCAGCATTACGGGCAAAGAGTTCACAGTCGAGAACCACAGACTAAAGACAGTTCGGCCTTTTGTGACCCGTGAGATCCAACTTGCGACAGATGCAAGGTTTAAGGGACTGGACAAGAAGAAAGACAACCGGCCAGAGTTGACCCGAAGACTTATGGCCGTGGTCGAAGAGATGATCAAAGAAGCGAATGACGAGTGGCTATCCATTCAAGACGACGAGACGGAAGTACCTGAGAACGAGCGTCCTCTCCCACTGATACGTCTTAAGGTGGAGTATACACCTTCCGAGGGTGGTTCATACGACGTGGAAAACCCGCAGCGTTTTTCGAATCGATTCGCTGGGAAGGTTGCGAATACAAATGACGTTGTCTACTTCTTCAGGAAGAAGAAGGCGGCTTCCAGTGCGTCCAACTCTCTTGCACGTATACACCTTTGCTAACTCTGCAAACAGGAACAAACAAAGATGCCACCCGCATCCCTGAATTGGCTGAAGGTGGCGATCAAGACACTATCAAGGTTGATGAGCTGGTCAGTCAGTTTCTCGAGCACCAGTCACTCAAGATCCTACCGCAAGCTCCCTTCGGGGACGCAGTGAACCAGTACGTGGCCAAAGACGACAAGCATGCTATGGAACAGTTCGTTACCGATACACTTGCTGGCCAGGTAAAACACATGCTTTCCCTTGATAATGACGACGATGATGACAAGGAAATGGCCGTCTACAAGGCGAAGCTGGAGCAACAGTACAGGGCAGGGTTGCTCAAGAACCGGCGAACAACAGTAGTCAAGCCACGGCCAGACGACTGGGACTCCGATATGGATGGTCATTGGGAGGACCAGGAAGGCGTCGTTGTTACAGCAGAAGAGCCTCCGGCCGAGGAGCTGCCAATAACGGCTAGGAGTCGGTCTAAGAAGACTACACAAATCGTCGAGGACGAAGATGAGGACATGAATGATGTGTTTGCAGAAGAGGAGGCGCCGGCACCGAAACCGAGAGGACGAGGAAAAGCTGCGGCGAAGCCTGCTCCAGCTGCGAAGGCCCCTGCCAAGAAGCCTCCGGCCAAAACACCTGCTAAAGGACGAGGCCGCAAGGCGGTCTTTGAGGAGGAGAGCGACGATGACGATGTCATCATAGAGGACGAGGAGCCGGCGCCTCCTCCTGCTAAGCGCGCCGCCGCAACCAGGGCACAACCGGCAAGGTCACAGCCGTCCCGGACTGCTGCCGCTCAGTCACAGGCTAAGATGAAGCAGTCGACACTGACCTTTTCTCAGAAGGCCAAAGCTTCGGAGGCGGTGGAGATCAGTGATGACGAAATCTCAGATGATGATTTCGAGGCTATACCCGTGAAGAAGACAACACGAAAGAGGTGATAACATGATGCGGCACAGAGGATTGCTTCATTGTGGCAGCTGGCGTACGATCATATATGATCAGGCTATAGCCGGTACACGAAATGGACTATGCTAGGCGTAATCTTGCTCCTCTTGGTCAAGGCTTGCAATGATCGGCTTGAGCTGCGCTACAAGCGCGAGGCTTTGATGTATGTAGCCCTAAATAATGTACTCCTGGTGAAGACAATTGCTCGGATCCAATACGTGACACATTTCTCACCTGTGACTTGGATCCGATGCTTGGAGGCCAGCAGCGGCCCCTGGAGCAAAGTCGAGTGTCCGAAACCCAGCCAGCGCCGCCAGCTCCCCCTTGTCGCTTGTCTTGCGTTGCCCCACCACAGGAAATCCCAAGGGCCGACAATCAGCCGCCCCGCCAACGCATCCAGGTTTTCTTCGCGCCTGGGCTATCGCGTACTTTTCCCTTTCCTTCCCCTTCTCATATTAAATTGTACACGGGCACACTTTATTGTAGGTGAGCTCGCGCGGGTTTTCCTGCCTCCAGTCGAGTCTATCCTCTATCTTGTGCCCAAGAGCATTACTATTATTGACGCCGTTTATGGAAGCATGTGAGAGCCCTCCCTACAAGGAGGCGCCCGAGGAGCGATGCCTCTTACCGCCGGTCGTTACATACCCACACACGGGTGCTCTTTGCACTGATTGACATGCTTACTTTGGCGCGAGCGATGTGTCTTGGGAGCGCGATCTCTGTTTGGGTTTGAGCTTGGGGAGGCCTTGGATCCGCTGCGCTCTTGGGCTGAGCATCATGGATGCCTGGCCTAGATGATGATGCACAATGGTCGTGGCCTTCCCACGGCTTGTGCGAAGAACCCTTGCTGCAATACCCGGCATACGGTAGATGTAATTGGCCAGCTGTAGGTGAGATGCTCTGTGGCCTCGCCTCGGATTCTGAGGCTCTCGCAAGCGGCCGGGAGTGTGGCTTCCAATTTGATTATTACAGGTAAGCTATCATCTTTTTCATTTCATGACGAGCACCACATATTCCATGATGAAATTCTCTTTAGAGGCTGTTTATGACTCGTTTCGACGATCATGATTAATCTCAACACCATTGTTCTATCTTTTCCTGATATATCTCCCTTCCATCGATTGCACAGTTATTGGACACGCAGCGAGGTTGGACCATTGACTGACTGTAATATTAGGTTTCCAGCCACATACTTTTGCAAGGTGTTTGATGTTGCGCGTGCACAGCCTATTGTAAAAACAACAGCAAACAAGCATCCGAAAGGATTGTATGAAAGTCGCTTTGTCCGAGATTAAACAGACTTGCCGAGGATGAAGGTCTCGGACCTGACAGCAAAGACAAGATGGTAGGTTCTAGATAGACAAGTCATGTGGAAAAGCAATCACTCTACCCTGCGTGCACGGACTTGAAGCAGTGCAGGTGGCTTTTAGAAGTTTATCGGAAATAGTACACCGAATGATATCTTTGTCCTGTCGTTCACGAAAGGCTCCCAAAACTCATAATACTCGAGTGTTACGTCACTGTGATCCTCAGTATGTCCGACAAATACAGGCCTACGATCTTGATCTTCAGCGTTGGCGAAGTCGAGGGTGGCCTCAAGAAGATCAAGGAGAAAGCCGACGTTCACCAGGCGTCCTTCTCGCGGCCGAACGCATGTGCAGATCTCCTCAAAGCCCACCCCTCGGCTCAAGCACTCTGGATCGTAGATCCAGACATCGCCAGGCAGGATCACAAGCTACTGTCCAAGCAGGTCGTCGCCTATGTTCGGAACGGAGGCACCGCAATCATAGGCGGTTGGTTCGTCGCAAGCGTCACGCCGCTGGAGTTCGACGAGTGGATGGAGAGTGACTGGAACCTGCCCTGGAGGTTCGGCCAGTACGAAACAACGACAGTGGTCTTTCAGAGCTCGGCCGTTGGGCCTCGCGATCACTGGCGGGACGGCTTGGCTGCCGCCTACAGCCAGAAGGGCGTGTTCCTGAAGAACGTCGCCGCCACGGACTCCTGGTACGCGTCGCCGCCCGGCTCCAAGAGCGAGTCACGAGTCTTTGGGCCTCTGCCCATCGAGAGCCAGACGTCCATGGCTTTTGGGAGGGTCGGCCAGGGCTGGCTGGGCTTCACCGGGGATATCAACAACGTGACCGAGACCAACAATGCACTCCTGGCGATGATGGGGCTCAACGGGAGAGACATCTATGACAAGTGATTCGACACCGGCTCAGCGTGCTTCGGGCTGGTTGGCAGTGCATCACTGCTCGAGTCTAGGTGCAGCCCCAGAAGGATGGATTGAGTCGACTTTATACTCTGTGAGGGCTTCTGCAGCGACCTGCTTCGTTTAGCATATCTATACATGTTTAATACAGCTAGCGTCATCCCCTAAAGTTTACCTACTTGAATATAATACAAGTTCGCCAAAGCAGAGCCTGCTAGGAGATTTTGTATGTGAGCCTCCTAGATAGAATGTGACAGTTGACATGCCTGGGAGATTCCCTGATCACAGCCAAAACGTGCACATCTCACCGCTGCCGCCGGTCTTTGATAGGGAATAAAAGAAACCCCTGCCGCCGAGGTGAGATGCTAAAGCGCACTAGCGCAGTATGCTTGACTGACACCAGATCCGTCATCTCTGTAGCTCTCCTTCTTCGCCCAACCGCCGCCGTGCCAACGGGAATCGCAGCCCCCAGGCGACCATGTACGAGCCCCTAGACTCAGCAGCTGGCCATGTTCGGCTACTGATTCTTGAGCCGGCCAGGAAGCTGGAGGCCCCCTTACAATGCAGCCTCATCCACGCGAGTCTCTCGGAAGAGCCCGATTACGAGGCCCTGTCGTATACTTGGGGAACAAAGGGTCTCGGAGGAAGTATTGTCGTCAGTGGTACCCCGGTTGATGTATTCGAGAACCTCGAGGCAGCGCTGAGACGGCTGCGGCTCTCCAAAAAGTCGAGGCGTCTCTGGATAGACGCCATCTGCATCAACCAAGCTGATGTAGCTGAACGCCAGCAGCAGGTGCCGCTCATGCAGAGAATCTACGAGCAAGCCCGACAAGTATGCATCTGGCTAGGCGAGAGCTCAGAGGCCTCCGAATTGGGCATGGCTTATCTGGGGAAGCAGTCGGAACAATGGCTTGCCTCTAGAGTCAAGTCATGGACGGAGCGTCAAAAACTAGACAACAAGTCTTACCGTCCAAACGTTAGAGCCTTAGCCATGATGAAGGATTCCGCCAGTTTCCTGTCTATGAGTGCTACACAGGAGGAGCAGTCTCTGGGCGAGGTTCGTGAGCTAATGGTGCGTCCATGGTGGTCTCGCGTCTGGGTTCTCCAAGAGGCGGTCCTCGCCAAGAATATCGTGACCATGTGTGGTTCGGAGACCACGCCGTGGGATAGCTTTGGGAAGACGGTGGAGAAAATACAACATGGCTCTTCCTGGATAGCCGGCGGCCTCGAGTCCTTTATGTTGTTCGGCGTGCCGTTCGGCACAACGTACAAATTCCCAGACGAAAATTATAGGGCAATTTCGAGCTTGCGGGAGGCGTGGCACTCCGGAGATCGAAACATGAGCCTACTCGGGGTAGCCTTTATGTTCAGGTTCCTGGAGTGCACTGATCCGCGAGACAGGATCTATTCCTTCCTGGGTTTCGCATCTTCTGACCTTGGCAGTCTTATAAGGCCACACTACGCCTCTCCAGTGTCCGTTGTGTATGAGGATTTTGCGCGCTTGACAATTGAGACCACAAGATGTCTCGACATACTCAACTGCAAAAGAGAGTGGTTGGAACTGGATGGAAAAGGTCCCCTCGCTAAGGCCGCCAATGTTTACAGCACCCTTGATCAGGGCAAATATTACGATGACTTGTCTTGGGTGATCGATAAACCGGACGGCAAACCACGCCAAGACTGGGCGAGATTACCTCCTGGTTGGGAGAGAATTGTTGTCTCCAAGAAGTCTCGCTACTATTACAACCACCTTGAGAAATCCACTTCCCAGGAAAGCCCACTGGATACCTTGCCGCCCCAGCCCTCAGAACACTTCTCTCAACGCAGGGTGTGTCCTGTAGGCTGGAGCAAGACATGGGATAATCTGGGGCGAGCTCGCGTCTCTTATGCGCCTAAGAAGAGCGCAAAGCCTAAAGTCGATAATGGCCTTAAGGAGGAGCTCGCTAGGATGCCATCCTGGATACCTAGTTGGGCCACATACACAAATAAGGACCCCAAATGGCTGATTGCGATGTTGGCTCAGGATGGTAGGGATCACTGGTTTACGGCCAACCACGATGCTTGCATTGCAGAGGGTGGCAAGGATGGTCGTACCACGCCACGCAAAGCCTTGGTCCTCGAAGGCTTATTCTTTGATGAGATCGAGCACCTGGGAACACCGTGGCACCCGGGCGACGCCTCGCCACCAATATCTTCTGGTCGTATGGCTGTATTCTCAGAATGGCGGTCGCTAGCGCAAGCTGCATACTTTGGCGAACTCACGTCGCCGTACAGTCTACATGACACAGAATTTGTCAAGGCTCTTGGACAGACACTGCTCATAGACCCCCTTGGCGAGGAACTGGAAGTAGCAGAAGGGGGCAAGCTTTTCCAGGTGTGGATGGATGGCACTCGCTGGGACACGTTGGAAGTTCCTCAGTTCCATGCCATATCCTTGGGAGATCTGATGAGGAAAGTGATCGCCTTCTCGGTGCTCGAGGAGCGTATGGGAGAGTACTATATGAAGATCGTCTGCGCTGACGAAAGCGACGGTGACGGCCCCTCCTCTCAGAACTTCGAGGCGTCGAAGGCTGCGAAGTTCTCAATGCTAGATGACTTCAACAGCGTCATGTCCAATACTGGCGATGGCAAGGATGCCAAGTGGAGCTATCGTACCCACTTGTCGAACATGGCCAAGCAGGGAGAATATCAAGGCGACGTGGAGAAGGAAGTCCTCAACTGCTACGGCCGGATGATCCTCAGGATTCAGGAGTGTTGTGAAAATAGAGCCTTTTTCGTCACACGTAGGGGGTACTTCGGGCTTGCGCCATGGAATGCACGGCCCGGAGACAAGGTGTATGGGCTGAAAGGCGGCAAGACACCGTATCTACTCAGGGAGGCATCCTCTGGAGAGCCAGAATCTTTTAACCTTGTTGGGGAGGTGTTTGTGCATGATCCCTTGCGTGGTCTTCCGGTAGGCCGTGCCGGTGGAGACTCTACCTGGAACGACGTCCGGCTCGTATAGAAGATTCTGCCGGGAAGGATGAGACTCATTATATTCAAAGATTGACGTTATAGGACTGCTCTAAGTCACTCCATCACATGACAAGCATCCGCCAAAGGTAGCCCTCGCTCCTAGACACGTCCAGATGCATGGAAATACGCGTGATCTGAGTCCGAAAACCCTCATCTCACTTTCCATGGCTTTGGTGCAGGAACAGCTCCGCTTACATGCGGCTTGACCCTGCTCCTGATTATGAGATTTAGATGTCGAGTGAGTGAATCTCGTCTCGCATTCAAGTGCGAGAGACTCACCGAAGCTATTGATTACGGAGCGGAGCCCCGGAGGCGGTCGCACCTATGACACGGCACCATTTTTACCGCAACATCTTGCGCCGCCGCCGTACTTTGGGACGGGTCAGAGTCCTTTCTGACCGCAACCCGACAGGGGTCACGAAGGTGACGAAAGATGTGACCCGGGCGGGCGCATGCTGGAAAGGTTGCGGTGTGCATAACAGATACGCCGGACCAGGTGACAATACGAGCGGCGGCTGGCCCTGCCGAAGGAACCAGTAGAATACCTCGGGGGTACTAGAGCTGCCAGCCAGGAGATGACCAACCTCACCATGCATGTTCTAGGCAACAGTGGTACTATATCTTTCTTTGGAGTAAGACGGCCAAGCAGTCATTAATAAGGCCGCAACGAAGGGGCACCAAAGAAACAAGATAGCTCCCTTGCAAGATCACTTAACACCTACCAATTGAGGAGATCTAACGCATTATGTTGGTGCAAGAGAAGCTGCATTCGGCATTCGCCTCCGGTTCAGTTGCGGAGACCACAAGGGTGACGAAAGTACTTGATTCCCCGAAGCGGCTTCATTCAATGGGGAGCTGCGGACCGAGTCCATGTTCCTTGTTGAAAGGGCCCTGGCCCCCAGCCCACTTCTGAGAAGCGAGTCTCGGCGTGCCGGTTTCGTGGTAACCAGTCAAAACGCAGGACCAGCTGCAGCTTATAGCATCTGAGTAAGGCCCTTTATTAGATCTTATGGGCTACAAGGCGGTGAACCAGGGTGTGGGGAAGAGGTTTACTCCCATGAATGACTAGTCCTGGCAACTCGGGAGTGGTATATTCCTATAGCCATTGCTTTAATCCGGAGCGAAGTAACACTATGGCGGGAGGAGAAGCCTGTGACGTGGAGAAACGATTTCCTGACGTATAAATACCTAATGATTACGGTATGGGTTGCGAATACCAGCATGAAGGATTGGAAATGTGATATATTGCAGCGCAGAAGTTTCCTACGTTACGAGAAGGCTCCTATCGTCATGGCTGCCAGAATATGCAAAGCCCCTTTCCCATATCCCCGCTCCTCGAGATGTGGAGCACAACAAAATGGGCCAGGGTAGTCCTCTCGTTTTGGAAAGTGCGTAGGACAGAGTATGTGAAGTTGGGGCTGTGTGGTCTCCATTTTGTGGAAGCATCGCAGAACTAAAATACCGTGCAGATAGGATATAGCTCAAGCATTGTGAGGGACCACGAGACCCCGCCATCCACTTGCATTTACTCGCAGGGTGTTTCGGTCCACGCTCCGGTTGATATGTCTCCCATGCCATTCCACGATTTGAAGCCAACAGAATGCGGAGATAATGCCAGAATGTCTCTCCAAAAGAGGGGTTCATGTTGAGGAGACTTATTGTACTCTACCTGATTGGAGAGTCCCAAACGAGCCATCTGAGGTCGACGAGACTTATATATTCACCTCAAGCGACGTGTCAGGTAGACGTGAATGCAAAAATTTGTGCCTAAGCGTTAGGAATCTCGTCAGACGCAAGTGATTGGATTGATACGGCACGCTGCAGAAATATAATGGGGACATTGACGGATGTCCCGCCATCAACCTGGCCAAATCAAAGTGGCAGCTTCCTGAAGACCGTAGTACCAATGGAGTAAAATTGACGTGACTTCAGTATCCAAAGAGAACATAACGAATCAAGAATGTCTTTGTTAAGACAAAGTGCCTGCCCCATATAGGCACCTTCGAACGTGGGTCGCATAAACCAGAGGTGTGACCTGATATGTTCGCGCTTCGCGAAGAGTGGGCGTGCAGTCTTCAGCCCTATGCAGTCAGCCATGCAGTAGATCGTCGCGACAGTGACAAGTCATAATACTATGTATGGTATTAACCCGTACAAGTCAGCATTTACAAGTCAAGGAGGCGAACAGGCGCCTGTTCGAGGCAATTGCCTGCCGCAAACGTACGATCATCGAAAACCGGGACACCAATCATGGCCAGCCACTGTAAGTGCGAATATGCACAAAGAACCTTCGAGCCGTTCGTTGAGCTGCATGGAACCTTCCAAATGCCTAACACAGCCTCAGCTGCTCGAACCTAGGGTCACGCGCAGCAAGGTGCGTCGTATACACTCGAGCAATCCGGAGGAGTAATTGGGTAACATTGATGTACTCCAGTGGTTTGCGGTGCCGAGATGCAAGGCTTGCTGCACATCCTGAAACGAACTCGACTGCAGTTAGCAATCTACCAGCGGCTCATGACATGATGACCTACTTGGAGTCTAGCCCCCGCTCCTTTCTGTGAGCGAGCCGGTTGCTGAGCTAACAGAAGTGAGGAAACATCCCAGCAACGTACTAGACTGGCTGCAAACTATGTGAATCACTCATGCCTAGAAAATATAAATAGTTCCGGAGCATTGGCTCTTGTACGGAGTGCCCGAGAGCCACGTATATAAGATCCCTAAAAGGTCGCAGAGCAGTTCTTCAAATGAGTCTACTCTATCAACTCTAATAATACCCTCAAAGAGAAAGCATCAGAATGACCCTCACACTGTGGAAAGATCTATCGCCCTTCGGACGACCCGTGAGAGAACCTACTGCACGCTCTCCCCATGTTCTCGTGATAGGAGGCGGAGTTATTGGTCTCACCACGTCTTGGGCCCTCCTGGATCGTGGCTACCGTGTGACTGTCGTGAGCTCGTAGGTAGATCCCCTTCCCATTAAGACCTCTGTCTAATAAACGGGAATCTAGTGCCTGGGTCAGTGATGAGAAACGCCTGACGTCCCAGATCGCAGGAGCTTTGTGGGAGTACCCACCGGCCGTTTGTGGCCAGCACACGGACGCGATATCACTGGCTCACTCCAAGAAATGGTGTATGACGGCATATCACATTTGGGATGGAATCGCCTCAAACCCTGGGCTCAGCGCAGAGTCTGGTGTCCGCATGATGCCGTCCGACTTCTTCTTCCCCGATACCATAGAGGCCGACCCTGCGCAGTACTCGAAGATGATAGAGATCATGGCCAGTGGCGTCAAGGGCTTCTATAGAGGGTCTGAGTTGCTGGAGGAGAGGAGAGTCGACCCTTCGTACGGTGCCGTTGACGCCTATGAGTTGCTGGCGCCAATCATTGACACAGATAAGGCTATGGTATGGTTGACACAGCTCGTCAAAAGCAAAGGGGCAAGGTACGTGACCGAGACTATCGAAGATGATCTGCTGGTCCTTGAAGACGAGCTCTGTGCTCGCTTCAGCGCCGATGTCATCGTCAACTGCACAGGGCTTCAGGGGCAAGTCCTGGCGGGCGATGAGAGCGTCTACCCAATCCGCGGTGGCCTCATTCGAGTCATCAACGACGGCTCCGACTTTCCGAAAGTCGAGGCAGCCCTGACGATTACCGCCGATGCGGTCCACAGCGCAAATGAGATCATTTTTCTAGTTCCGCGAAACGACAATATCCTCCTGATTGGCGGGATAGCAGAGCCGCATAAGTGGGATCTCAATCTTACGTTAGACAGTCCTATCATTAAGCGGATGCGGAAGAGATGCGAGGCATTCTTACCAAGTCTCAAGACTGCCCGCACCGATCCGGATTACCCCTTAGCTCAAGGCCTCCGGCCGTTCAGAGCCAACAATGTGAGGGTCGAGCGAGAGCTGCGCAAGAAGACCAGCCGCATTGTGCATTCTTATGGGCAGGGGGGCGCTGGGTGGTCGCTGTCCTTTGGATGTGCACAAGATGTTATAATGTTGGTGGAAGAAACTTTGGCCGGCATCGCAGCTAGGCCGATGGGAGAGATGTACACTCGACGCGGTGCTTCAAGAGTTATCGACATGGATGAGATCAGAGCTGCTCTCTAGGTTGTATTTTAGTTTTTTTGGTTGCTCTAGTGTATCTACCGGGAATTTATGTATGTTGTATGACACGAAATAAGTACGATGACTTGGATTTGTGCTGTAGTCCAAGGTTTAGGTAATCTGGAAGCGCAACGTACCCGAAACGGGGTGGACAGCGATCATACCTCTCCGTATCCAACTCATCATTCTGTGAATGTTTCCGCATACACAAAGGACATCCCATTGCAGGCCTCCAAGGATCTCGATATCTATTCCATTCCATTGAATGTGCTGTCTGTGCTGTGGCGAATACCAACCTTGAACGGCCTGTGCAGAACGATAGACAAAATCTCATGTCTAAGTGAAGTTCCGCATATGCTGAGTTGGCCTGCAATCCGATCGACGCGTGACGGCCGGCGTGCATCAGTGAGGCGACCATGTGTCATTGATGCGTGGCCTTAGGGCAACAAGCCAGCTAATTCAGGCTAATCTTGGTGTGCTGACGCTCACCCGGTTGCAGTCTACCTATGGCACATTGACGGTTCTATTTGCTCCGTGCCTTGAATGTGCTTGGGTAAGCTGCTGCTCATTTTCAGTGGTCCCTGGGGCTACCTAACAAAAGGTGCAAACTGCCCCAAGTGTAGTTTCGTCATCATCACATTGGTAAGCATGGCGAGTGCATTGCTACGAACGAGGTGTCGGGCCGGGAATACCCACAAAGTCCTTGGTGGGAGCGCACTATGTAAATGCATATTGATCCAGGACCAGATAGCTGATTCAGCTTAAGCCTCATCGATCCCCCTGATGATACAAGCCCGGCGCAGCCGAAGCGCTGATTGTGTTGTCGATATGTTGAATGAATGAGCTGTCATCTAAGCTACTTAGGTACTACTAGTCTTGCTGGTCTCGAATGTCTACGACGTCAAATTTTATCTCCGAGCCCGCCGATGAGGAATTCGCTAGCATCTAATGGACCGCCTCGGCTCGGAGGACCAGCTAACTCAGATGGTACGATGGCTCTTGAAATTATTGAATAGAAAGCGGTGCCGGTGCTTACATAGCCAACTGCCATCACACCCTTCGTCACAGCCCACATCGCGTGGGTGTCTAAAGGATGGAGGAAGAATCCTTTTTTTGGCATCCCGCATGAGAGTTGTGCCGATCGCGTGGTCAGAAACTCTGTCACAGCCCTGACATGCTCCGGCGCGTCAGACACACATGCAGCTGCAAAATACCCTACATGCATGTGTGCACAGGAATGGACACCTGGGACTCACGCCTCTCCGATCCAGAGCATTTGAGTTGCACCAGAATTGAAGCTCCCATCTCATCTCATGCTGCCCACGGTCGACTACCTCCAGGGCTAGTTAGCGTACGGGGCACTCGGTAACAGTCGCTAATTGCGCTAAACCAGAGCTAGCTACCTTGGCGTAGCTATTCCTAGGCTGGGACCGAACAGGCCCCTTCAGCTCGGCTCCTATTCGCTGGGGAACCGCCTGGACACTGCCGCGTCTTCGCGTTCCAGATTCACGGAACTCTCGCCTCGCGGATTTGCCCTGCGTAACTCCATTATTGCCATCCAAATTAGCTAGGTACCTGGGCGAGTTGGTCCTGGAGCGCCCTGCAGCTGGTTCCAGTGATTGCTGGCTCAATGCCGTCCAGCCTGGTGCTGCGTCTCAAGTTTCAATTGCGTCACTTCTGGCACGGCCACGGTCCCGTCAGGACGGGGTTTTGTTGCTTGACTCGACGGGGCTTGACACAGGGTTTCTTAACGCTGGAGAGAACTTGCTCTGGACTGCTCGCCCAGATTCTGCGCAAACCCAAAGCTTGCTGCTTAGGGGCGATGGCATAGCGCATCTCCGCGAAACTTACGCTTGCCGACGCCGAACTCTCGAAGAAAAAAGCCTTGTCCTTCCCTGGACGCGACCCCCACACCACTGGAAAAGTCCCCTGAAAATCCCCAGCCTGCCCAGAACTTTGACCTCACCTCACTCACACCCAGTCACTCTACGACTCTGTTCACCTCCGAGAAAGCTCTAAACAAACCGATCAACTCACTTCCTCTCGCCCACAAACCGACAAGATGGACCTGCTCAAACTTCTGGTCGCCGTCTGCTTTTTCGACGAGCTTTAGACTGCACGTCGTGAAGCCGGCTCTCACCTCCCGACTTCAGTAGGCTTGCAGCCTGTTGATCAACGCGCTTGTACCCACGCTTCTCAAACTCCAGCATTGGCCAATCCCAATATACCGTCCTCATATTGGCCTTGGCTCAAACCATTCTTTTTTCTTCTCCTCCCCAACTCGCAGCCAGCCCAGGGCCTCCTGCTGGTCATGGCGCCTCCGGAAGAGCCATCGTCTGATGACGTCCAACTGTCCCAGCTTGAGGAGGGACTTACAAGACAACCTCCCAACCGCGATATTCTGTCCTCTGTCGGCGTCGAGGACATCCAGACGCAAACCGCAGAGGCGGAAACAACTGGCCTCCTTGTGAACGCAGGTTTGTACCGCCAGCCTCGTTCAACTCCCCATTCGCGCGTTAACCTCGTGTCTACAGTTGAGCCAGCTAGAAGCTCTTCGAGCATCCAGCAGCCGCTACCAATGGCCTTGACTCTGCCGAAGAATTTCGCTGCAGTCGTCCCCGGAATCTACCGTAGTAGTTATCCTCAGTCACAGGACTACGCCTACCTCCAGGGCCTGAATCTCAAGACTATCGTGTAGGTTCCCCACCCATCTGCAACTAGCTTGTCTTAGAGCGCAGATGTGCCATCTTTGATCGTGAGTGCAAGTTCTGATAGTCTCTAGAACCTTGGTCCAGAAGGACCTGCCTGAGGGCTTCCAAGCTTTCATGGACGGTAACGGCATCAAACATCGCATGTTTGACATGGCGGGTACCAAGAAGGCAACAATTCCCTTAGGCTTGATGCGGTCCATTCTCGAAGTCGTCATGGACGAGAGAAACCACCCTATCCTCGTTCACTGCAATCATGGAAAGCACCGAACAGGCTGCGTCATGGGCATCCTGCGTAAATTCAATGGATGGGAGACATCTGCGGTGTTGGACGAGTATCACCAGTATGCCCAGCCGAAGGCACGCGAGACTGATGTTCGATACCTTACCGACTTTCAGCTCGCAGACCTTGGACACCTGGCCAAGAAAGAGGTAGCAAGTATCGGAATGGCCCCGTGGGTCAATCACTACCTTTTCCTTTGTCTTATCGCGGTGGTCTCGCTCGGCATTTGGATTCGGACATTTTACGAAATGATGCCCTTCCCACGAGCGCCGACGAGGAAGTCAAGAAGCGAGTTTTAAGCAGGCCAATTGGCGTGGCACGGCATTGGATACCATCGCAATCGACTTGAGCGAGCGTTCGCAGCAATATCAACGTTGTGGTACGGCCAGGGTAGAACGCGAAGAGCAACCAGCGGGCGTTTCAAGTCACGCAAGTTCTATTTTCCATCTCTACTTGGAAGGGAACAAAGAGCATACGGACAACATTGGCCTTGGCGCCAGAAGGGCATTTGGATCTGGCGCCGTTTTTTCTTTTCTTTTGTGTTCTTTTCGCAGAACGGAGTTTGATCATGGGTAGAGGACTGCTCAAGTGCTGAAAGGTCCCCCGGCGTTTACGGCATATTCAGAATCATTCGGTATACATGATTACATCTGCTATCAGCATGTGCAACGGTTTCGGAAAGCGTCAGTTGTCAAAGAGCTGCAAAGAGGGCTAGAAACAAGACGCTGCTTTAGACCAGACGAAAGAGATTCTGGACATCACGTGGCCTGCGAGTGATAATATAAGATCTCCAAAATATTTGTTTCCTCTTCCCTGTCCCCAACGCCTGTGAATGCGACCAAGCGTGAAGTTCATACAGTAGTATAGTATAAGACGTGAGAATCCGCCGGCCTCGAAGCTGGCGATCTTTCTGATTTGATAGCCCAATTACCCGTTCCTAAACCCATCGCGGGTTGTCCTGCCTCTCGCGCTTCTCCTTCTCCCTGTCGGCCGTGGCGTAGACCCAGGCCCCTCCCAGGGCATTGGCGGCTCCCAACCCGATGGCGGTGCCTCGCACCACACCACGCACCGAGAAGCGCTTGAGGAAGGCGGCGGGGCTCCGCCGCAGGGCCAGCAGGGCGTAGGTGCCGCTGGCGGCGGCCGAGATGCCGGCGGCGTCCTTCTTGAAGCCCTGCAGGTTGATGTAGCTCGCGAAGAAGAGGATGGGCACGAACACCATGGGCCGCAGCTGGAACGGCCGGAAGTGCAGCGCCGTGATGAGCGTCGCGAGGCCCGCGGGCGGCATCGAGTGGTCTGGGGAAGAAGAGGTTTGAGGTTAGCTTTTTTCGCGACGGGTGTAGATGGGATCTGCGCCACGGGGGTTCAGGTGAACGTACTGCCCCAGGCCGAGAGCGTGCCCTGGGCTGCCTTGGGCGGCTCGGGTGTGGACGTCGACATGTTTGGCCGTTGCTGTCGCGTGGTAGCCGTACAACCTCTTGGTGATGGTTGAGGGTGCTCACAGCTGCTTCTTTCTCGCTTCCCGGCTAGATTGGGCCTAGCGGCCGGACAGCTTCAGGTACGTCATACAAGGGTTTATGCAAAGAATTATGCAGCTGAAATTGGTGGAGCAAGGCCTAGAACGAGCTTCACGCTAGTGTCGACTCAAGCCTATCTCACTAACGCATAGACAGTTTGGTCCATCACATCTACCCCTGGTAAAGTCGAATTTGTACGCTATAGGGCTCTGCTCAATGACCAGATTCAATATCTTGTCTAATAGACCGTCCGGTTTTGATCCTCCTTGATCGTATTTATTCTGGCACTTTTGTTCGAGTGTCGACAACAGACATAAACGAGTCTACGTCAAACGATGGCGATCTCTCAGCCACAGGCAAGCCTGAACTGCAGGAATGTAGAGTCGAAGCTGCCTCGTCTCGACTATTGCCCACGTAGCCAATATTCTGCGCACTATAACTCAGAGGAATTGCTGAAGGCGACCTAGCAGATGTAGAGCAACAGTTAGAGATTCACGATCGTTTGCATCAACGGATGAAAAGCGTGCGCGGAGGAACAGACAATAATTTCCGCAACCAGAAGGCAATCCTGTCCAGCAACATGAACGGTGACGCATTTTTTATGCGACTCAGGGACCTCTTGAGCGGCTGTGCTTTGCATTACAAGATGACCAACATGACCACTGCATGTATTCCAGACTATTTTCTGTAAACGAGCACGGAATATTATAATCTTAGAATACCGCTCTATGGACCGCAAGCTTGATTGAATGTATAATATTGGCCAATGTCTGACAGTTGGCGGACATAGCAGTGTTTACTTGTCCTTGGCTTGAAGTTTTATCCTATTTCTGTGTCAGGCCGTTCATGCAAGGATTGCTAGAGTTTGCTTAAGCAAGTTAGAGCGCTGTGTGTCTGGATCCGGGCGAGTGCCTGTTGCGGCATTGGAATTCAGCAACCGAATTCAGCGATCGAAATTGGTTGTATCAGGATATATAGACTGACACTGGCCGAATATTTCAAAAGTCTCTCAGTCGCGGAAGCTCCATGTGCGTCTCCGTAATAAGAGCAACGTAATCTGGAGGTTTTCTGGCCGAGCCCAGCCGGCATGAAGTAGCATGGCTCCGGCCCGTATGTTTCTGCTTCTGATAATCGAGACTGTGTAGATTTCATGAAGCCCCAGTCAAATGGAACAAACACATGTGCCAGACTCAAGTACCTAGATAGCTCAGTATGTACCTATGTAGGTTAACTCGCCGGGTCAATTCTGTGTAGAGTGACGTCGTTGATCCGGCGGACGACGGGGCTGTACCGGGAACGACTTTCGAGACGCAACCTCAAAAGCCTTACCGCGACCGCTATACTGGTAGATACCGCTTTTCGATATTATTCTCACACAAATAGCCAGGCTGGCCACTTAGGTTGGTTGAGAGCTCTCGACACAAGGCTGGCGTCGTCATCAGGCTTCATTGTCCGACGGCAAGCTCGAGGACCCCTGTCCGGCGCCAAGGTCCACGGGTGGTGCTAGCGATTCAGTGGGGCCCAGGCCTGACGCCCCCTGTAAAACGTCGACCCGATCAGCCACAACCAGGCCACCAGACAGTCCGGGCTGCAGGACTGAAGCCACTTTGCCAGAGACGACGGACGGGTCGAGACACCACCACCCGCAACCACCATCCGCATCGACAACCATCGTGAAGTTACTCGGTCTGAGCCCGCCTCAGTCTATCCAAATCCCGTGCCGCCATCCCTCGATCCTTGCAGCACTGCCGGCCCCGCGCTTCTCTTCGAGTGCTCGCCCGAAGCCACGAATCTTTTGCCGTCGTTGCCGACCTATAGAGACAGCCTTGCTATCTGCACAGATATCACCACTCTACCGAGCCCGGCCGGGGTGTATCCATGCACATCTCGTAATATTCGGGACCACACACAACAACACAGCGCTTCCACCCCAACGCAACTGCGACAGCAACGCCGAGCGCGCACACGAACCATGCCCAGTGCCACGGCCTCGGGCGCCGACGCCGGCGGCAACAATGCGCGCCATCGGGAGCACAACCAGGGGAACCAGGAGCGCAAGTGCACCCCGGAGCAGAAGGCCGCCGTGCTGCGCATCCGCCGCTGCGCCGCCACCGCCTTCTACGAGATCCTCGAGGTGCAGAAGACGTGCTCCGACACCGAGGTTAAGAAGGCCTACCGCAAGCAGTCGCTGCTGACCCACCCGGACAAGAACGGCCACGAGCACGCCGACGAGGCCTTCAAGATGGTCAGCCGTGCCTTTGGCGTCCTCGGCGACAAGGAGAAGCGTGAGAAGTTCGACCGCTTCGGCACCGACCCCGACAGCCGCTTCGAGAGCGCCCGTGCCCAGAACCCCTTCAGCGGCGGCTTCCCCGGCCGCGCCGCGAGCGGAGGCGGGCCCGGCGCTGGATTTGGTGGCGGCGGCATGTGGGAGGAGGAGATCAGCCCGGAGGAAATGTTCCAGAGGTTCTTTAGCGGCGGGTTTGGCGGTGGTCCGTTCGGCGGCGGTGGTTTCGGTGGTAAGTCTGAACCCCTTCTCACATGCGGCGGCCGGCTGCCGGACGTCGGATATGCAAATACACTGCTGATGACCATGGGCTAACAAGCGTTCGACACAGGTCCTCAGTTTGTGTTTAATCTTGGCGGCAATAGGGGGTTCCAGGTGCATCAGATGGGCGGCGGCATGCCACGCCGGAGGCCACGCGCCCAGGCCAACGGGCAACCGCAACAAGAAACCGGCGGGTGGGACACACTCGTGTCGCTGCTCCCCATACTATTCCTCTTCCTCTTCCCTCTCCTGAGCTCGCTGTTCTCCGGTGGCGACAGCCAGCCCGCCGTACCCAGCATGGTCTTCGACAAGTCGGCGCCGCCCATGACGCTGCACCGGCAGACCCAGCGGTTCGGCGTCAACTACTATCTCGACCCCAAGGAGGTGGCCGGGTGGACGGACGGCAAGCTCAAGCAGCTCGACAAGCAGGCCGACGCGACCTTCCTCCGGACGGTCCGGACCAGGTGCGAGATCGAGGTGCGCACCAAGCAGAACCTGCACGCCGACGCCCAGGGTTTCTTCTTCCAGAACGCCGAGAAGATGAAGATCGCAAGGGACTACGAGACGCCGAGCTGCGACCGCCTGGCGAGCATGGGAATTTCGAGGTGACGGGATTCACGATGACCTTTATATATAATAAAAATCACGACGGCAGCAGGGGGGGGGGGGGGGGGGGGGCGGTGGGGTGGCTGGCGAGACGAAGAGAAAGCTCCTACTTATAGGCCGGCGTTGGAAAGGGGTGGTCTCTTATTTTTCCCGTCCTTTCGGCATGGCCATGTCTTCCTGATTCCAGTACGATGGCACGAGTCTCCAACGACAGCAGCGGCAGGCGTTCCTGTGGGTTGTGTAGATTAATGTAAAGGAAGGCGGCGATGCATCAGGCAGCGCTATCATGTGGCATTGAGATTAGACTGAATGTATGGCCCTGCGTGTGACGAAGCATTTGACCAGGTTTCAGTACTGCTCAGCTCGTAATGGGCACTGCAGTAGCTGCCGCGCGTGACGACTAGCCCCCGATTTGAGCCAAGGCATATGCTTTTGCTACTAAACAACACTACCACAGCTCCAAAGTGCGAGCAAGTACTTTGACGATCACATACAGCCTTATGATAGCAACTTGTTAAATGCAATACTTTCTGTCTCGTGTCTCATTCTTTATGTACTTTTATGTGATGCTATGTGATGCTATGAACCATGCAATGGTAATTAGAAGGCAACGCCCGCTGATTCTATAGTGATGCCACCTGTAATATGTGCAGTAGTCTGTGTCGTTACCTGCGGCCCCTTCTAGGGTCCTGCGCCTCGCTGCGTCTGTAATCCCGGATCTCCTTGGTCCCCAGGCTGCCGAGTCCACCCTCACTCCTCCGCTCCCATCCGCCGAGGCGGACCACCAGGCAAGTAGAATTGTCGCCGTTGCTCGTGACTTCGGTGGCGTAGCTCACGACGTCCTTGGCGCCCTGCTCCGGGGTCTTTGCCTCCTTGACCACGTCCACGATCTCCTGGTCGCTGAGCGTGCCCGAGACGCCGTCGGACATGAGCACGATGAAGCTGTACTGGGCGGGGCCCAGCTCCGTCCTCGTGAGCTCCGGCTCAGCCGAGACTCCCAGCCGCTTGGAGCCCACATCGCCGAACGCGCGGGAGTTGGCCAGCCCCTGGATGCGCTCCTCGCCGAACGAGTCGGTGACGAAGGAGGCGGCAAAGCGACGCAGTCGGTGCGACTCGCCGGGGGAGCTGGGGTGGTGGTCGCTGGTAAGAGGCTTGGCCAGGCCCGTCGCCGTCTCGCAGAGCAGGATGCGCGTGTCCCCAACATGGCCTACGAGCAGCGTACTAGATGCGGCCGGGTGCCAAAAGGGGGCGGGGGTAGGCGTGGATATCAGGGCAACGGAGGCGGTAGAACCACCCTTGAAACGTGAGTGCCCGCCAATGCCATGTCCGGATGGAGGTGCGTGATGTGGCGAGCCCAAGACCTCGTCCTTGTTAAGAGCTGTGTCGGAGACGTACGGGTCGTCAGGGTCCGGTTTGCGAGCCTGCGCGGTGATGAAGTCGAGATCAGCACGCAGAAAGGCATACGTGAGAACCGACTCGATCGTTACTGCCGGCTCGGAAGATTCTGGGTCCTGTTGCAAATTGAAGTGTTGGGGGCTGAAGCGGCGGAAGTATCCACCGACTGTGCTCTTATACTCCTTTACCAGCTCTCTCTGCAGCCTCAGAGCTTTGGACTCGTTGGCCCTGGCAGGCTTTGGCTTTAAGCTGTCGATGGAGTCTGCATTTTCAACCTCCTCTATGGCACCGTGCTTATTTGTCGCGGGGATCTCAGCCTTGTGCTCAACTTGCTGGGCATCTTTCATCTCCACCTTGTCGAGACCTTTATCCCCACCAGCTTCCCTATCAGCCAGGATGGGCGTGGGAGGTTGCTGCTGTATCGACTTGGATTGCTTCTTGTGAGACCTCAGGCTGCTCTTGAGCTCGAACTCAGTGGCAGTCTCTTCGATGTACCCGTGCAGTTCATCTCTGAGAAATTCACTACACTCACTGCCGCCATGCCCGTCAAAGACGGCGAAGTAGAAGATCTGGGGGTCTCCAAACGCACTGTCTGCCGACGTGCCCTCGCCGCTTTTGCTCATCTTGCTCCGTACCAAGCTGATCGGGGCGCGCTTTGCGAACGCGGGCATGTCTATGGTCCCAGCCTGGTTCTTGTCCTCGTTATACGGGCGCTGTCCTCTGGACTCGGCAGCGCCGAAGTGGTGCTTAGCACTGCGCAACGGTATGCGTACCACGGTCAGGTCGCGCATGGCCGCCATGTTCGGCGGCGAAGCCGCGGGCACAGAGCCTGGGCCTGCTACATGAGGGGCTGCGGCAGCTCGCGGGAGCTTGTGATGCGGGCCAACCGAGCTGCGCGAGTCGGGATGCATCGACGAGGACGGCAGATGCGTCACGAAGTAGTTGTGAAAGCCACGACAAGCCGTGTGCGGCAGAGGCTTTGTTCGCTTGGCATTTCGTGTAGCCGAAGAGCTCGGTGGCGAAGGAGCACCTGTCCTTGAAGTCGTCGATATGGATGCTGCTTGGCCACGACGCGACACTAGTTGTACGGTACGCATGTGAGGTGCTCTTCTTCCACAGCTCTGCGAATGAGCTTCAACGTAGGTAGCGATGAAGCCTGGCGTGGAAAAGGATTAGCGACATATCTCGGGCGATTGTGAATTGGGGTCACGGTCTCGGTACACACTCACCATAGGTGTCGTTCAGCGACCATGTTCCGCATGGCCGAGGACGGAGGGGCATTGTAGGGTAGAGGATACCAACACTTGGGGGTCAAGGGTTACGAGGGTTGAGAGGGCATGAAATGGCCCCGGATGGGAGAGCGACGCAGGGAGAGAAACGCGACAATGGCGGGCCTATCCATCAACGGCAGATGTGTCGGAACTTGGGGGAGGGGAATGAAGCTCGGAATCCAGGATCGCGGAACGCAGCCGTCGCCTAATCGTCGGTTCCTGGAAAAGGAGATCCCGAGAGTGGGCGCAATCCGCAACTACAATCGGGGGAACACGGCCCAGAAGCCAGCTGGAACTGCTCTCGAGGCAACGAGATAGACTCAAAGGGGGTAGGCAGGTCGTCTCGTTCACTACTGATGTGGTCTTAACGTGCAGGATTGTCCATGAGAGACCAAGATCAATTGGGGGGGAAGCGATCTAGTCATGCTAGGTATACAGTTGGAGTGTGTTGGCCCTCGGTCACCAGAACTGACTTGTTTCCAGGGCACTGGGATGCCCCACAGCCGCATCATAGGTCGTCGGCACCTGGAACAGGATAGCGGCACACGGCTGCAGCTCAACAATTGCGCACTCTCTATGTTTTACCAAGGCACCAACTGCAGCATGTACAAGGAGTTGTCCCGGCTTTGTTTGTCCATATGGTCGATGACTGAGAGTCGTGGCCTATATGGCCAATCGATCCTTGAAATGCTACTTTTGGTGAAGAAGGCGTAGTTATCCATGCTGTCCGCTTTATTCCAGACGACACCCTTAGCCGCTGGTCCGTAGGCGTTACCATAGAAGAACGTTGCCTGACTAAGAAAGAATATCCCCATTGTCACCTGTTTCTTGGCCGCGTTAATTGGCTTTTAGCGCGTCTTTGTTCAGTGGGCTCTATTTTTCAGGCAGGTATGACCGCATCTCATCCACGTTACAGCACGCGGGGTCGATAAGATACTGAATCCAATGGAACCCAAGAATTCGACGCCAATACAAGTTGCTTGATCGTGGCCATCGACTGGTGCCGTGAACCCGAATTCCAAACTCTGACAAACCAATACATACTCTGTACTCTTGGGGATCCCGTACGATGCCGATCTGGCCCACCAGTGTACAGATCAATCACTAGGCTCGTGGATAACTCGGCAAAGCTCGTTTGCCTCCGCGGTCGTCGGTGTGCACACCACTCGACAGACTTGAGCCTGACTAGTAGCCTCGCGATTTTTTGGACATCGTTGCAGCCGCAACGACCCGCCTGGACCATGCCTATCTTCAACGTCGGGTCTATCGTCATACAGCTCGTGGTCTTCGTGACAACCCTCGTGAACTTCCACTCCGCCTTGGCCCACGTTGAGCCGGTCCTGCTCATTGTCCTCTACATCCTGTCCAAGGTTCTCGGCCGCGCGCCCGAGGACTTCTGGACGTTGACATGCCACGACCCGTGGTGTCAGACCCAGAGGCCGCCCTCAACGGATATGTAACGCCGAGGGAAGACTTTTTTATACGCGGCACCTCGCCTCTCGATCACCGCGCGAATGGAAGGAAGACTTCGCCGGCCCGCCATCAAGAGCCGAATCCAGCCAGTCTGGCCAAGATGATCGCAGCAGCCAGGAAAGAAAGTTTTTCAGGCAAGGTAGGAATTCGGGATCGAATATGTTGTTACCAGTGGACATGGTTCACGATGACCATGGTGAGATCTCCCATCGCTCCCTGTAATCGAGTGCCGAGAGCACATAGTAACCATTGGCACAAGCACAGGCTACGGGCGGGATAGCCAACGTTCTTCATACTAGTGAGTCAAAGCCCATACATACATATCATCACGAGCGGGTGCTGACTGCCTGGTTTCAGTTCCCTTCAAGTCGAATTGGCTGTATTACATCGGGCTGGTCTTCTTCCTATTCAACATTTGTTTATTCCTTTTGAACTGCATCATGATAACGCTGCGGTTCTTGCTTGTCCCTGGGAGTTTTCGGCATTCCTTCATGGATCAGACCGAGTCGCTGTTTATACCGGCCGTGGTAAGTTTGTCTTGACGTGGTATTCGAAAGCAATCTCGCTGACACTTTGTAGACTGTCTCGTGAGTAAACGCTCAGCGATCCCCTTTGCTCCACTCTAACCCTCAAGTTAGCTGTGCCATCATCCTGATCAACATATGTGAATACGGTATGCCGAGTAGCGGACTGTGGCTGCAAAGGGCAGTGCAACTTCTATTCTGGATCTACGTGGCGGTCAGCTTCACATTTAGTGCCGCCATGTATTTGACACTATGGTCAACACAGTAAGAGCTTCCATCCCAACAGCTTCTGCTCTCGATACTAAGCTCGGTTAAGGATATTTCCAATTCATACCATGACCCCTGTTTGGGTATTCCCTGCCTACCCTCTCCTCTTAGCGGCACCCTTTGCAAGCAACTTCATAAAGGCTGCCCTGCAGTCTGATGCAGGAGTACTCATCAACTTCACCGCGGTTGCGTTCTGTGCCATCACTGTACAGGGAACTGGCTTTCTAATCAGTTTCAGTAAGTGCCCCGGCTCAACTGCCCAATCGGTGTCTGTCTAGCTAAGGCATGGTCAAATCATGCGCTGAGCCGAATGTGAAAGTTGAACCTAGCTGCTGACGCTTAAATGACAGTGGTATGTGCCGCGTTCTTGTACCGGCTGATGACACAGAAACTCCCCCAGGATATGCAGCGCCCAGGCGTCTTCATCTCCATAGGACCCAGCGGCTTCACAGCTGCTGGTTTGATGGCCTTGGGGTCTCAATCCGAAGCTATAATTCCGAACGATACCCCGGGTCGCGAGCATGCTATCTACTCACTGAAACTCTTGTCGATCATGCTAGGATTATGGCTTTGGGGCCTTAGTCTGTGGTTCTTCCTGGTATCTGTTGGCTCACTGCACAAGTACCTGCGTCAGGAACACAAAATGCCCTTCCAGGTGACCTGGTGGAGCTTTGTTTTCCCCAATACCGCCCTGGTCACCGCCACCATAGCGCTCGCGGATGCCCTCAACAGCAATGGGTTGAAAATATTCGGCTGCGTAATGGCGGCTCTGTTGGTCCTTGTTTGGCTGCTTGTTTTTGTACGCATGATCAAGGCGTTATGGAGAAGGGAGGTTCTCTGGCCCAAGGAGCTCGAGCGTCCATAGACATCAGTTTACTCCAACATATACCCCCGATGCGTTGATTTTAAACAGCTCTGTTCCGTATATAATATGGGACTCATGTATATTGAAAGATCGTCAATAACCAATTTTTGTCAATATAACGCGTAGCTAGCAAAATGTTGGCGCCAAAGTCAGATATCCTCGTGGGTTATGTCATAGCGCGATGCAATTTATGTCTATCATACGGAATCCATGTCAACTTAAACGCATACACTAAAAGCAGATTGAGGGTTATGTGTTGAGTTCTCTCATAACTAGTGATCCTCGCTCTACTTGCACGGCATGGCTCAGCCTGATTCTACGCCCATCTGTTGTTGACTCTTCGGACGGTCAATCAGCTAGCGCTGTGTAGTGGACGGGCAGCAAATCCAGGTGCCAAGAGCGGATGACGTCCCCGCCCCTGCCCAGGGCAGCCGCGATTAGAGTCAGAATGCATTACGCTTAGGCAAATAGGCCAATTCACTATTGTTTGCGCCATGGCTCCCAGATGCTATATGTTCGATATTTTGGGTAAAACATAATTTATGGACTACGTTTTTGCCAACCGAGGGTCTTGTTGGAGGCCAATCAACACCAAGAGAACACTCAGACGTTGGGGACAGGATGGCGGCCTCCATGCCATACCATGAGCCCGGGATAACGGACATCCTCGTCCTCTCGTCGTTCTTCCTGGTCCTAAATGTTATCAATTCGGTGCTCGACAAATGGCTTTATTGCGGTCTGGTCGGTCAGGTCCTCATCGGAATCGCCTGGGGTACCCCCGGTGGAAAATGGCTCTCGTCAGACCTGGAACACGCGATCGTGCAGCTCGGGTATCTAGGCTTGATCATGATCGTGTTCGAAGGTGAGCAACGCCCCCCAAAACCCAAACCTAAGATGTTACTGACTGAAACCGCAGGCGGTCTATCGACCCCCATCGGCACCATGAAGGCCAACCTACTGCTGTCGGTATGTGTGGCCCTCACAGGCATCGCAGCGCCGATGGCTCTGTCCTTCTTCCTGAGCCCCATGGTCGGCGCCAGTCCCATCCAGTGCTTCGCGGCCGGCGCAGCGCTTTGCTCCACGAGCCTTGGGACGACGTTCACGGTGCTGAGCACGAGCGGGCTGGTTTCCACCCGGCTAGGCAGCATCCTAAGCACGGCTGCCATGATGGACGATGTAGTAGGTCTGGTCATGGTGCAGATCGTGGCCAGCCTCGGTGGTGGTAACATCGACATCTCTCCCGCAACGGTGATTCGACCTATTTTGGTCTCCCTCGCATTTGCGGTCGTGCTTCCTCTCGCCTGTCGGTGGATTCTCAAGCCGTCGATTGCGAAGATCGAGGACCTGCAGAGAAGACATGCAGACGGTCGGATAGTTAAGGCTATGAAGACACAGCAGAGCGTCTTCATTGTACAGACTGCCCTCCTCCTGGCTCTTGTCGTTGGGGCAAGCTACGCTGGAGCTTCGGTTCTTCTTGCGGCGTATCTCGCTGGCGTCATCGGGGCTTGGTGGGATGAGCGAAGTATGCAAGTCAAGGCTATAACTCAAAGCCAACCCGGTTTTCCCACGGCTGGCACCCAGGGAGTCCGAATACCCTCTGCGGGAGAGTCGGTAGGGCGTGACAACCGATCAGAATCGCCGTCCAAGACATCTCAGGTTGATGCAGCCCAGCCACTGACGCCGAGTTCTAATATGTATCACAATTATTACGCACCCGCAGTCGAACGTGTCCTAAAGCCGTTCTTCTTTGTAAGTGAAGCATTCCACTGGCCATATAGAACGTATTGACCAAGTCTTAGGCTTCCATTGGCTTCTCAATACCTATAAGCATGATGTTTACTGGGCCGGTTGTCTGGCGTGGTGTCATCTATACCATCTTGATGCTCGCGGGCAAGGCCATTTGCGGATTGTGGCTTGTCAGGTTTTCTAGTTCCTTCAAGGATATGGCGAATATACTGTGTTCTCCGGTCTTGTCAGGGGTCCGCGCATCCAAAAACAGACTTCGAGAGAAGTGTCTGATTCACGACTCGAATAAGAAGAACAGCTTAGCCACAAATTCCAGGGCGCAGGGGTCAGCAGTTCGCGACCATCAAGGTCCTCTGGCGACCGTCTCTGCTACCAAGACGACAGAGAAGAGCCCGGCGAAGCCACTTTCACTGTATCCTGCTGGTATTCTATCGTTTGCTATGATTGCTCGAGGAGAGATAGGCTTTCTAATCTCGTCCGTTGCGGAGAGCAATGGCATTTTCAAGAACTCATCTTCATCAACAGCTTCTGATGAAGCATCTGAGATATTTCTTATAATCACCTGGGCTATTGTGCTGTGCACCATCATCGGGCCATTCTGCGTGGGTCTCCTCGTCCGGAGAGTCAAGAGACTAGAGGCCGAGAGTGCAAAAGCCCAACCTGGTAAGGACAGGAGGGACGTTCTTGGGGTCTGGGGTGTTTCCTGATGGTGGTGCCGCCTGCGGTAGACCAAACATTGGTGCCGATCAGCATTTATCGCATCTCCAGGAAGAGACATGAATTTCATTGCGTTCATATAACCATGTACGAGACGAGCAGCTGGCCAAAGTACGAAGCTACCCTTTCCATTTAGTGAGCTTACCGATGTATATTCAACAGGAAGTGGAAGCTGTTCTGACGTATGTCCAAGTACTAAGACGTAGAAGCACGGAATGGATATCACGAATGGCCTGGCAAAAATCAACGATGTTAGGCTGTCTTTGTCGTCAGGGTAAAGCCGCCAGTCGTGACTGATATGATGATCTTAAACCCTATGTTCTATCAGTAAAAGAAGATCAGATATTCGGTCGCTGGGTGATTTGGTAGGCCGTCGGAGGCCCTGAAACCACGCGAGTCCGAATGCGAATGGACTGTGCAGAAGGCGTAGGCAAGGTAGACTAGATGCTAACGGCAGTGGGCTAATTCGTATCTTCCCTCCTCCCATTGGATTCGTGTCCAAGGTGGGAAGCACTAGAACATGTTATCAGCGCAGATTGGGTTTTATCACCTGGCGACTCTGTCTAGATACGTTGTGAGCTTCTGTGGCTATTCGACGTGGCCCTTGAAAGTAAGCCGCCACGGCATAGCTTCGACGCTAGATAGATCTCTATGCAATCGGGATCTGTCGAGTGACAGTGGCTAGAGTGCACGATACCCGAGATGGACTAGACGCGCCGCCACTAATCTAGCTGCAAAGGGTAGTATTACAAGATGGGTCTCACATTCCATGGCGGGGTTATTTTGGCGGCGACGATGTCATAGTGCGACACGGCCAAAAACATGTGTACACTTCAGCTGGTCAAGGTTGACAATCCGAGGCAGCCTGGGAGGGCTGTGTGCCGCTTATCCAGCACCTGTTGGTGGGCTGGCGTCTCTGCACTCGTCGTAACAGCCCAACAACTAATACCACTTAACTAGTAGAGAGTCCAGGCCGTGTTAGCCGGGGCTCCTGCTGAGCTCAGCTCGATCCCTCCAACCTCTCCCTCATTATTTCTAGATTACCCCGCCAACATCCTCCGTAGCCATAAGCACAATACAGACTGGTTTGAGCGCAGCCTGTAGGCAGCAAAACTCGCGAACCACCTCAAGACTCCTCGGGACGGACGCGCCAAGACCGAAGCCATGGCGTCCAGACTTGGCCTTGGCAGCTTCATGCTGATCATAGGCATCATCCTGGTCTTGATGCCCGGACAGGCGGCGGCCTTTGGAGCTGGCAACATCCCCTCCATCGCCCAGGTCGAGGGCCACAACTGGCGACATGGCGACATCGAGGACATGCTCAAGACCATCACCTTCCTGCACGGCAAGAAGTGGACCACTCTGCTCGTCCAGCGCACCTACTTTGGCAACTGGCTGCGCGACTACTCCCAAGCCGTGGACGTCGCCAGCTTGAAGGGCGTCAACGCCGCCACCATCCGCATCCTCGTCTGGGTGCTCTCCTTCCTTGCCAATGGCTACGCCACTGAGGAGTTCGAGGTCACCGAAGAGCGCCTCGGCGTCTACAGGCCCGAAGAGCACATCGACAACCCGCTGGGCTACGCCGAGGGCAAAGATGCCCGAGAGTTCGACAAGCGGCTGCGCGGCCCCGTGGCGCCCGTCGAAACCGAGATAGACAGCCGCACCGGCATGAAGAACTACATCGCCAACGAAAGCGGTAACTGGGCGACCAGTGCGGGCTATCTTCGCTTCAGTCTTGCGCGCAGCATCCACTATGGCCGGCTGTACACCAGTGGGTCTTCCCGCAAGGGCAACGAGGACGACCTGTGCGAGGCGCTTCGATGCCTGGGTCAGGCACTGCACTGCATGGAGGACTTCCCTGCTCACAGCAACTACTGCGAGCTGGCGCTTCGCGAGCTGGGCTACCACGAAGTATACCCTCACTGCGGTACCCAGACCGAAATCAACCTCAACGGGAAGCGCCTCTATCCTCTCGTTACCGGCACCTTTGGCGGTGTCGATTTCTTGCACTCCGTACTCGGCGAGGCCAACGATCACTTCACACAGTCAGAGGTCGACGAGCTAGACATTGCTCTGAAGAACGCAGAACAAGCGACCAACTCAGGTGGCGGAGGTGGCACCAGGGGCTTTGGTGGCGGCAGCGGGACGATGGACTTCATCTCGCTGGTTGGCCAGTTGCCAGGCATCGGTGGTGGATTCGCCTCGGAAGCCCGCGATCTCAGGAGAATGGCAGAAGAGCAGGAGAGAGAGAACGACATGACCAGGTCGAGGGGTGACATGTCCCGCGCGAACGTCAACGTCATCCCAGGTATGAGCGCCGACTTCGACCCTGTCAAGACTGCCGCTCGCATCTACCCAATTCTCCAGTTCAGGGACAAGATTGTCAAATCTATCAACAGGGGAATTGCCAAAATCCCTGGTCTGGAAGGCTTGTTGGAGCACATCAGTGAGACCTTGACTGCATTCGTTCTGGGCCTCCTCGCCCCCTTCATCCGCCCTATCATCAATTCGCTGTCCAAGGTGTTGAAGGACGGCTCCTCTGGGGTTATCGCATCCAGTGCTAATGCTCAACTGGAGCCCTGGAAGAACCCTCACTGCTCCGACCCAACCCACTCTATGCTGAGCAAGGATCACTTCACGAACATCCTTAACTCGTGCGCGGGCAGAGTAGGCGCTACAATCCTCCAATATGTCGTTCCGTAAGTGTTTATTTACCCCTAAATCGTAGCCTGGCTAATAGCGTTACCAGTCGTGTGCTCTACGCTTGGGAGAACACCGGAGTGCCCGTCGAGGAAGTCTGCAACGATGTCCTCCGTGCCTTCCACCACCCTGCTATCCGCGACGAGCGCGTGGAAATCCAACGGGACATGTTCAACACTGTTCGCAAGTGGGCCGATGAGTACCCTCGCCGCCATGAGCTCAACCACGTGCTCGGCTCTGAGAGCGTGAAGAATGGTAAGAACCATGTTCTCAGCAGCCAGAAGAAGGGCCACTCTCACGGAGGCGGTATCTTCGACAACGGGGTAGGCGATCTCATGGGCAAGGTCGGCCACGGAATGCCCACTGGAAGTCTGTGGAGTCAGCTGCAGACCAGAGACCTGGATGCCATGGGCGCTGGCAACTCTTCCGGCGTGGGATATATGGGAGCCAGCTCGCCCCCTCCGGCTCATCCCCCTGCTAGACCATCCGCAGGCGAATCTTACGGTTACAACCAAGGCCCTCCGCAGCCGACTGGTGGCGAAGCAGACAGCTATCTGAACCCTGGATCGCAGTCGGGAGGCTACGGTGGCCGCACGCCCCAGCCCTACGGCCAAGGACAGGGCTACAACCAGCCTGGTTACGGACCACCCCAACAAGGCTATGGAGGCCCACCACAACAATACGGTGGAGGACCTCCTCCTGGATACGGGCCGCCGCCTGGGCAGTACGGAGGTGGCCCGCCCCCGCTTCCTCAGGGATATCCGGGTCAGGGCTACGGACCTCCGCAGCAGGGCTACTATCCGCCTGGCGGACAGCAACAGTATGGCGGTCAAGGCCCGTACGGCGGTGGCGGCGGCTACGGTAGATACTGAGTGCGTGTGAGATGAGATGCTCAATGAGATCATGATACAGGGGTTTGGGTCCAAGGTATACCAGTGCTCGAGGCCGGCGTTTGGTTTAAGGGCAAATACATTATATACCTAGAGAGGCAGCCAGGGAGGACTTTGGATGGTCTGGTTGGGAAGGCCAGTAATGGTATTTTTACTTTCATATAGCAAAAAGGGGAGGTTGGCTGGTGTTGGAGCAAGTAGTTCTTAGCTTAGCATCCTACAAAACACCAAGGCACAGAGCCGCATTTCACATCATTCATTCCGACGACAGGCGAGCAAAGCAAGTAGGCGCGGCAGTTCAATAGTTCATTTGCAGGAATCTCGTCTGTTTGTGCTGACCATCAACGGCCAACCAAAGAAGTACCCGCTTACTCTAACACAGTTCAAAAACGCCTGGCTGCTCAGGAAACCTCTGAGGATATCTAGTGCTACACTGCTGCTTTCTTTGTATTTCTGAAGCAGATCTGGGAGTCGCGCCCACGTTCACGAAGGCCCTTGACATGATTTTTTTTTTCTTTCTTCCCCAGACGGGCCGAGCGGGACGTGGTGCACTTAGTATAGACGTGTGAAACGGGTATCGTATACCAATACGTAGAGGGTGCAAAGATGCTTCGGGTGCGTAGTAGCAAGTCGGCCGGGGCCGGAAGAGATTGGCTCATCAGAGCTTGGCCTTCAGGGCGGATGACTTGGGCGGGCTGGTGGCCTCCTGGTTGAGGAGGACCTCGCCGGTCTTCTGGCCGTTGCCGAAGAAGATGACTTGGATCGTAAGGTCGTCGCTGTTCGAGTGTGTCAGTCTCTGTTCCGCCTTGTAGAGTGGAAGGGATTGGGATGGAAGGAAGGCAAAATACGTACCGGTATCGTCTGGAGAAGGGCGACACAAGTGTCAATAGTGCGCAGACTTGCTCCTCGTTCTTGCCGCCAAGTGCGTTGCGGACGAGATGCGTGGCAACGTTCTTGTCCTTGACGACGAACCTCTCCTTCTCGTCAGGTGAGATGCCCCACTGTCGTAGGCGGATGGGGGTCTTCTGTCCATCGGCGCCGTGGCCGCCCTTGTGAGCCTCCACAGGGAGACCTTGCTGCGAGCCAAAGATCTTGGACCAGACCGAGTTGAATTGCGAGTTGGACTGCTCTTGGACCTGGGTTTCGATCCACTTGCCCACCAGGCCGACCACCTCCTCGTTGGTCAACATCTCCCAAAGGCCGTCGGTGGCCATAACCAGGAAATCGCCCTTTTCAGGCTGGATCTTGGTTGTAGTAACGACGGGTTCAGCGGTGACGTAGGGCGGGGTCTTCAGATGCGGCGAGTAGCTGCGTCCGAAGAATGAGGCTCGAAGTCGGTCGGAGATCTCCCTGCTCCACTTGTAGCTCGCATCACCGAAAGCTCGGGTAGGCTCAAGGCCACCAAGCACTCTGCCGTTATGTATGACGCGTTCCTCACCAGGGTGAGCCTTTCGCATACGAGCTGCCTCATTGGGGTTGCTCCCAGTCTGGTCCTCTGAAAGGGCAGTGGCTGTCCACTTGCCAGAGTCGCTACGCCGACCGAGAACTGCACGAGAGTCTCCGGTGCAGGCGACACGGAGGGTCTTGGAGGCAGCATCGTAGAAGGACAGCAGCGCGCACGATCCAGACAGAGCGGGACCCAGCAGCTCGGCAGCTACTCTCTTGGAGTTTGACTTCAGGACCTTATCCACGCTGTCATGGACAATCTCATTGTCCAAGCGAGTAAAGCCGAGCTTGATGGCGGCGTCAATGGCGTCAGGCGAGGGCGCAGCACCCAGGGTGTGCGCGGCCTTGTAGGTGGTGTTAAGCTCTCTAGCTACGAAACTGATAAGGGTCTGGCGCAGCTTTGCTGAGGTTGTCCATCCGCTGCGATGCAGTCAGTATCTACCCGCATGTAGGTCGTATCACTCGGCTCTTGACACTTACGCATGGCCGTCAAAGACGCCCCAAAACATCCAGTCGTTGATCTCCTGGTCCGACTTCCCTGCCGAGGGCATGGAGACCTCGACAATCTTTTCGGCGTGGTCATCCTCGATAGGGTTGTTGCTGGCCAGCTGGGCGTGGTCGTAGCGCAAGACGCCCTGGCCCCTGTTCACGACGAAGGAGGCCTCGTTGTCCCGAAGCTTCTCGGTGGCCTGATCCGGGGTCAGCATCTCCAAGACGTTGTGTCCGGTACCGTCGGCGGTCTTGGCTATCGGCCCCTCGCCCACAAAGGTGCCGGTGTGGATCTCATCAGCCCCAACGACGAGCACGTTGCGGGTTGTCGCAGCGTTGCCGGCGGCGGTCTTCGCACTGTTGGTCGAGTAGGAAAGAGCGGATTCGGTTGTGTTTCCTCGGTAACCGTACTGCCAGGCGCCGTAGCCAACGAGGCCACCGACCAGAGCGACAGAGAATCGTCGAATGTACATGGAGGAGCGCAGCGGCTGGCCTAGAGCATGTTGGTGCTGGTGATTGTGGTGGCTTCGCTGCGGGGGCGTCGACGAGCACTTGGGAGCGATGGGGGACGAGGACGATGGCGAGGGCGAGGGCGACGAAGAAGTGTTGAATGACCGTATGCCGCTCAACCTCAGCCCAGCGCTGCCGTGCTGGTGCTGGACGAGCAGACTGAGGCGTCGCGTGCGACAGCCTCTGGACAGGCCCCGGGCGGCGCTTTGACAAGAAGTCCGGAAGGCTCTCACAGCTACGCGACGCATTTGGTCCTAGAGGTGATGTCGTCGGGGCTCCTGAGTGGTGAGCGCCGAAACGTTTGACGAAAGACTAGGAGCTGGGCGAGCAGCAGAGGGAGAGAAGGTTCAAGCCTGAGACGGATGTCACCAAAACCAAAGGAGTTCAGATGGAGTCTCCGGGTGGAGTGGTTCGTGGCCCACGGTAGACGACGGCAGGCGGCCCGGCGCAATGGGTCGACTGGAGAAGACGCTTTGGGCCTAAGGTAGGCCTTAGAGCCTTAGTTGTTAGTTAGTGGCTGGTCAGGGGGGCAGGGGGGCAGGGGGCCTGTCGTGCCCCCCAGGCCCCCGTGCATAGGTATCTTGGGGCGGCTTATCGATAAGGAACAGCCCCCCCTCCCCCTGTGACTCTGGCGGAACGACCGAGGCTAATAACTGAGTTACAGGCCGTCAGTCACTGCTGAGTTACCCTCTGTCCCGGTGGGCTTCCCGCTCCATGGTGGGGTCGTCCTCCAGCTGTTGCTGCGCTTCCAGGGTAGTTTTACCTAAAGGCTGGACGGAGAGGTACGGATGAGGGTTCAAGGTCGGGAGCTACTGCCTAGGTTGTATAACATCACGGCCTCTGGGGGCACCATCTTGGTACCCTTTGACATGATCAATACCCGCCACTTGTAGCGCCCCCCTCATTCTCCCGCTGCATAGCCCAGGAACTTGGAAACACTTGGGAACCTCGAGCTACTCTTTCTGAACCATTGTGTACGCTGCGGCATCACGGTTTCACAACACACCATGGAGCCCACTCAAGACGCCACCAGCCCTCCTGCCCAGGAGGGAACGGCGTCCAACACCCAGCCCTCGGCCTTGGAACGTATGCGGACTCTGGCTGCTCAGAACCCAGATGCCATGCACCGTGCCTTTGATAGCTATCCATGGTCGATAGACCCGCAATTTCAAGTGAGGAACAGCCATCACCCATCCCCCGTCCCCGGCCCATGTTTCTATCTCCGTTCACATGTCCGCAGTCCCCTGGACGACTTGAGAGCTTACCAATGTCCTTAGTCGCTACTCGCCAACGGGCTCCTGAGCTCTAGCGAGCTGTCGCCGCCCGATATCGCGCTGCAGTGCCGCATCAGGCGGTACGAGGAGCGGGTGGGCATCCAGGTCGACGCGGCAAACTACAAGGCCTACCGCTCCCAGGGCGAGAGACCCAAGGTCGACCTGGTCCCGAAGGTGCTCCTGGAGCAAGAGGCTCTGCACGAGGTAGGCTGCACCTATCTCCCTCCGGATGCTACTATCCAAAAGTGACAGCGCATGCTGATCGGGAAACCCCGTAGCCGGATGCCAGCAAGAGGAGATACGCGGCCATCGCCAACGATCCGGCTACCGGAACTCCTGCAGCCGACGGAGGCTCTGGAAATTCTCAGGAGGACAGCTTGGACGAGAGCGTGCCGTCGTGGCAACGAGCCGCCCCCAAGGCCGCTTTGTACGTCAACAAATCTGGTTCTGCTACCGGCGCCGCCGCTGGTGGTCCTGCCACAGACTCGGATAAAGAGCCCTACCCCAAGAAGTTCGAGGAGATCATTGCTTTCCTGCAGACTGGGAAGGAGATTCCCGGCATTCTCAAGATACCAGATACTGTCATTGATGACCCGGTAGGTTTATCTCCCCAGCCCCTATCTCCAAGTTCAACCCCCCTTTCTGTGTTCTGTTCCATCCCTGCCAGATGCATATACCTGTCCACCGACTGATCATTGCCTAGTCGATTTCAACAACGACTGGCCGTACGGTACCCTTGAAACCTTGGGAGAGGCAAGCAGTCTCGGAGGACAAATGACCATCTACTGCTGGAAAGAATCCTGGGCTGGAGAAGTTTCGAGAAAATGAATGTGTAGCGCTGCGACTTCAAGTTCCGACAGAAGCGTCTTGCGGGTCTGAGTGGGGGGAATTCATCCTCACGAACAATTATATACTGTCCTAGGCCACTGCATACTACCAGTTGCGCCGATACGTCCAGTGTCATATTTCTGACGAGTTAGAAAGACACTACGCTCATGACTGTCTAGCGGTCAATTGGTAAATAAACGCCGTTGATACGCAAGGACTTGCAAGAAAGATGGGCAGACCATGCTGCTACAACCAGAGGCGGATGAAGGAAATTTCCTCCATCTTACAACAATAACAAGACCTCGAAAACAATAATGCAACTCTCAAATCTATTCTTCTTCTGCTTCTTCTCTCCAGTTTTGTGTGGGTTTGCCTTCCGATCCACTCATACAAACATGTGATTCCAAAGCAGACGGTTAGATGCTGCAGTTTGCCTCCATCAGATCCACCATCTATCCGTCCACAAAAACGGGAGACGGCCATTGTCAGTATATTAGTTGGCCGGACGGGACGGGACGAGACGAGACTAGACGTAGAAGATGCATGCCACAGAGGAACAAGCCTAACTATGATGTGTCCAAAGCATCTGCGGCGAGGGGATAGCCTGCCGAGACGTAGGATGTCGTAGACGTATGATTCCCTAAATCACCTGCGCAAGATGGTCATATGTCGGCGATTCTGCAAGCGAATCGATGTCAGATGTCCTTGGGAAAAGTATGGTGGGGGGAAGTTAGAAGAGGCTGCCGGGGCCGCGACTAGGGGCTCGAACTGAAAAGGACGCCCATAATGCCCAACCTAATACATACGTCCAAACATCTAAGTTGCCACGGAATTTTTTTGGGGGTCGATACATACGTCCGAAAGTCGGTCACGGACCTCATCTTCGGGTCGGTATGGATATTCATATTGTCCTTTTCTTATTTTGGATTTCTTTTTTCAGTACTCCTCGGGGTTTTCTCTTGATTCTGTGGCATTTTCGTCAGCCCATAGCCACAATTAGGATTCGAGGATCTCACAGTATAAAATTTTGGTGTTCACAACACCTGCTTGGACCTCCTAGTGGTGTGGATGAAGCCATGCGCATGCCGTTGAATTCATCGTCAGAAGACATGCTGACCACAAAACAGAGAGCGAGTCCGCCAAACTGATGTTGCAACGACCGCGACATGTGGCTCGAGTAGGAGATGAAGATAGCTTGTAGCCTCCTGATGCCGAAGAATGACCGTGATTGCCTGGATGTCCTGTAGCCTGAGGCTTGCAGTGTCATCAACTTCTTAAGGGAGAAGTACGCTACTGGTAGGGACGACCGTACCGCGGACCAGGCACACGACCCATATTGGTGATTCCAGGACCGGGACGAGTGGCAACAGCGGGGTTGGTGCAGAGCATCCCAACACGAGAACCAAACTTGGAGCCTCGCAGCGAGACCATATGTTTGCGTATATGGGCAGCAACCACCTCTCTGTGCTGGGGATTGGCCTGGGTGAGAATCCACTGGATCAGATAGTTGCCGTACTGATCACTGGCAATATCGATCAGAGGGATTCGGGGGCGGTCAACGCGACCCTCGCACACGCGGTCAAGGTAACGAGTGAGGAACTCACCGCCCCCAATCTTCAGGCACTTCTTAACTACCTTGGAGGCGTACTGGTCCATGCTATATTCGGCAGCGAACCGGATGACGTGGTCGATTGCTCGGCTGCGGTCTGCCGGGGCACCATGCTCGCAGATATGCTGGATGCACCAATTACCGAACTGACCGTGGGCTACGATGTCAATGTTGGCGAGGACCTCCTCGATGCAGGGTCGCTGGCAAAAGTGTCAGTGGATAAGGGAGCTCTGGCTGTTTCAAGGTAAAACACAATAACTCACCTTGTCCTCTTCCAGGCAGTTCTCAAAGATGTTTTGAACGACCAAGCTGCCGGTCTCACCAAGAGCAACCTCGTGCCACATACCGCGCAAAGCCTCATTGACATACTTCATTATCTGAGGAGGAGACTCGGACCATCGAAGCTCAAACAGCTTCTGCCAAACGTGACACGCATATCTGTGGATGACGGTCTCAGGAATGCGTCGGAGTAACTCATGTACCATAACGGCCTTGTAATCCTCAGGCACGGAATCAAAGGCTTTCTGGACTACATGGCAACCGAAGGGGTCCATAGAAAGAGACAGAGTGTTGCCCCGAATGGCTTCAGCGATCTTGATGACCTGCTCTGGTGTGCCATGCTCAAAGCAACGCTGAACTAGAAAGTTGCCAAAGCGGTTGACCATCAAGGGATGGGCTTGCAAAATGATGGCGTCTACGATCTCATATTTCTGATCGGGTGTGCCAACCTTCAGCTTCTGCTGCAGGAAAATCGACGCCTGCTGATCATTGTTACAAACGATCTTGTCCACGATGTACTTCCAGTTGCAGTTGACATTGCGATCAAGAAGACGGCGGTAGTTCAATGGCTCAGTCGTTGGGAGGTAGGTAGGGCCTTCGGAGGCGACATGCTGCAGAATCTCAGGGTTAGCATTGACAGTCTTGATGAGACACGGTTATTGACCTACCTCAGATTTCCAAGGGCCATTGGTGGACGTGAACTCAGTGGCGAGGGGTGACAATGGTGTCCCGATTGGGGCGCCAGATCCATTGGCGTACGGGCCAGGACCAGGGCCCATGGGGAATTGGCCATTTGCAGCGGCATTTTGGTCGTTACTGGCACCATTGTACTGGCTCTGTCCGTACTGAGGGTGGTTTGCGGTGCCAAAAGAAGCCTGACTGTTGAAAGCGGGATTACCGAACCGATTATCAAACCGACCACTTCGTCTGGTGTTGGGACCCCGAATAGTCATGTCATAGTCGGCAGGAATTCGGTTGTTGCCTCTGTAAGTATCGATGCCAGGGCCGCTGTTCCAGGGACCAGAATGGTCTGTCCCAAAGCCTTGAGGTCCACCCCGACCTGTCCACACGTTGGCGTGCGAGGGTGGCTCTGGTGCGTTGGTCATCAATCCGGAACCCGGGGCCGTGACAGGCTTGCCTCCCCATATGTTCCGAGCTTGATTGAAACCAGTCGCCGACAATGCGTCGCTCGTGTCGGATCGGGAGTCATCATAGGAGGGCCAGTTGTTGCCCGTAGGTTGGCCATTACCAGACTGCAGAATAGCGGCACCTGGAAATCGAGATGGAACGTTCGTGAGCTTAGCATCGAACGGCATGGGGCGAGTTTGGAGGATCTGGCTGCTTCCCTCGAGTTGTGAGATTTTGCTTTGGGCGAGAGCCAGCTCAAGCTGCAGGCGGGCGACTTCATCGTCAGAAGAGTGTGCCTCTTTGGCATTAGAACTGGCCGGACGTATGGAAGGGGCCGATTCGCCGAAGTTCTCGACTGCCGGTGTAGGGGGCATGGAGTTGCTGAAACTGCTCAGAGCTTGGGACATCGGGAGATTCAATCTGCCGCCAGCAGCTCGTTGCGGCAGACCACTGTCTTTACTGGTGGTGGTCGAGCTCTGTTGCTCCGAGATCTTCTTTAGGAGATCATCGACAAGGCGATTATCAGGCCGAGGGGACATTTCGCCGTGGAGCTTGATCCTCTGTCTAAGTTAGTCTGTGATTGGGCATGAGGTTGAAGGGTACACTACCTTAGGGCAGCTCTGGTTCTCCAGGAAGGCGGGCGACAAGGCAGTAGATGACTTCTTACGAGAAGGGGAGTCTTCTGAACCCTGGAAACCCAAGTCGTCAGCATACACAACCTCGGCTTGGAGATGGAGCAATCCATTCAGACAGTCGTGTGGGATTTCTCCCCAAAAGAACTGGGACTGTCGTTTGAACTCAGACGCCATCGAGGTCAAGCTTCGCGAGGCACACATCATAAAGAGAGAGAGAGGAGTTGATGGCAGAAGGATGCGGACTTACCAGCTGAAGCTGTGACAGAAGCTGGCGGTTTTCCTCAGACACCGTGGTCTTCTCCTTGACGTTCTCCTCCGTCTTTGCTGCCTTTGATGACTGCGTTCGACGGATTGTAGGAGACACAGCCGAGGGTGTGCCAGCCATGGTGGGTAGCCCGTGGATGAAGGCTGACACTGCAGGCGTTTGATCGAAGGTTCTGATATTGTCGATGAGAGTCAGTTTTCAGCCCACCGAACAAGAAATGGCAGATATCAAAGATGTGTTTGTAGAAAAAGGATAGATCAGACACGGCCAGAGGGCAAGATGGGCTTGCTTTTATGGTACGCGCGAGGGGTACAAGGACCACCAGATAGGAGCGGATCCGTGAAGATGAGAGAAGTGAATCTTGGGATGGAGAGAAGCCACTGGGGCGAAGAACATCGATCTAACCTTGGTGTGAAGTCGGGGGCAAGAGCGCTGCTAGGTATCCTTGGTAAACCTACAGCTTCCGCAAACTGAAGGGCAGTGTGTGCCTGTCTGCTGACCCGGGTGATCGTTGCAAACTACCTCAGGACGATATGTGGAAGGAGCTGCGATTTGGGGTGCTGGGACGAAACGATTCACAAGCTTGATGGCAGTTTCCTCGAGAATCTTGTGAGCCACCAGTTGTGAGCATGCGTTTGCGAGAGGCGGGTCAACCCAGGTATCCCGTTGTGAAATTGCCGCGGCAGCACAACCGGATACACACCAGCAATATGAACTTCTCTTGGCAACTGGGGGATGAGTTTTGACTTGGTGTAAACGTAAACAACACCGTGATAAACGAGAGAATAAGGAAGTAGCAGCCGCGGTGTCTTGACCAAGATAAATAAGGGCCACCGAGTTGTCGGCCTGCGCGGATGAAAGAAATGGTGTAGTGTTGGATTTGGTCGCCGGAAAAGATCACAGCGACGAGAGTGTGTTGGGGGTGATGTGGAGTGAAGTTGGTGCGAAAGTGAGGGTTGAGATACCGTTAGTCGTCGGCAGGAGTAGGATGGAAATCACGTTGGTGACCGGGTGGGATAATCAGCATATGACTGTGGATTCACAAAATGGCACAACGAAGGAAGTCTTCTCGGTCTTTAGACTTACGAACAGCTCTACAGATCTCATAGAGCAAACCATTTCCGTGATATGGGTGTTCAGGAGTTAGAGTGCAAGGTAAAAACCGCCGTGTAACTGGGAAAGCTTTAGATTTCACCGTGAAGACCAACACTCGCGTCAAACTACCACCCACTTCAGTATTTAACGTTATCTGGAAGTCCATGCTGGTGATAGTGATAACGACACCCCTATGTAACCCCATGTCTTGTCGGAGCTAGGATATCAAGGGTGACCGAACCAGATGAAATATATCAGAAAAGGGGTGTAGTAACAGGAATGCAACGGTTTGTGATAAAAATTTACTGGGATCCCGGGCTGCATGATCACCTCACAGGCCGGCTACTCCTGATGTACCGGGGGCCCTTTGTTCTTCTGCCACATCTGGAGTAGAGGCAGCCTGGAGAAGAAGCCTTCTAAGCACAGTGGCCAGCCTTGACCCAAAACGAAGTACTTGCCAGCATATCCAGCTTAGAAACCGATGGCCAAATCTGGCAGGGCTTGCTGCCATTCCAGCAGCGGTCTGTCTCAACGAATTCTTGCTGGCTCAAAGAAGACAGTCCGAGCAAATACGATTCGTCCACAGGATATTGCCATCGTTGTTGGCTCTATTGACGTTAGAAGGCATGTTATGCGCAAGGGGACAACAGGAGACGAGGCACCCTCGGCGAATAGGAATGGGCATTTTTTGGAAATTGGATGCTGTGGAGACCTGACTGTGCATACTCAATGGCAGATTTATATCGTGCAAGATCTGAGGACTTCGATGCCAATCTTATGGCTCTTGAGATGGCCCGGAACTTGGCACAGATCCCCTTAAAATGGCTGTTCTGTTGATACAGAAAACGTTAACATAAATCTTCTTCATATACCCGAATATGAGATGTGGTTTGAATGGTTCGTTGGGTTCTTCGACCTGACAGCAATCAAGGGAGGCCGGGCCCTCTTTCATTGGCTTGCGAGCCCATGTCACGAGGCAAACATCGGGCCAAGCAAACATTTCCTGGCATGCAGCCTCGCGAGCTTCGTTCCCGGCAACGAAGCTGAATGACCCCATTACTGAACAGTTGGCTGTGCAACTAATGAAATCTGAAATTCCGATGTTATAACATTGGAGTAGACCTTTAGAGAGTCGCACTGTGTCATAAAGCTCGGTGCGCATGAACGCTAGAGTTTGCGAGACCAATGTACGACGGTCTTGAGAAGTTGCTGCCACATTTAAGATTGATGGTAGAGATTTTGGTTGGTATATTAACACATTGATGTTTTCTATTTCCCCCAAACGCCACGAGTGTTGTACATATGCAGGCTGTGCTTCCGATCGTGTCAACCTGTTCATTTCTGGCCTTTCGTAGCTGAAAAGGGGTATTAGCACAGCCGGTGGCGCGGACTTCTGGGATTGACATACGTGCTGGAGGGCCTGTCTTCTTCTTCGGCGGTGCCTTGCCACGTTGTTGTCGCCTAAATGTACCATCAGCTTTTGTCGTCGCATCACTATCCGGGACTGGGCGGCTGACCCTGCGAGATGCTCTTGCCAATCCTCCCACTCCTCATTGATACCCTCTAGGCCGAGCTGTTTGAACTCCGAGTAGAGGTTCTGGAGACTGGGCCCCTTCGGCGGGTAGTACTTGGCCATCGTCGGCCCTCGTAATCGCTGTCGCAGGATCTTGTTGCCCATTCGTACGCCATCGGGGTTGTAGGTTGTCGCGAAGATCTCGCATTGAGCCTAGGCGTGTCAGTGTGGGCTCTTGCGACTCTTGGATTTTGCGCGTAACTGACCTTCATCAGCTCTAGCAGCCGCGCCCGTGGGACCGACATTTTGTCGCAGTGTTGACGATGTATGCTGCAGATCGCAGGTGCTCAATTCAATGGAGGTGAAGGCTCATTCAATGGCTCCCGAATTTCCAGACCGCGCCAGGACACTGCGCCAGCCAATCACAGCGGCGGCACGGACCCCACCATTGACCAGTGCCCCGGGGTACCGTACACCAACTGTGGAGTGCTCTTACCGTTGCCTAGCGATCTTCAATATTCGCAAATTTGTCAACCCCAAGACCGTCCTGCAGATTCGATGTCGAGCTCTGAGTGAGAAGGAAAACAGTTTCAAGTCTTGTTCGTACGAAATTACTTTCCGTGCAGCATCAGGGGGCGTCCAATATCGGCCCATAGCCGCCTAGCTGCTCACGAGCGTTTTCATATTTTGTTACGTCTCAGCCTGGTAAACCGAGGGAAGGACCCATCGATTCATGCTGCAGAAAGGCATAACCACGACCTCGACAGCAGTTTTATCTGACTCCGTAATCATGTCCAAACGATCATTCTCAGATTACTCGTCGGAAAGTATCAGCCAAGATGCTATCTCACAGATTGTCCAGCAAGCTGAGGACCTGTTACGAGCTGCAAGGGTATTGAAAGACGGGCTCGATAATGGCAAACGCCAGGATGAGAATGCTGTAGAGCGGTTGCGTGAGATCAACAACAGACTGTCCCCAGCGATCAATGAGCTTGGCAAACCCAGCATGGTCTCATCCCACAAGTTGCCAAAGCTTGACAAGTCTCCTGATATTCTCATCCCATCCACTGCTGCTTTGACACCATGGTCGCCGGAGGACCTTGCCTCACCACGCCCAATATTACCACCCGTCCTCGACCCGGCCCTGGAGAGAGCTGCGTTCACGCACCAAGGCATGGTGAGTCAGGGTGAGCAGAGCTACGAGAGGCTGGAGTGGATTGGAGATGCCTACCTATATCTGATGTCATCGGCCTTCATATATCAATCATTCCCCAAGCTGCCTGCAGGACGTTGCTCCCAATATCGCGAGCTACTGGTCCGGAACAAGACTCTGTCTCAGTACACTTCGGACTATCACATGCAGAGACGACTCAGATTTCCACCGGAGTTTGACCCAACGAACAACGCGGGTGGGACTCTCATGGCAGACAAGCAGAAGAAGAAGATCTTGGGCGATATTTTCGAATCCTATGTCGCTGCCGCCATCTTGAGTGACCCTGCTCAGGGTTTATCACAGGTATCGAGCTGGATGAAAGCACTCTGGGCTGAGGAACTCAAGGAGGAGTTGTCTAGTGAATTTCGCAGGCGCGCTCAAGCTCCCACACAGCCTGCGAACGGGGAGAGCGCAGGTCAGCCAGCACAGGACCTCTATCCCAAGGTTGTGCTTTCCCGTACTATCGGTGCTCCAGGAGTGAGGATTGAATACAGGGACGAAGGCAAGCCCGGAACAGAGAAGAAAACCGGCTTGCCATGGTATACGATAGGCGTCTACCTCGATGGATGGGGCGTGAAGAACTACAAGATGGGGTATGGCGGTGCTCTGTCGAAGAAAGAAGCGGGCCAGAAGGCAGCGCAGGCTGCTTTGAACAACAAACAGATGATCGAGAAGTTTGCCCAAAAGAAGAAGGACTTTTCAGCGGCAATGGAGGCACAGAGGGAATATGCTGAGTGGAAGGCATAGCAGTGACGGCCGCCAACGGAGGCTGAACACTGCGGACTGTAAGGATAGCATAATGCATGGCGTGCTTGGCTAGGAAATAGAGATGAACAGCTCTTCAGATCTGCAACAGTACTTGAGCGTCTGAGACACTCTTTCCTTGTAGAGCTTTCGTCAGGCAGTGCACCTACCTATGTACATTGGTACCTAGGTAGGGACCCAACTCAACTGAATAGTCTCACACTAAAATACTGAGCTTTATCTACGTAGGTATATACCTGGCTGGGTAGCATCCCGAGCAAGTGACAAGTGACGCCAGCAGATCCCACTTTCTTTTCTATGGCAAGGATACGAACCAAAGTGAATCAAGCAGCATCTGGGGCTGAACAGGGCTTTGTGGTTATCAGATGTACCGTGGAAGATCATGGCTGTGTTGAGGGAACACTACCACTTCACGTGCCGGTACCTCTCGGGGTGAGCATGGATGAGCGGGACGACCCCGCTAGAAGGGCAGCCAGCACGCGCTGAGACTGGTGACGCAGCCCCCGAGTCAGGGCCGACACCCGCGTCGCTTTACCCGCCAAGCCTGGGGCAGTTGGGGCCATTGCGCCGAGGCAAAGGCGGTCTTGGGGGTTCTTTGCTCGGAGCTTCCTCCCTCATGGGTAGCACATGTGTAACTATGTACCTTTTGTTATTCCAATAGATAATCGTGACATACGACACAGACCTATCGCTGCTCTCGGAGCATCGAACGACGCCCTCACGATTACTGAATGCCTTATGCTGTTACGACTTTTCCTGTACACCTAATCTTTTTTTATTCGAGAAGTTGGGCATCGGGTACCTGAGCTTGCGCAATCGCCTCATTGGTCTCCAACAACCTCCCGGGCATCGTGCTTCCTCGGCTTCCGTTGCCAACGGCGAACTTGTGATAAGCTGGACCCTGCGTTGTCGCCTCTCCCCATTCTAGCCACCCAACGGCGACACAATCGCAGCCGACTGCAAGTAGTGAATGCATAGTAGCGGAGAGCAACATCAATGATTGCTGTCAATGGCTGATTCAGTTGGTGAGTTCATTTCCCTACAAAAGCCCCGGACCGACTGGCACTCGTGATCACTGGGAAGCGCAACCGAACCAACGGCGATGCGACATCCTGACGTACCAACGCTACGTAACATTCCTCTCGGCCAGTCTCTCACTAAGACCGAAGCAAACATGTGCTTACCAACGCCTATGGCCGATCTAGATCGCGTGTTCGTGCACGCCTTAAACACCGTAAAGAAGATCCCCAAGACGGGCGCGTCGCGGCCGCCGCCCAGCGACCGACTGCGTCTATATGGACTCTACAAGCAGGCAATGGAGGGGGACGTGGACGGGGTGATGGAACGGCCGTCAGCAGGGGCAGGTGTCGACCGCGACGAGCTACAGAGAGAGAAGGACAAGTGGGATGCGTGGAACGCGCAACGCGGGCTCAGTCGCACCGAGGCGAAGAGGCGTTACATCGAGGCGCTGATCGAAACCATGCATCGATACGCAACAACGCCGTAAGTTATGACTTGTCCTTGCGCGCGGGAAAGAACTATACTCTTGCTGTGGGAGGATACAAGAGAAGGCCATCGCTAATGAAAACATAGGGATGCTGGAGAGTTAGTAGCGGAGCTCGAGTTCGTATGGAACCAGATCAAGAACAACAGTCCCTCGACGTCCGATTCGTCACCCAAAGGAACGAAGTCCGAGCTCCGGAAGTTTGCACAACCCCAGAGCGGCACCGAAGGTCCCATGAAGGTGCTCAGCCCCATGAGCGAAGACGATGAAGCAGAGCGGGAATATAGAGAAAGACAAGACGACGAGGATGAGGGAGAATACGTCAAGAAAGGAGACAAATGGTCACGGAAAGTCGAACGAGCCTTGGTTCGCCTTTCGGCCGAGATCGCAGCTTTACGCGAACAGATCACTTCGGGGCGGGAATGGAGAACACAGAAGGAGAAGACTTTCGGAGCCTGGATAAGCTGGCTGTTCTGGCTCTTCGTCAAACACTTGGTGATCGACTCGTTCATACTGATAATAATCCTGCTTTGGATGCGGAAGAGGAAGGATCGGAGGTTAGAAGACCTAGTGAGGTCGGCACTACGGATCGGCCGCGAGTATGTGAGAAAGGTTTTGCCGTCGAGGTGATGAAAGCCGTCGGCGCTAGACGAGCAGCGACCACGTAAAGCGTCAAACAGCGCTGGGTCTGCTGTGACGCCAGATACTTCGGAAGATCTTGCGACTTATATCTGACTTTCCCCTGTGCGAGGACAGATCTCTCTTATGCAAGGCCGAGGACTTTCTATACTCGGGTATTTCTAGCATCTTCCAAGCGAACAACACCATTAGGAAGGTAGCCGATATCACCTCAACACTGTACTATCAAGAATGGGCACATGGAGTATCCTCACTCGTGTCCCACGCAGATACGCGAGGCGCGTGATCGAGAAGTTCTTTAGATAAAGAAAGCATGGTATAAAGCAGGTTCACTGTGTAGTCTGTGTTCCTTGAATCAATTGGTATATTACAGTGAGGTTTGAGACCTGTCGCTTCTGGATTGGCTAGCTATAGATTAATATTTCAGTAGCTTACTTGGACGAGACTCGGAGTCGTTCAAGGTTGACCAGGACCTCGTAGTACAATTCACCCTACCCTTCGCTGAACCAAGCATTCACTTCAGTATGCCCTGCACCACTGAATGGTCTCTTCATTGATGAGAAGTATGCCAGAGGGCACAGTTCTGCTTCAGGCTCTAGGCAAACTTGCATTTGGCAAACAGAGCAGTATATTCTATCAAGTACAGGGGCCCCTGGTGCGGAACCACCTTAGCGCTGTGCTGCCCATTTGACTGGGTGCCATTGGCCAACCCATCCACCTGCCACTTCTTATCCTCGACTACACTCTGGACTGGATATTAAACGAACGTCTGCGACCAACGAATTCTTTAGTTTCTTACTTATCCTGTACATCTGCCGACCTCTGTTTGCCTGGAATCTCTTCGATTCTCACGGTCCCAGTCGCTCTTGACGACGATCGACTGCAGTAAGACGCAGGAAACGCGGAGGGAGATGTCATCAGTGAGCGTTCCTTTCCCAGGTCAAGGCCGCGACCTAATGGAATGCATTTAGGCTGGGTTCTACGAATCTCTGGGCGTCGAACATCACAACGCTGACTTTGCCGTGTCCATCGTGGTCATGTCCATTAAGTCTTTCTTAAACTGTTTGAAATTGTTGTGAGCTCAGCTGGGCTCATCTCGAAGGAACAATCCGCCATGCCAGGGTCACCACACCCACATGCCCGCCGAGGAAGGCAGGGTTCACCACATCCAGTCGCCATACAAACACAACAGCAAAGCACGGAATCAACTTCAGCCTCAAGCCAGGCTGCGTCGCCATCGGTCGGTCCGCCAGGCTCAGTTGACGATATCCCAGAACTCATCTCGATCGCCCCTGCAATCTTTGTCCCTGCGACCTTTGACCTCACCAAGCCTCAGGCACCTTTGCCTGCCGACAGCTCGGGCCGCACAGCACAGCAAATGGCGGAGCTGGACGCACACACAGCCGCTGTCAAATCGAACATTGCGTGGATGATCGAGCGGGAGGCCAAGAAGATCCACCAGGACGCCGTGAAGCAGGAGCTCAGCATCCAGGCGGCCGGACTGCCGCCAGCCCGTTCCAAGCGGCTGCCACCGACCAAGGCGGACGAGGACGAGCTCATCCGCAACCTGGAGGCGCCGATCGTGCCGGGCGCGGCGTACGGCGTCCCACTTGGCGTGTTGGCTGATCAGATCCCGCCGCTGCTGCCGGACCCGCGCGACACCCCCCGCGAGGCCTTCACCACCCGCATGCTGGGCCTTGTAAGATATGGCATGCAGCAGATGGACGGCTATGAGGCACACGCGAACGGAGTCAAACAGCAGAAGCGCGAGGAGATCGCGCGCCAGATAGCTGGGGAGCTGGCACGGGGCCAGAGTCAGGCGGGCACTGCCTCTGGATTTCAGGCGCCAGGCAACGGAGAGAAGGATCAAGGGACTCCAATGGATGTAGACTGATAGTTAGGCGTATATTTAAGGGAAAAATAGACAAATGGAATTGGTTGGTACATCGCAAACGGGTGCTGTCGGACGCCTTTGATACAGATGGTTTGCGAGGGCTATCACCCGCAGCTATGTAATAGAAGTAAAGAGCAAAAAGGAAGAACAAAAAGAATGAAGCATGGAAATGAACATGCAACCTGGCAGTCAAACGAATGTAAATGCAAAAAAAGAATGGCCGTCCTTTGCAGCTTGGCCAGAGCACCAGTTTAACGTCTTGCCCCTTTAACCACCCGGACGGAACATCTGCAGCTGTTCGAAAACCTGGCCAGTTATTGTATCTAATGTAGGTGCATTCATTCCTTTTTACTATTGGATGGGTGGGTAAACCCATTGTTCCTCTACCCTCCTTCCGCTACATTGTTGTGGCATGTCATATCTTCCCGTTTGCCCAAGGGCAACCATGAAGGCAACCGATTTTCAGCAGTAGGCACGCGAGACACGGACCTGGTTGCAAGGTTTCACTGATACTGGCAAGCGAAGTATTCAAGTACGCACCTCAGCTATTTAGACTCAATGTTTTGATTGACAGATTGCCTTACCTTCCGTTTTCACTTGAAATTTAGGCCGGTGACTGCATCTTTGGAGGCATGCCACATATCCACGGAAATATGATGTAACATCTGAAGAGGAAAGTACTGTCTCATCTGCGTGTATTCGGCATGATACCTCGAAGGCCCTTAGATATGTACTGATCATTGCTCTGAATAAAGGGAGGGTACCATGGATTTTCAGTAGGACAATCGCCCCGATGCCTCCATATTCTACTCAATCTCCTCTATCCTAGGCCGCACACTTGGGTCCATTGACGGCAGGCTAGGCCTGTTGAGATCCAACCCTGCAATGCTCGCCAAACCAGGAGGCGGGTCTCGAGCCTCAGGCAGCATGGACGTCATCTGCCAGTTCCGAAGGCTCTCGGCCACATCCCTCGCATGCTGCTGCACCATACCATCGTTGTCTGTCCCGGCGACGTACTCCAAAATCCTGAGTATATCCTCGCGGCTCGCGTCCGTCAGCCCAAAGCCCAGGCGCCTGCCCTGCTCTCTCGCGTCCGCCAGGGCCGTCACGAAGGTCAAGATGAGCACGATGGCTGCCCGTCTCAGAATAGCCTTCTCCATCTCTGGTTCCATGGTCAGGATGCTGATACAGAGGTCCACAGAGGCCTCGACGAGAGGCGCACCCAGACCCGTGATGTTGGTCTCCAGCCCAGCCAGGAAGATGGACAGCGCAGACGCGCGCATGCGGAGGTCCTCGCTCCCGCGTTTGCTCTCCCAGCCCTGGAGGATCTGGGCCAGGATCTCGTCCCGGGCCTTCTCCTCCTGCGTCTGCTCTCCCGGCTTGTCGACAACCTCACTGAGATCGGGCACGTCGCCGCCCCACGCCTTCTCGGCGGCCTTCTGCTTGCGCTCGCGCGCCCGCTCGTCACGGATCTGTTTTGCTTCCGTTCTCGGCCTGTGGCCTCGTCTACCCGCAACAGAGAGCATGCTCTCGCCTACCTGTAAGGCTGCTTCGCCCGTGAAGGTGGTACCAAGTCTCTGAATGACCTGGAGGATGGCTTCGCCGAACCGTAGGCGCGTATCTACCGTAGCCTTTTCGTTCGCGTCTACGTAGTTGTCGAGAAGCTCTTTGAGGACAGATTTGGGGTGCTTCTCGGCCAGCTGAACAAATAGTTTCATCACTCGGAGGTTGATGTAGTCGTCATCCTCGCCTACAAGCGAAGAGAGGAGCACGAGAACGCCCTGGATGTCGAGAATGGGACTGTTGCTTTTTATCAGGCCCGATATCAGATTGAGACCTTCTGATCGGACTGGTGGTGGAGAGTCGGCTTGTGTAATGTACGATAGAGCTAGGCTATATGTCTTCCGGTCCTCAATTTGCCGGTCTGAGGGGGCCAACGGCCGCTCCGACGGGTCTTCGACCTCATCTCGGTACTTTAAGAGAAGACGAAGATTGCGAGCTGTCTGCGAGATATCAGGTTGGCCAGAGTTGCTTATTGATTCAAGTGATGTTTCAACAGAGTGAAGAAGGCTGCTGTCCACGTCCGTTTTCTGGAAGCTGGGTGCGGTGATGACAATATTGAGAAGACTCAGTGCTACCGGCACTGATTCGTTGGTTTCACTCGGGGCTTCGAACTTGCCAAGAACCTGCCCGGCAAGTTCAAGCATGCCTTTGGAGTCTGCAACGAGCTTGTCTGGGATCGTGTCTATCATTCCTTGTAGAACTTTCGCTTCGACGATCCGGTTCATTGGGTCCTCATCTGCCTTTTCTTCGACCGCAAATAAGATTCCCTGGGAAGCACCTTCGACTTCGAAAAACCTATGGAATAGCGTCAAGAATACCTTCGAAGTGTCTGCTTCGGTAGCAGAAGTCTTCAGAAGTTCCACAAATGTCGAGATCTTGCTGTCCATCTGGCTCCATGCAAGCTCCATAGGTGTTTCTGTTGCAGAAGAACGTAACTTCTTGACCTCGATTTGCGATCCTGTTGAACGGTACACCCAGGAAGCATTATCTGAGATGCGATCGCCAGTGTATAGCAGGTATTTAACGATAGATATATACCTCTCTGCATTGCCTGAAATCTTGAGATAGATTGAAAGAAGACTCTTGGCTGGAGAACAAAACCGTGAATCACGATCCGCCTCGATACCTGGCCACGAACCCAAAGCCCATAGTGGCTTCATCAAGGGAGAGAGTAGTCTCGTTGTCAACCCGGGATTGGGATGAGAGTTCAGTAATGATGTTAAACGTTTGAGCGCCAAAGCCAAGTCATCGGGTTGAATTAGGGTAGTTTCTCTTTGCAGATCAACAACTTCGTCACTGCCTGAAGTGAAGACCATGGTTTCGCCTGCCCGCTTTTCGGATGAAAGCGCTGGGTTAATCGCCGATAGCATGGGTTCTGCGAATGCTCTCCAGCCGGCAGTGCCTATTGTTCCTGTGAGTCCAAGATCATATCATGGGTTAAGGTGGACATACCTGGAGCACCGAATTGCCTTCGACCCAGTATACCGAAGCCAATGACATAAGACGCCACTTTCACCAAGTCTGCGCCGTCCGCACCATCCAGGAGTGAGATGAGCTGGGGAGCGATACCTGGAAACCACTGCTCGGCTGGGACATCTAAAGGAGGAGTCGCCAATATGCTAGTTGCCATCTTGAGAGCTTCCATCGTAATGTTGGCCCCTTGCTTTTGTGGGCCAGCCGCTTCGGAACTCTTGACGGCATTTGAGGGATGAGTTGTGAAGACAAACTCAAGCGTAGCCCTCACGCCATCCGGTCTTTGCGGCAAGAGAGTCAAAATATCCATAAGCCTCAATCTGAGCCATCTTGGTACTCGGTCCGGCTTAATGAGAGCGTTGAGTGTGGAAATGAGCGACGTTGTTCCAGCCCTAAGAAACACATTCAGATATCGCACATAGCATGACAGCAATGTGGCATACCTTGATATTAGAGCACCGAATTCACGCTGACCTTCGGCTCGTGACGATTCATCGCTGCTTGGGTTGAAAGCTTTCGTCCCAGCAGCCTCTATGGCTGACAGAAGGGAAGCTTGAGTACCCAGGCTATTACTCATGACTTTTTCCGCCTGGAGCGCACTACGTCCGGTACGCACTGACAACGAAGGGCAGTCCCTCTAATGTCGTGATAATGTCGGCTCGAATAGGGCGGCAATGATGGTTTTTCATTCCAGGTGTAGGCCGTGGTGTTGCTTGAAGTAGTAAATGGCTTGATTGGGATGAATAATGCAATACAGTGTGACATGGTTGATGGGAGCAAAGTAGTCACTGTACGCTTGTGGGATGTATGCACGTGTCGACGCGCCAGTAGCGCGCTGGGCTGCCGAGCGGGCCTAACTATGTAACCACCAAACACGACGCGTCACCCAGCACCAACTCCTTCCTACCCATACTCAACCACTTTCACTGTTGGCGCTCGTTCCAGGATTCTTCGATCGGCCACCTGAGATTTCCACTTGTCGATTGCCAATCGAGATGCGATCACCGCTGCTTCTCGCTCTCGTCATTTCCGGTCAAAAACATGCTCTCTCGCTGATGTCTCCCTGGTAGGGACATCGGCACCACATATCTCGCATTCTCGCCTCCCCCACAGTTCTCCGACTCCCGTTTTCCGAAAGGAATGTCTTTTGACCCCATCGTCGGTCTTGAGCTCCGTACAGCACGTCGCAGTTCGGGGTCCGTAGCAGGCCTGATGAGCTCGCCGCGTAAGGACCGCTGTGCGAGGGGAGTCAGCTGGCCTGGCAGGCGGACCGGTCGATGGGAACGGTGTTTCGGAACTTAACCCTAAGCTTTCACTTGGTTCTAGTCTTGCGCTCACAGTCGTCCAGATTCGCTTTCTAAACTGTCAGGCTGCTCCTGCGACGCCGCTCGCCGCTGAAAAGCGGTGTGCGCCTAGCGGGCATCTGGCGGTGGAAGGGCGATGGGACATTCCAGACGCCTTGTGGCGAGCGAAGGCTGGTGCTATGAGTTTTATGTAAGAACCCCTGGTCTGGTGGTCGCTCGTCAGCACTCCGCCGCTGGAAGCCGTACTCTGGCCTTTGTGGATTATCTTGACGATGGTAGATCATCTAGCTGCAAGGATGATGCAAGCTGAACGTTACTGTTTGTTGGTCTCTTGGTGGTGGCAGCCAGCCAGCCAATGTGCATATAGAGACGAGGGGGAGAGCTTGACACCTGCTACATACAGCCAGAACGACAGAACTTCATTCATATGCTAGTGATTTAACTCGCCGGAATCGCCCATTGAGGCGAGCGAGTGTCATTTGGCTTCAGCAGAAGTACTACAAGTTCTGGAACATACACCGCTTTGTCAAATGCTCTCAGCACCCCCGAGTCTCTGGTCACAAACCAGCATTTGTGGTCACCGGTGTGAAACCCGATGGACTTCTCAGTACAATCGCATGCATTCAATCCACGCAGGGGCTCTTCACCTCTCGAGATCTCGTCACGGCAACGGCCATTGACGTGTCACTTCTGTGTGATCCGGCCAGGCGCATCAACCTCGAGTTGTGAGCCTAGTCTCACAGCATCCGTGGGCGCCAAAAACCCCCTGCTGCTCTCCCTTGGTGGCGATCAGCGACATCCCTCTACTTCGCCTGACAAGGAGAACGGAGACGATAGCATGGCTTTTATGGATGTCTTTTGACCATGCGATTCTGCCCTCCTAGCTGCTCTACTAGGCTCGATGGAGAGGCAATCAAAAACTAGTCCTAGTTGGCAGTGTGTACATCAGAGAGAGCATTTCTTGGCTGGCATGTCGAGGCATGTTGCAGCCGTGCTCACCGATTCGACAAGTGGATATTGATGAAGGTCCAGATCAGATGAGAAGGTTTACTCCTGCGCCATGGTGGACTGTTGAGATCCATGCTCGTTGTACGAGACATGAAACAAGACTGGGACCCATCTCGTGTTGGAGTCAAAGCTTAGTGCTTGTCCGGACTTGTGGATTGCCTCCGTACTTTGTCATGACTCCAATTTTTTGTCACCGCCTACGGGCATTCACTTGTGTATGGGATGAACTGTCCTTTACCAGGAGCGCGAGTGAGTAGCTTGCAGTTCTTGACAACAAGTCAAGTCTCCGTGGAGATATGGAATGCACTGATGTAACAGAAGATAACCATCGAAGCGCTAATATGTCTCGGGGCATCCCTTGGCCGACCATTCTTTGAATGACAGTCCGTTTGCCTTGCTTGGCATCTTCACCATCAACGGCACCACAAGATCCTCTGTCTCGCCTGTCGTAGAAGCGGCATGGACTATTTCCTCATGCTTCAACCTGTCGAAGCCACAAGACTCGAACATGGGCGCGCTTGCGACGGTGGCCTCGAGGTAGATTGGCAATTGCAGTTGTTCAGCAATATCGACTCCCCATTGCAACAGGAGCCGGCCAATTCCTTTGCGGCGATATTCGGGGTGTGTAGCCAACGATATGCAGTCTTGATACGGATGAGCATATGTTTCACCGTGCAGTCACCATAAAACTCACATATATGCTTCTGACCGCCAAAAAGCTTCTCTCTCATTGTCCAGGAAGGGATAAGCACAGATTCAGCCTTCTTGCGGTTGGCGCCTTTAAGCCACTCAGCACCAGCAGGTTTTTTCCACCTGCTGTCTTTCCCTGGCTGCCAGAAGACCTCCCATGTGGCCATCCCAACAATCTTGCCACTTTCAGAATCTACGCATTTAATGGTGTACCCGTTCTGATCATGGTGCCACCAGAGCGTTGTACCGTGTTTGTGCGCCTGGCGATCGATCCCACCAGGAAAGAGGAAGTTCAACATCTTCTCTCCCTTAAACGCCTCAAAATACACATCGTATACTGGAGTTATGTCGGGTACGAGAGCTGGAAGCACTGCAAAAGGCATTTTGGTTAATATGGGTGTAATCGAAACTTCAGTTGTTCAAGTCTGGTATCAACACCTCAAAAGATCCCCCGATGGTGTGCTTGCAGAGACGAGGAATAGTGACAGCAATAAAGAGGAATGGGGGTTAGATAAACGACAGGAGTGTTTCTGGTTCATAGTCGATACCGGGCCACGTCGATGGCTTGGCGTCATGCCCGTAAAGACAAAATTATCATAATTCGCACTGATCCGGAAGCCGCGGCAAAGAACCGTCCTGTCCGTAATGGACAAGCGGCTTGTAGCTCACATGCTCTGTGCATCATGAGGCTCCTTGACGACTGGAGTTGCCGGGTCGCCTAAGAAAATACCACATCGGACGGGGTGGAGCTGCGATATACCCCACAGCATCACGGTAGGATACCGGTATCTTGTCCCGAATCTGGGAGCCCCTCAAGACCGCCAAGCCGGGCTGCCTTGCTCGATCACGCAATTCAGGGACGCGATTGGGTATTTTCGGCAAGCCGCCAAGCAAAATATGTAGCCCTTATATGGCCGGAACTCGTAATCACTGAAACCTCGCTCAGGCGACACAACCAAAGAGGACTGAGGATGTACCTGCAGGTCTTAGCAATTTGCCCGGTTGAGGAAGCTCTAGGGAGCATGTTTCTTTATTTAGAATCGGTTCTCTCCCTATCTACAATATACTGGAGGCAGCATCCACCACTGTTGGATTATCAGGCCAGGCTACATTCAAAGAAAGAGAATAATGACGTCGAAAGTTGCATTCAGCATATGATCGCATGTCTCGTAGGCTGTTGATGACCTGCTTTCATGTAGCCTCCAATGGTTCTCTAATCCGCAATTGATTGATTGCTGTTCACCACCAACGCGTTACTCCTACTGCCCGCCACAAGATGCGTGTCTTCAACCCGACCGCAGCTATCACAATCATGCACATTGTTGCATAGGTCGTAGTCATTCCGCGTTGGCGCAGTCCAGGAAAACCCCGTTCAAACTCTTCCCAGATATCAACCAGGAATGATACAGGAGCTTTACTGGAAGGGGTGCCAGTTGAAGGCATTCCCAGCTTGGTTACTCCTGAACCCGATGTTTTGGACGAGGTCAGGCAAACACGATCCTATCTTCTTGAAAATGTGGCTCGACAAGCTGCCGACTGTGCAGGGTGACCTCGGGTTCAAAGTGACCGTACCGGAGCTGGAATTGTCCCCCAGTCCCGCAGTGCTAGTTCGCTGCTTGGAAATAGCAACGTTTCTCTCGGGGGCCGAGATCGAGTTTCATTTCATTTGCTTGGCTATAGAACCCGTGTTCAATGTAGCGAATTAGATCGAAGTCCGATACAATCAGTTTCGTTTCGAAGGGTAGGTTGGTACACTCATGATTGCAACAGCTGATAGACAATTTATGCAGTTTGTGGCAGCTGGCACTGGAGTCTGTGAGGGCGAACGCGGCACGTAGTAACTCCTAAACACCACAGTTCACCTTCGTCAAGGTGATTCACGTCGATAACTCCTTCCTGCCCCGACAACTGCAGCAAAATGGAATACGAAGGCCCTGAGGATCCGCAAATAGGTGAAACCATCATTGCCTATGACTCGACTTACAAGCATCTCAATGAGCGTGACCTCCTGTACATGATTTTAGCTAGATCTGAGGTGCACCACGAATCAGTTCAGCATTACGGGCAGTCCAGCAGAAACGAGATCGCGAGCCTACGAGGTGAGGTCACCAAGCTTCGCAAGGAGATATGTGTGCTTCGCAATTTGATTGCGAATGACGCAAAATTCCCCAACTTCGCCAGGCTGCCCGCAGAGGTTCGCAACATGGTTTGGAACCTCGCGCTTCCAGCACAGGTTGTCAAGATAACACATACACGGAGTACAGGCGGCCTCCGCTTTCGTTTTGCGACAAGGAACCCACCACCTGCTGTATCCCAGGTTTGTCAGGAGGCTAGGCAGGTCGCGCGACGTCACGGAGCCATCCGGGCAATTGAGCATGAAGTTAATCTCACAGGGCGCTTGCGGTTCAGGCGGCAGATGCAGATGGATCCGAACCACCAAAATCCGCCACGGTTCGAAAGGGAGTGGTCCTGGTTTGATTCCTACCGAGATATGCTCTTGGTCGATATACTTGATAGCCACAGCCGTCTACCGCCCGCCAACGGTCTGCTCCAACTCACCAGATCCACGGAATCCGTGATGCTGGAAAAAACCGGCTCCTTGCGCGACCAAGCCTGGCTCGAAGACCTTTTTGACCCTCATCACTTTCCCAAATTAAAGACCGTCATCGTCCCTGCCGCTACCATTGTAACCCGTCCGCCGAAAGATGCTCCGGATGAAGCTCAGACGTATCGCATGAATTCTAGGTCCCCCAATGTTTTAGATATAGATGACGAAGGTGACATGTCGGACATAGCCAGAAAGCTAGGTATTGAGCCCGACAAAGCCTTGAGATTTCGTGAGTGGACTACCACCAGAGTTATAGAAGGCATCCTTGTCGAGTGGGCTACTGGTCTGGATGATAGAGGTTGGAAGATTTTCCAAAAAGAAACAGCTGAGCGCTTTTTCCTAGGTGATCGCATCAAGTTCAGGAGGGTATGCAGATTAAGCACGTGTACAGAACGCCGCCTATTGTGAGCTTTAAAGGGAGCCCGAGAGATACAAAAATGGATTACACGATTAGGAAATCGCGATTTTGAGAATTAATTGAGAGCTTCGGTAGTGTTTTATTTCGAAAATTTACCTTTAACTCATAAAGACCGACTTGAAGAACATATCAACCGTTAAAATGCCCCTTGCCCGGGATTTAAGAGGATTCAAGGTCAAAGTCATACAGGAAATAAGCCAAGGCATTTGGTCCGCGTGACCATCTGATTGAGATGATAGCCTGGGGTTCGGGGTTGCGCTTTATCTGTGGTAACACGCAACGGATTGCCAGTGTTATGAAGAGGATTGGGTCGCATCTACCCTTTCTCTGGCATGGTGCCATAAAGACCAGAGCGCGTAGACGACTTCCGATATACGAACGCTTGCCGGGATACCGCCCATGTTGTCATCCTTCGGCACTCCAGGTCTGCGATCCGCCACGACCTCACGTGTTGCTCCAATGGACCATTCATAGAACATAATTATATTACCTGATAATCTATAAAACGCCAATAATGCCGAGAACAGGGTTCTTGCTCATCTATTTGATTGTCTTGTGGGGTGGAATCTGGGGAATTCAGCCGCCCTGGCAGTTTTAGCCGTCGTGCATCGGTTTCGTCAGCCAATCCCCATGCGAGGTCCATGAATGTCAGATGTTTGGTCAATAAGATTAGGCTTGATTTTGGCTTTCCAAATTTACTGGCTCCCGCGTTCTTGATGGGGTATTGTGACCATCTCTGGGGCATAAAAGCAGTACCAAGGACGTCGAGAAGAGGTGCCGCTTACTGAACCAGGTCAACTCGCCCCAGTGCTAATCAGAAGCTCTTGGCATCTCATAAATGGTCATTATGAAGGTAACTTTATACGCCGTTCTCACAGCTCTGGCTGTCAGTGATGTCTCGGCACACGCTATTTTCCAGCAACTCTGGGTCGATGGCGTCGATATGGGCTCTCAATGCGTCCGTATGCCGAAATCCAATAGTCCCGTGACGAATGTCGCCGGCGCAGATATCAGATGCAATGCTGGAGGAACATTAGGCGTCTCGGGCAAGTGTTCTGTGGCTCCGGGGTCAACAGTGACGGTTGAGATGCACCAGGTATGAATTATTCAAATGGTCACCTACCCTTTGGCATATACTTACATATGTCCAACCAGCAACCCGGAGACAGGAACTGCAAGAATGAAGCCATCGGTGGTGCTCATTACGGTCCGGTCAACGTATACTTGAGCAAGGTTGACGATGCGTCCAAGTCAGATGGATCAGGGTCGTTCTACAAGATTTTCCAGAATTCGTGGGCACCAAAGTCGGGAGGCAACTCGGCCGATGATGACTTCTGGGGCACGAAAGACTTGTCCAACTGTTGCGGCAGAATGGATGTGCCCATTCCCGCAGACACACCGGCCGGTGATTATCTTCTCAGAGCCGAGGTCATCGCTTTGCACACTGCAGGATCCTCTGGAGGAGCCCAATTCTACATATCTTGCTACCAGATCACCGTGAAAGGGTCTGGCAAGGCGTCCGCCGCGGTACCGGCTGGGGTCAAGTTCCCAGGGGCCTTGAAGGCAAGCGACCCTGGTATTCTCGTCAATATCCACTCGAAGCTGTCCACATACGTGAACCCTGGCCCGACTGTCGTCCCTGGTGGCGAGGTGAGAACACCAGGTCTCGGTTGCACGGGGTGTGAGAAGACTTGCGCTGTTGGCAAGGGTGCCGTGGGCACTGTAGTCCAAGATTCACCTCCAGCAGAGACTGGTGCCTCGAATGCAGGTGGAAGTGCGTCTGGGAGTTCAGGTGTGTGTGCTCAGGCCCAGTATCAGCAATGCGGCGGAACTGGGTACACTGGTTGTTCGACTTGTGCGGTAAGTCATTGTTCACCCTTCTGCACATTGCTGTTGATAATCGAGCTAACTTGAAATAAAGTCTGGAGCAACATGCAAAGCACAATCGCCTTATTATTCCCAATGCATCTAGCGAGACATGGCACTTGAAGGGACGGGACGGATATTCAACGATGCAGATTGGACTTGCTTCTTGGTGCGTTCTCTAGGCAATTGAATTAAGCCCGACGTTGAAAGCATGCATCTATGTATGATGTCGGTGAGGAGGTCCACGCAGACAATGCTCAGAAACTTCCCCCACATAAGATCCGTATGAATGGCCGGAAGTTGTAGACTAGTTCGACCCTTCGGGGCATCAGATCACGGTGTTTTGTGTGCCAACTTCCTTGCGCATCCGGGCCCGATGATTGGCGACAGAGCGTACGCAGGGGAGACACCTGCCAAACCTGCAGCTGGTGACATCTTCGATAAGAAAAACATCATTGGTAGCACACCCTCTTGAGGTCAAGATACGGAGATAAGATCGTCAGGCCTGTTGTGCATGCAATCTGATCAGTGTTCAGTGTGCCACGTTATTTCCGAATACTTACATAGGTCATCACTCGCCTGCATGCGCCATAGACACTGATGCGCGAAATGGGTAAATGCAGCGACTTCTGAACCAATAACCTCAGGAGAACCACTACGCGACTTGCACGCGGTCTGAATCCAAGACTCCCCTCAGACCGGTTTTGTATCGTTCAGCCCCCACCTTCCTATTATATGCTGCGAACAGTACCTGACAACGGTATAGGACATCAGCCGTTTCCATTGGCACGAGAGAGCGCCGTGACGATGCAGACGAGCATCGCGGGTGGTCGAGCTTGCGAATGTGTAACACTACAGCAGTTTGCGACCCGAGGACTTCTATCATCATGTAGTGCAGCCCAAATGGTCGTCGATACATGCAACTCTGTTAAATTTTGTGCGGCCAATATACACTTGACATTACTCGTGCAACTGTCTCAGTATACCAACTAACTTATTCCCTGCCTACGTGCCGCAGTGCCGCCGGGGTAAGCCTGAGCGATACACTCACTAGTAAGCTAACTTAGGTACTTGCAGCAGCTGGACTAGGTGCTGAAGAGGTGACGTCCAGACTGGTTTGGGCGCCTTGAATCTAACTGCTACCGAGGGTCTGAGCGTACACATGCAGACCCCTTCCACCATGTTTCGCCAGCTAGTGTATCGGATGACACTCCGGCCAGCAGTATGCATCGTAGTGGTATTGTTAAGATGCAGACGGGTTGACGGCGCCAAGCATCGTTCGCGGCTCACGCGGCTGCCCCAATCGGTTAGAATGGGCTCCCATCATCAGCATCCCTCCCAAATGGCGTCCTGAGCCTATTGCCGATGCTGTGGCTGGCCCTTGTCACTGCTAACTGTATCAACACCATATCGGTGCATTAGCAAGATGAGGATATGTAAACCGCATTCGTCCCTTGGGTTGGCAGCCGTCTGCACACAGCGTGGAAGGTGGATTCCTTGGCAAGACGAGCACTCGCAGCACCCTGGAGACCTTGCCAATATGCTGTCATGGTTTTCTTTCTCAACATCTAAATCATACATACAGATTGCTTTGTCAAGCATGGGGGTCATTCAGCCTTCTCGGCCGGCTGGCTTTCTTAGCATGCCCACTTTTGCGAGGCTTTCCAACCTTAATAGTGGATCTAAGTAATAAGGCAAGGACTCCTGGTTCTTCTCTTCCACCAACAGCATCGCCAAAGACTGTCTGGTTTATCCGCGTTTACTACGCGACGGCTGAACATCAGGCGAGGATCAGATGACAGAGCCTAACCAAGCCGCCACATACTCAATCCTTAATTCAAAGTTTCATAACAACAGCACTTGTTTTTAGCCTGGAATACTCAACTTCTACTGGGTCTTTCCAAGCTGTCAGTTCCCTTCAATATCTGGCCTGTCACTACGCTTGCTCGGCATCGTATTCAAGGGAACCACGCAGGGCTTGCACTAGTGATAAGACAAACAGCCGCCTCTTAGATGTGGCGTACGCCTACTAACTTCCCATTGGAAACAATTCCAGCACATCTCGAAAAAAATGTGATGAGGCTTGAGACGACGTTGGCAGACGGCAGATCAACTGTGCATTAGTCTACGGAAATCCCAGCGGTTCCGTGGCGGGCATTGACCCTATAGACGCCATTCATCGTTGGTTATCGTCATCTACGCGCTTAAACCTGCCTTTCATAATCATTCGACTAGCTTTCTTCAAAGTCTTTCGCGTCTTCAGTAATTCTTCATCATCCAACTACTTGTCTTGGCTGGCCCTCAATACTGAGTCTCAAAATGCAGATACACAATGCATTTTGGCTAACATTGGCATCACTCACCACAGTATGTCAGGCAGACTTGATGCAGTATGCCACTCAGCTTCCACAATGCGGCGTACGTGTGCTCCTCACTGTTTCCACTCAAATTGCTAACAGCAAGACAGCTCAATTGTATACTTGGGGAGATACCAAACTCGGCCTGCAAGACGGTGACCAACTCGACCTGCATCTGCACAGATACAGATCTCTTTAGTTCCGTTCAAACCTGCGTCCTAGCCGCATGTACAGTCGAACAGGCACTTTGTGAGTCTAGAGGAGCCGAGAAGGGCTATCGTTAACGTGTTGCCAGCCATCCAAAGAACGCAGGACCAAGCGTGTGGCAGATCTTACCGTTCCCGAAGAAATGATCTATGGGGTTTCATTGCGGTAGAGGTTTTCGCATTAGTATGCTTGGGACTTCATATCGTTTCTCGAAGATATAGCCCTCGGAAGACCGGAGTGGATGACTATGTTGTATTTACCATTCTGGTAACAGAGCCCCACGGACTTGGTGCCATTCTTTTGTGCTAATCAGGACAGGCGCTATACCTACCATTCACTATTCTAGGCCAGTATGGTGGGTTCCCTGTCGTATAGTAATAAACCCCAAGTTGCTAATGCCGAATAGCTCGACTTACTGGCTTTGGAGTTGACATGTGGACAATGGAAAGTCGCACTATCACCACTGCCCTGAAGGTATGATATGCCAATGTTACCATGGTATGGAAGCTAACAGCGACAGGTCTTCTTCATCGATGAGAGTTTTTACTTGGCGCTTTTGGCCCTCTGCAAGATTGCGATCTTGTGTTTTTTCCTGAGAATATTCCCCAACAGGTGGTTCCGATATACCGTCTTCGGCACCATTTCGTTTGTGGCACTGTCTGCCTTGATTTTCATATTCCTCCAGATCTTCCAGTGTCTCCCCGTCTATTACAACTGGGAGGGATGGAAAGGAAACTTCGGAGACCATCGATGCATCAACGTCAATACTTTGACGTACTCAGCTGCTTCAATTGCTATCCTTCAGGACGTCATAATCCTCATTCTGCCTCTACCGTTGCTCATTGGGCTCAACACAAGCTGGCGAAAGAAAGTGGGAATCATTTTGATGTTTAGTCTCGGCATCTTTGTCTTGATCACGAGCTGCATTCGACTGAGATACATCGTCATGTTCGCGAGGAGTCTGAATCCGACATGGGATTACACGGACACGATTATATGGACAGCTCTCGAGGTCAATGTTTCTATCGTCGTGATATCGCTACCTGCGATACGCGCATACCTTGCCATAACCTTACCAAAGGTCTTTGCTACAACCTTACGATCCAAGTCGACTTCAGATAACTCCTCCAGCAGTAGGGGTACGGGCAAAGTCTTATCCAAGCAGCGCGCATCAAAGCTACCCAGTGTGTTCTCCGCCTCCAGGAGACCCGATGGCGACGAAGCAGAAAGTCAACTTGAGCTAGGCGATAGGGTGCATGGAAGCACTCAGACGGAAATTGCAGTGCAGTACGACCACGGAGACGATCGATCTAACAGGTCCATCACAAGCCAGAGCGGCATCCATGTCCAACAGACAACAATTTGGGAAGAGGGTGGCCCAAGAGGGTCCGCGAAGGTGACTTGAAGCTGGATGTCGCGATTGAGAGCGTGATTCGGGCCTGCAAACTTGGGACGGGGCGTTTCGGGTTAACTTGATACGAGCGGGTGATTTCCAGAGACGAGGTGCAGGGATGGGAATAAAAGTAATGCTTGAGATATCAGTGCTTCCTTCTTCGTCCTCCCAGGGAATGTCAGGGTTGTTCAATGCCCAATAGTGTTCAGACAGGTATCCGTCGTGTGAGACATCGGTGCCTGCTTTTGCGAGCCGGGATTTCGTTGCTTTTATAAACATGCAGCTTTTCGGCCGAGTACCCAGAACCATCAGACTTAGAGCGGGAAGAAAAATCGCTTCCCTGATTAAAGTTTCGTGAACCGTTATTTGCAGTGGCAGTGCTATAGATCTGGAAAGGGTGATCGCCGGGCATGCAGGAACCAGTGCAGCGCCATGGTTACCGCCCAGGGGTGGCCAGGCTCAAGCTTGCAGGAAGCTAGGCGTTGACAGCAATACTAAGGACTTTGGCATCAGTCGGTGGGCGGTGTGCCAGCTACCGGGATGCATTTTGACTTAGTTGCCTAGGTCTACAGCCTTGCGATGCGCGTTAGGCCTATGTTACCAGATAGCATGACTACGTGTAACAGCTCTGTGGACCAAGTTGACCACTGGTCTGTAATCGAGCCAAACGCGAGATGACGGGCGGTAGCTCTGGCGGTTGTGGTAACGGTTGGTATACAGATGCCGACCGCGTCCAGGGCAAGTCACGGAATTCAAAGCGCTGCTGGTGATGTGGCACTCGAACTGCTTATTGGCAGCCATCTATTGAAATCTATTAATGTATCGCAAGTACGGGTTATAGTGCAACTCTTCCTACCTCCGGGCGTCTCTAATGAGATGGCTCATCGTTAACAATTCTAGGCGCGGAGACAAGAACTTCAGACCATCGCCATAGACGATTTGCCATGGCTTCTGCCAAGGTCTGGAATTTGCATAATGTTACTCGCGAACGTAGCCGGCCCTCACTTAGTGGACACCTCGACCCGGCCACGTGAAATGCGAGATCTCATGCGGACCCAAATGATACCAAGTTCGAATGATCTAGCTCTGAGATCTGTGCAGCTTGGACCACCTCATGCACACCTTCATGCCAGAGATCTCACCCTCCCAAATGACTGTCTTGTCCAAAACGGGGGGCCCCCCGTTTCGGACGTACTAGACGTTGTTGCGCGTCCTTAAGCCAGGCTTGCCTTCTCATCATTCCAATACTTCGTACGGCTGTTGGTACAGAGAAATGGCAACGACGTTTCCCAACCTCCCCTTAAGTTAGATTAGTGCCGCCCAGCGGGAGCGCACCCGAAAAGAACTACCGATCTAAACCCCATTGGGCCGCGGCACCCATCTGCTTGCTGGGACCTCCTCGTGAGCAGAAAAGTTACCAAATCGACAGCCTCCCTGTCAACTGGCTACGTTACTGGCCGGCCTATCACGAGAGCCTGCCAAAGTCCGATCTACTGCTGCTGCTTCCTTGATTCTGCCTTCCTGATCACTCTCATTAGGCCTACTCACTGTAGCCCATCAGCCTCAGACCCCTGTACGCTCAAGGAATAGCACCGACAGCATGGCTGGCCCGGTCACCAGCCAGGAGGCTGCCATCAAGACCCGTGTGGTCACACACATGAACAAGGACCACGCCCCAGAGCTTGAGCTCTATCTGCGGGCCTTCAATGGGCTCTCCGCGAGAGCGGCCGCCAAGCCGCAGATTATCGACATGTCGCTTGATGCCATGACCATCAAGTCAGCTTCCGGGACCCACACGGTTACCATTTCGCCGCCGCTGCCGAACTACGGTGCCTCCCGTGTCAAGCTTGTTGAGATGGCACAGACGGCACTCAGTAAGCTGGGCCTCAGCGATATCAAGATCGACCAGTACGCGCCTCCCGCGGGATTCGACTGTGTTGTATTCTTTGGTATCACGCTCTATTTTGTCTGCGCTGCTACGCTGAGTCTGGTCCAACCGGGGACTGTAATTTGGGATCTGCTAGATTCATTCTTCCCGTTCGGGGCTCTGGGCTACCGATGGCTGGTCAAGGCAATTTTCGTTCCGGTATTGGTTATTCACATCACTGAGTCATGGTGGATGGCGAACACGAGGTTGATAAAGCACCGTGTCGCGACGGGTAGCAAGCTCTGGTGGCTCTGGACCGTGTCGCCCTTCTTCGAAGGTCTCATGGCATTCCGCAGGTTTGACGGTCTAGTTGAGAAGGAGAAGAAGAGAAAGGAGTCCGCAAAGCATTAGACTTACTACAGCAAAACGGCGATTGGATCCAAGCAAGTCGCCCGTCAGTATGACCAGCATCCTTCGCAGCGGTTTAGTACCAAGATCGACACTTGTTGCGGACTAAACTGACGTTGGCCTGACGAGACGCCACTCCAAGGCTGTAACTAAACATATATCGCCCTTCGACTGAGCTGGTGCATATCACTGTGTCACATCTTCGCTTGTACTGCTCTACACTGAACTCACATATAGAAATGGTCACCAAGTTCACTTTACAATCGACCCAGTTGGGATTTTGAATGTTTTTTATTGTTTCTGGTGGCACTGCTCTCCACAGTGGCCTTTCCTATAATGCCCCGACCCAATTTCGGACGACAAACTCTTCCCAACCGAAAATGCAAATGGTATCAATCCAAATGAGACGCTGTGTGGGTATTCCTTCTATTCCCTATGCTCCAAACACCGCTTTGAGTCCTTCAAAGTATATGTACTTCCCAATATCAGATGCTGCCTTGTGTCTGCTGTGCCACCGTGCCGGCCAACTTCATTGTGCATCTTGTTGTCAAAGGTGACAGGGCCTAAGCACCATCATTGTTCAAGTACTCCAACAGCATGTCTTGCATCTCCATGTCCTCTGCAGCATTCTGAGCGTCGACAGTCGCCGGCACCTGAGGACCCGACTCAGACAGTGGGTCGGCGCCAGTGTTTGGCGTCTCGCTGGCGATGGCGTTTCCACTCGCCATCTCGACCGAAGAAGCCTCGCCGCCTTGTTGCGAGATTGGCTCAACGTAAACTTCCGGTTGTTTCTCTCGCTGCCCTGCTGCTACTGCCGCTTGGGCTGCCAGATAGTTGCCGACGTGCGTGGTACACAGCCTCATGGCCTCGGCGATATACTGTTCTCCATCGGCAGTGTACTGTCTGCTGATCTTCCGCATTTGCTGCGCCTTTTGCTTTTGATCTGGGTCGTATAAAGCAGTCTCCGGGTCGTATATTTGCCTCAAACGTTCCAAGTAATTTGGCAATGGCACTTGTATCCCTTGTGTTGCGTTGGGGTATAAGCTGGAAAGAGCCTTGAAAATGATCGAGGACGACTCTCCCAGAGTGAGGCGCTGTTGCAAGAGCTGAATGATTCCCGGAGTCTCTTCACACGGATAATGCTGACACACCATCGCTGTGCGCAGGCATTCGAGTGCTTCAAACACCCTGTTGTCGATTTCCGTCACTGTCTGACGCAGCTCCTCGTTGTTGGCATTAGTGGTGCGCTTGTCCGATTCGCCGGCCGCACATGAGATGCCTCGTTTCTCACACAAGATGCAGGCCGTTCCAAGGCCGTTGGGCCGCACACATTTGGTCTTGGACCTTTGACATTGTTGACAAGTGACGCCTCGGCCGGTGCTGACTACCCTCTTGGTCTTCTGAACCCTGCCGGTCTTGTCGGCCTTTGCCTCTTTGCGTTTGGTGGCAGCTGAGACCGGAGAATGGATCTCTTCAGGGGCTCCCGCCTGGCCACTGACTGGGGCTGGAGCTTGAACTAAAGGCTGGGGTTCCAGGGCTAGTGGTGGTGGTGATTGTTGCGGTGCCACAGCTGACAACATAGGGTCTTGGTTGTGAATCAAAGGCTGAGCTGGTTGCGGTGGTAATGGTAGTGGAGCCCCAACTGGTAGTATAGAATCCTGAACTTGGACCAACGGCTCAAGTCCCAGCGCTGGCTGCGGCGGCGGTGGTTGTTGTGGTGAGACTACTACCAGATAGTGTTCTGGTATCTGTACAGAGTCGACGGATCCGTTTGCGTCGAAAAGATCATCGTCTTCCGAATCTTTTGAAGCGGGGGTTTCTTCTTGGTTCTCCACGACTCCTGAATCGACGACTTCATCCCCGTGAAGCGCGGGACTATCAGGCTCTGAAGCTCTTAGCTCAGGGGCATTCTGGGCATCGCTGCCTTTTCCTTCGAAGATAGAATCCAAACCAGGGGTGAAATCCTCGTAATGCTTGCCTGTTGTTAAGGAGTCACCAGAACCGAGCTCGGGGACAGGCTTGCTTTGGGCGTCTCCCTCGTTAGCGTTACTGGCAGCACTGATATCCGATGTAATCCTGCTGGGGGAGCTGCTTCCAGAGTTGTTGACCTCAGGGAGATTGTCGACAAGACCACCATCGGCGTTGACAATGTTGTTGTTGTTGATGTTATTGTTGCCGTGGGGTGTGTCATTCAGATTTGAGCCAGAGTTCCCCATGACAAGGTTATCGGTGAGATCGAAGTTATTCATGCCAAACTTCGGGCCTAAATGATTATTGATCTGGAGTACGGCAGGGTTGACGTATTGTTCCTGTGTCCCAAAGTATTGACTGTTGGCACGGGTGTTGTATCCGTGAGGCATGTTCGTATTTGAGCTTGGGTTAAACATGCCGGAGTTATCCATTGGAGCCCACTGTTGTGTGGCAAGGTTCTGGGCTTGATTCAATCCGGAGAACTGAATTTGTTGTTGCTCAGGTATTTGACTGATGCCATTGTTGTATACAGGCGGTATATACCAAATGTTCCCATTGGGGCCACCCATGCCAGGGTTGCATGGGAAGTTAGACTGCTGTGGGCCAGTGCTCTGAATCTGATGAAAGTTGGGTTGAATATTGTCTGAGTTGGCGTACTGCTGCGGTGGTTGCTGTGGTCCAAAAGCTTGACCGAAGCCAAGTTGTGGCATAGGATTGATCTGGAAGTTGCCTTGGTGGGCAGGGTGTGGAGGACATGAAGCAATGCTATTGTTGTTGTTGGGGTTGATGTAGCCCTGGGAAGCTATATCCCATTCTTGGTTGTCCTGAGGTTGGAACTGGGCGTAACCGCCATCGAACGCCTGAATATTCTGATGATCCATCGTGAAGATAGAGGGATTTAGTGTAGTGGGCAAGAGTTCTTTGATGAAGCCAAGGTATACAGGCTAGGTAGTTATCCTTTAAGAAAGGATTTGTGTGACAGATGAATTCTGGATGAAATTTTGGTCCACCTCATGAATGCTTGATGATCAAAATTTTTGAGGTGAAAGGAAAGGAACTGGGATTGGGAGGGTATTTGTATTTCTTCAACCGGAGAGAAGCCTCCCAGCAGCAATTATATTTTTTTACTGAATGCTGAGCAGGTATTAAGAATAGCTCGAAGTCTGGTTAGACTCTGGTCCTGTGAGTCGAACATTTTGTGCAGAGAGTGTAAAGCTTAGCCCGAATGACTATATTCTGAGATGGGGTGTGTTGTTTAAGAGGATACTACCGAAATGATTGGCCCGACCTGAAACCATTTGAACTATAATCATTCAAGACTCCGTAAATGAGCACGAATTTGGCACGGGACGACAGTTCCAGCAAAGACTTTTCCTTCGAAACTATATGCTAAGTTTTCGAACCTGTCCAGCACCCGAATCTTGACATCTCCGAATGATGCTACTGGTATCTACATTGCTACATTGAGGAAAACGCAGAAGTTACCTCTGGGAGTGCGTAGTAACAGCGCATCTTTACTATCCTGCCGTCTGTAACTTGGCCCTTTAAGGATAGCAGGTGTATCATCCGTCTTACCACTGTAAAAGACTTCGGATCACTCACCATTGCTCCCAGCTGGGGTCTTCAAGGGCTGTACATAGTATACAGTACTTATGCATAAAACACATTAAATCCGATTGGGCTGGGAAGCTGTTCAGTCGCACTGTCACTTCCAAGTCGTTAATGCTACAGCTGGCTGGAAAGCCTTGCACTGCTTCAGAGGATGATGGCGAGCTTTTAGAACAAAATGCAGCGCGCCCATGTAAACCGAATCTGACATATTTCTCTTGATGATGGGTAGACTTGTTCAGCACAGCACTGTGATACTTCGAGATCGAGAGCCGCTGGCTTCTGCATATGCCACTCTAAAGACTTATGGTAGACATCTGCGAAACGCAACTGATCTCAGTCGTCTGAACTTGGGAATGGAACAAGTACGACAGAATCCAGTGACGAAAACGAAGCGGGCATCCCTTGCGATTCGCTCACAGGCATGAGTGGGACAACTCTTCCTGTCACTGTCACATGCCTTGCCCATAGTGGAGAAAGGGGTAAAAAGTGGGACCCTGTGGTTTAGGTTTGACCCGAACATTCTCACAGTATACACCGACCCCACTAGACTCTCTGAATCTGAACCACTCTGTATGACCTGTTACTAACATACGCAACAGCTTAGAGATTGGGAGTATCGACCTCGAAGACACCTGAGATCTGAAATGAATGAGAACAGGCTGCACAGTTTCCCCCATTGTTCTGCTGACGTCGACAATTTGTTGCGACTGTGAAAGCCAAAGAAAGTTTATGCGGCGGACGCCCCTTCCAGGCTGTCAGGCATCCAGAAAATTCTCATCCGTAAGATTGTCCGGCGACGAGGTCTTGCGTGCGCACGAAAGAAACTGTCGATGAGCCATCGGGATCTGAAATACCCAAAGCACATGGCTTTCTCGCACGAGAAGTGATCCATGGAGCATCGTACCCGGCCAAGATCTTCGGGGGATGCAAAGAATGGAGCACACAATGGGCGCGCTTCGTCTAATGTGGACCTGCTCGTGAGCCGTTAAAGGCGGCTTGCGCCTCAGTAATGCAGTCTGCGAGAGGGTGGCCGTAGATCAGTGGGACGAAAAATGCCTGGTCTGGACAATATGCAGTGACCACCACGGCGAGGAGCTCAAACTGTGTAGGCATACAAAGCTGTGGGTGCGAATATGTCACCAGGAGGCCAGGAACGACGGAGCCATGAGTGATCATGCCTATGAAAACCCACATGCGGGTTGTGTAATCTTGGCAATACGTAAATCATTTTGCGTTTTGTTGGTATCAATTACATCCTTACGCATCACAACTGAATTAAAGCTTTCAGCTGTGATATCAGGCAACAAATTGTGTAGAAAGGAAGACGTTGCAAAGACTCGGGGCCAGCTGGGCTCTCATATCGGTGATTTTGATGCAACGGGAAGGGCCGAGTTCGTGACGTGTTTCGGCGATCCAGCGTGCGTGCTCTTTCCTATCTCGAAATGAAAAGATTTCCCCCCACACTGGAAGGAGCTATCTACGCGTAAGCTTCTCAGTTTATAGATAAATCCTACGCGGTTTCATGCGAACTTAACAACAGATTCAAAGAGCAGAGCCCAAGTCTCGAGAAAACTGTTTTGAGCCATTCTGCTCTCAAGACATTCCATGCCTTCTTTCAACTACCTCGATTGCAGTTTGACTGGTCACGGAGAGAGAATTCAAGTGAAGCTACCCCCTATGGTTGCCTTGCGTAGTTTCGACAACTCGTGGCTGTGCTGGACCACTTACTGAGGCTCCATTCCTGCTCGAGTTGATGCACCAAGCGACTGTTGCAAGAACAGAGAACAATGTACTCTGGAGCATCTGCAGGGCGGCTGCGCCAGTCATCAGTGCAGTCGGCTACTTTACCCTTCTCGTCGTATCTGAGACAACCTGAGTGTATCGAATAGTAAAAGATAGGAGACAGCACCTCATTGCCCGTTTGTAGGCCCAACCTTGTAGCCACAGTGCCACCAGCCACCCTGCGGCATGTTAGTATCCTAAAGAACTAGCAAATTAAGTGCCTTCGCAGCTGTGAGCACTCAGAGGACTGTCGCTTCCGTCGTCCTTGCATATGTTGGGAAAGACAGGTCAGTTGAACTGATGAGAGCACGGGTTTGGTGCCTAATCAGGCACACGGTATGATGTTGGCTTATCACAGCTTGGCGGGGCGCATATACACCTGCATACTAGACATTGTGATTGCCATTACGCCCAGGTTCAAATGCTCGTCATGATCCCTACATCTTTTGGGCCGGTGGCTTAATTTTGAACATGTGCATGTATAGGCTCACCTTTTCCATGAATGCGGAAACTGTCTAGGTCGCCGATTGCAAGAGACAAAACTTGACGTGAGAGTTTTGGCATCCTCGACGCTTTTAGAAAGGGTCTATCGAGATGAGGGTTGGATAAAAAAGCACGGGGAGTGCATGAATCACGCAGCCAATGCCTTGTGAGCCTTGAGGCTCCGTCTTAGCCCGTTGGACAGTTATATTGAGGGTACGTATCTGCTGCTCCAGGCTCTTCCGATGGACGCAGCTAATTACTGTGGACCACCATATTTGACTACGTTGTTACTACTGGCCGTAAAATGTAGATCATTCCACAGTACGCCTGTGTTATTGACCTGACGGATGAACAGAGACAAAGCGTGCATACATCCACGACTATAGAATATTATACTATTCCGATCGATACTTGGTTCGATACTTGCCTCCAAAAACTCCGTTCTTGAAGAAAGCTGAGCAGTATGAATACGCCGAGCCTGGATAGTGACCCTTTTATATCTAAGAGGAATCCGACATGATGGTTAACTTGTGAAGACAAAACAGGTATAGGTTGGACATCAATATCAAGGCACAAACGGCTCTGCTTCCCCAAAATCGTACTTGGTGAAGGAGCCACGAAGCCTTCTGTGTAGCCACATCCCCACCTGTTACATCGCCTCGGATCATACAGGCCCAATCATGCGAAAGGTCTCTAGGCATCGTCTCCTGGCACTTAAAAACAACTTCTGCGAGCCTAAACAAGGTCGCCCTAGCCTGTGGCGTCGGTCATAATCTATTTGACATTCATGATTGTACGTCATGAGATACATATGATCACATCATTCGTGTAGGAACCCCTCAGTCATCCTTCGTTGAGAAGATGCATGGATTGAGGGTCGAATATGGTAGATGAAATGAATCCAGAATGTGTGTCTTTGAGAAGTCAATACAATCTTTATGTACGAATGCTACCAAGATAAATGTACAGATCTCCATGCAAGCGTTTCATGGCCCGAGATGGCCATGCCATTCCATCTGCCCACCCACCGTGCTCGATACCGTCTTACCAAACGTCTAGAAGGAGGCAAATCCGAGCTCGTACGCCGATCCGACACTCAAGCGCGCGTGCTGGAGCACGTGGTCGAAGTTGACGTTGGCCATGGTGTCCTGAGCAGTGTGGATGCTCGCCAAGTGGTCCTCGAATGCAGACTCGAAGACCATGGCGCCGGGGTAGCCGGCCTTGGTGGCAGAGGCGTGGTCGGAGCAAGCGTAGCCGCACTCGGTGTCAACGACGGGAATTGTGACGTACTGATGCTCTGTTAGTGATCAAGAGAAGGGCGACTGGTCCTGAAAAGAATCTGAAGGGGGGGCATGAAACGAAAATGGGCCGAGAATCAGATCGCGGGAAAGAAATTCACTCACTGCCTTGATGACCTTTCTGATGAAGTTGGTCAGGGGAACGTCAACGTTGTCGGTGATGATGCCCATCTGTTCGGTCTTGCCAGGCTTGACGTAGCCAGTCATGTCCTGCTGGAGCATGGCCTTGACATCACGGCCGGCCTTGGCGTAGCTCTGGAAGATGGCTTGGCTGCCGAGCAGACCGCCCTCCTCAGCCGAGTACCAGTGGAACTCAATCGTCTGGGGAGCTTGGCCGGAGGCGACCTTCGGGTCGCTAAGGAGGACACGCATGGCCTCGAGGATCGTGACAGAGCCACTTCCATCGTCGTCTAGTCCATCGCATTAGTCGGCCCGCGCGTTTTTGAGTGCAAGAGTAGACTTACCAGCACCAGGAGCACGTCCGTTCATCGGGTTCGCCTGGTTGATGGAGTCTTGGTGAGCTCCGAGCACGATGGTCTTCGCGCTCTTGCCAGGGATCGTGGCGATGATGCTGCTCTGGCCCCAGGTGTGGGGGAAGAACTTGGCAGTGACACCCTTGGCGCCGGTGCTGGCAATCGTCTGGTTGACGAGGTTGCCGAGCCACGCGGAGGACTCCTTGCCGTAGCTTGACTTGTAGTAGCGGTTTTGGAAGTTGGAGAATGTCTCGAGGTTGGTCTTCATCAAGGTCTTGTTCAGCGACGGCAGCAGCGCGTTGACGGCGGCAGTCTGAGCCACTGCTGCAGGGAACGTCACGGCAGCTGGCTCTGCCTGGACGCGGAATGCAGCTATGTCCGACAGCTCCTGGTAGTCAGTGATATCGAAGAAGTTCTTGCCCTCCTGTGAAAAATCAGTGGCCGCTTCATATACTACCGGCCCGGGTGCGCTGGAAGATACTTACAGCCTTGAGTGCGAACTTCTCTGCCTCGGTCACAACCCTGGTCTCACCGGGCGCAAGCTCTATAGTATAGAGCTGCTGGGCTTCTTTCCGAGCGATGCTCAGAGCCGTGGTGGAGGCGGCAAGGGCCGCGATCAGCAGTGAGCGAACCATTGTGTCGAGTAGTGATACCAGAAGAGCGATGGCGAAGACGGCAGGGGACGAGATGGACTTGCACAAGCGAGTGAGGAGAAGGCTACTTGGGATAAGGATGAGGACCTATGTCTTGATATTTATAAATGCAGATCAGCTCAGTTGGGGACGCAGGGATGTAAGTGGAGATGGGTTGCTGCTCCCAGCTATAGTGGACTAGGCTCTCAGGCCTTGGGTGAAGACCGTTGGCAACCGGGTGCCCAAGACTTCGCCGTTACCCAATGCAGCAGCAAGAAGTGCGCCCAGACGCTGACCTGGGGATGTGCAAGCATTACCCGAGATAATTTAGAAAACTGCGGGATGCCATTCGATGCGATGTAACCTGCGACAGGGAACGGCAAGGCGAGATCTCTTCTGTGCGGTGCTACGCTGATCTTAAGCATGGTAAAGCTTATTTGCGGGGCGGCTCGTCCTTCCGAGATGGAGGCACTACTATCACGGAAGCTTTTTCTGCGGAAGCTTAGCAGTTCTCGCTGACTAGCCTATCATGGGCATCCCTGGACGAAGTGCGGCATATAGTTGACACCGTTCCCCAACGCGGGTGCCTGTCATTGTCCGCATTGCAAGGATGGATGGACCAGTTGCAGATACAGAGCAGTGGTCTTGGCGGCTCTGTCAAGAGAGTCACTTACAAGGGGTTCGGCAAGCGTTCTAGCGGGGTAGCCAATTGGAAGTCGTCTGATGCGAGCTTTTTGCCCAAAGAGGCAGACAGTAAGACCGCTGAGGGTCCCACCAGAACGCCAAAGTGGCCAGGTCACTCATAGCGTCATTCTCGATACCATTATAGTGCCACAAATAGGCTTGAAAGCCAAGTTCCCAACTTCCAGAAGCAAGCGACGTGCCGCTTCGTGTGGTAGTAGCCAAGGACATCCACTTGCGCGCTAATGAGCACCGTACTTGATGGAGGGCAGGTCAAGCTCACGGTTCTTGTGCTTGGCAGTGAATGCGGGTGCCAAGTTGGGAAGGTTGAACATGTGCCAAGCCGCAGGGTCCAGACACGATGCAACTCTCACCCACCGAACATTGGAAGAACACATTGGAAGTTTGGAACAGAAATTTGTCTAGAAAGAAGCTCAAAGTTGATTACAAAGTAGAGAACATCAATGGTAAGTCTGGAGATTCGGCAGCGGGGGAACCATGCCGCCGCAAGGGCACCTGACAAGACCGTTGCGACTCCAGGCAAAACGACTATAGCGGGGTTGTGGGAATGATCAGAGGGGTTGATCGGGTCTCAGAGTGCTAGAGTACAATACTCTTCAGTCACAAAACTAAGCTGCATGCTCGGGAGATCAAAAGGCGAGGTTACGTATGTTAAATAGAAATTGTATTTGATAGGTGTCCTGTCCAGATGCAGGGTCTAATCGTAAGAATAGGAAAAAGAAAATCGCCTCAGGCGCATGTTGAAATAGGTCCACGCGCGACACGGCGCTGGAACCCCAAATAGAAGTGAAATGTGTATATACACGCGTAAACCCGAGCCAGCCCCCCAGCTCTCACCCCTGTTGCCCAGAAGCCCAATGATCCAAGTTACCGCCTGCTCTCGCACCTTAGACAACGCCGTTCGTGAAGACGACCTCGAACGTGCCGGTGCCGGAGCGGATGATGGCGCCGGCGTTGTAGTTGGGGTCGTCGATCCAGACCTGGGCGGCGTCGCAGACGCTGAGCTCCCAGGCGCGGGCGGCGGCGTTGTAGGCGCGGTTGGGCTTGTCGATGGTGACGTCGAGGATGGCGTTGCCGTAGTCGTTGGTGATGAGGGCGGCGGCGGGCGCGCCCGTCAGCAGGTTGGCCGCCGTGCAGCCGCGCACCAGGTTGGTGCCGTCCGTGGTCCCCAGCGCCGCCCCGCCGTCGCAGCCCTCCAGGAAGCTGATGTCGCCGTACATGGCCCCCGTCGAGTCCACCGACGCCTCGACCCACGTGCCCAGCGTGTGCGCGTTGCCGTCCAGCTGCACCGACGGGTTGCCGCGCTGGATGCGGCCCTGGAACGTGCTGCACACAGAGACGAAAGCCCGGGTGCCAATGGGGATCTGAAGTTTCCGAAGAATGGTTTATCAGCTGGGGCTCTCTTGCGTAGAATTCTCAGGGGATATTGGGTGCGTTGAATTGGACGTATACTTCCTGTATACGCCTCATATAGGTTGTGTGTTATACGAGGTGCGGCTTACATCAAGGTATTTCCACGGGTGAGTGTCCCGGCTGTTCTCGATGATGAAGTACTTCACATTGGCGTCAACGTCGTTGTTGGTGATATAGAAGCCAGGTCCACCCTCAGCATCACCAGCTATTGATTACGTTAGCGAGCTATAGTATTGACTCAACAGAAAAATACAGCTTACTGGTTGCGAAAGCAGGCGTGTTTCCGTCGCCGCAGTAGACGATCTGTCGCTCCTGGACCGGCAGGCTTACGCTGAGACCGAGGCTGCTGAGGCAGCCAACGGCAGTGAGAGTAGAGGCTTTTGAGAAGTACATTGCGGCGAAGAGGATTCACTGGATCTGGATCTGGTTGGATGTTTGGGACGATTGGCGGATGGAGCTGGTTGAGCATGGTGATCTCGATACATCCGAAGATGACGAGACGACTTTTATAACCAACATCCTGATCATTGTCTGCATTGACTCGCCGTCTTCAAACAACGCAGAAAAAATATTCTCGATGGCACGGATGGTGGTGAGCTCTTGTTCCACAACTCAAATCCTTAGTCGGACGTCCGCGGTTCGGTTGTCTGGGACGGGAGCTTGCGCTTAAAGCCGTTTAAGTTGGTCGCTTATACTCACATTACTTCTTGACAGAGGCTGATGTGTTGACAATCCGCTCGGACGAGACTCCATGAGGATTTCTTGTCTTCGAATACTGGCCCGACTCAGGATGAAGCGGTCTCTGGCGTTGCAGGTTGCGCTGAGCTTGGCATCTGTACATGCAAAGTTCTCGTCCCCATCAGCTTCTTGTCCGAACAATAGGACCATGGATGCGATATCAGTCGAAGCTCATCTGAAATAGAATCCATTCGATTTCACCCTCCCACTGAAGGATTCACTGATGACTGCAATCTCATCGGTCAGGTCCAACTACTGTGTGTATGTCGCATTTGGACCACAAGATAAAGTTTCCATGGCGCCTCTTCTCGAACGGGTCAACTAGTGCCATGCACCATCAAATGCCATGCAAATGGACTTGACGCCCGCAGCACGAGCACAGATCTAGGGGCATTGCACCGTCTTGGCTTAAAGCACGTCCTCATTGCAACTTCGCTTGCTTGACGTAGCCGCCTCGATCGCCCTTCACACTCTTGACACGCGGCGTCCACCGCAAGCCACCAGAAACAGACCTCGCCTCATCGAAACGCGAAGCTTCAATGACTCGCTGCCACAGCAAAAGGACGGCAATTTGAGGTCGGGCTCAGCAGTATGAGCTACAGCTCAGTAGAAAACAAGTGTCAATTTACTGGAACTCGGATGTCCACTCTTGGTCAAGTCAACTTTGGCAAGGTAATATGGGTGGGAATCAGGTGTCGCATCACGGCAGGACACAGGGGCAACGCTGATGTTGAGAACCCGTGCTTTAATTTACAAATGCACGCCTAACCGGGCTATTTACGATTACGAGAAAATTGATTCTCGTAGATGACCGAGCTCACACGGTAGACAGTGTCCTAACGCCAGGTTCTCCCTTCACTACTGCTAAAAGTGGCAAATGTCTCGAACCGGCCTCCGATTTTCCTTACGTAGAACCATTAGACCACCACTTAACACCACTGAACAAGTTTGCCCAGTGGCCCTAATACCCACCGAAGATTTTGTCCGCTGATGTAAGAGACCGGAGAACAAATTTCTGGTGGGAGAAAATTCATTAATCGAGAACATCGTGTCCTCCAATGTTACAGATGACCACAACCTGTGTACCAGGGCGTGGTCCACCGCAACGCCGTGTTATTACACCAAAGACGTGTCCACAGTCGTTCATTCATCAATCGTGACCATCCTCGTTTCAACATCAAGCCTCAGATGAAGCCGGACGCAAGCCGCTAACCAGACCCAAGTGTTTCTTTGACTGGTGAATATGGCTAATCGCAGGCTGCTAGACGAATCAGAGGCAGAACGAGAAAGGAGGCGCCTGTAAGTTTGTACAGCCTGTACATATCGACGTCGAACAGCACGGTAGCGCACTTAGTAGTCGCGCATGTGCGGATTACGGGCAGTGTCGACAATGCGCCTGGCCATGCCGATGGACGAAGACATGCGGCCCAAAATTGTGCTGCCTGTAGGTACTTCCCTCGCGACACGAGCATACAGCGCTTCCATATTGTTGATGAAGCCGCCCAAAATGTTGGGGATTACCTCACGAACTTGGCTGTCCTGTAGGAATGAGTTAGTGAGCTGTGAAAAAAGAAGGTAACACAGAATAGAAAGAACGTACAATATTTGGCAGAGATTTGTACAAGCTGCCGATGATCACGCCAACCCAGTCGATCCTTTCGTTCAGATGCGGACCATCCAGATTCTGGGCAAGCTCGGCGATAACGGCAAGACCCACAAGAGGAGACAGCGTCTGCAATGGAGCAGTATTGAGTCGCGACCAAAGGTGGGCGAAAATCTCGTCCTTGCGGTCAGATTGAAGCCATCTCACAAGAGCGCCCTCAATCTCGTCACCGTTGACTTGGGCGGCTATTTCACCAATCTTACGCTCAAGGTCCTGGTCCTTCGTCACACCGGAACCGCTTGAGGGGTAAGTCATGACCTGGTTGCCCGAGTGTGCCGAGGGGCTGCTGTACGCCTGGTGGCGGGAAGATGCCTGACTTCCAAAGCTTTGGTTGTGACTTTGGGGGGCTGCGCCTGTCTGCGAAAAGGGGATGTGCTTCGCTGCCTGCTGGCTCTCGGGGCGACGATCTTGTGATGAACCATCATACATCCTCCGGAAATGAGTCTGAAACTCCGCTTGGCTCTTAGCCATGGTGGCAACGGTTTCGGAGAGCGTGTTGACCAAGGATGAGAGCTGGTCAATCTTGTTGCTATCAGCATGTAGCTTCTGTTCTAGATCCTCGATCTGGGCGGCAGCCTGCTTGTGGACGTCATCGACCATCTTGGTCGCGGCAGCAACAGCCATACGGCTGAAAGCTGGGGTGACGCTATCGTTGAGTGCTTCCACGAAAGTCTTCTGGACCTCACTGGCCAAACCATCCGTAAGCTTGCTAGTAACTGCTCGGGTGACCTCAGGCTTCAGAAGAGCTTGACCAACGGTGTTAGGAAGCAGCTTCTGCATCTGGTTTTGGACCGCGTGCGAGATTCTTCCGGTGAGCTTGTTGTCAAGCTGATCCGTAACGATGCGATTGATCTGGTCCGAGACGGTTTGCTTCAAGATTTCATCGAGAGCCGGAATGACACGTTGCTCGAACTGGCTGCTAATGGTCTTCGTGAGCAACTGCTGGACGTTGTTGTCGAGGGTAGCAGACACCACATCCAGAAGGTTCTGCTGGCTCTTCTTAAATGCCCCCTCGCGACTTCGGGCCTCCTGGTCCATCTTTTGACGGTTCTCGCGCAGTGCTTGCTCCACGGCGTTGGCGACGGTAGTTTCTACTTGCTTGACAGCAGATTGGAACGAATCAGAAGAGGTGACAGACTGCGATGTCGTCGACGATGCTTTGGCCTCTGTGTTCTTTCCTGAAGCCGGTGTGACCTGGACTGCCTGAGCAGTTCCATTCTCGCCTGCGGCAGCATTCTTCTCGGCGGCGGCAGCGGCAGCCTTGTCCTTCTTCTTTCGGGAACGACGTTCGGCCTTCTCAAGCTGACTTGGCGTCGCATTAGTCTCTGACTTGCGGTCATGCTGGTTACTGGTAGATGGAACATCCTCAGTACCCTTTCGGGCGACGTCCTCCCCAGACGTTGGCTGCGTGTTTTCTTTGTCCTTGGCGCCAGAGCGACCTGTACGTATGGGAAGGGACACTGAGTCCTCAGCAGTCTGGCTTTCGGTAGGTTGAATGGCAGGGAGCTCCTTGAGTTTGCCAATCTTGACGACACCAGTAGCAAGAGCATCCACGGGGGCGACAACTTTATTGTCTTTAGTCCAGCCAAGCTCATTTTGCTTGATGCAGATGCCTGACACGCCCTTCGAATGCATGGCGTAGAGTTCGAACAGGGTCTGCTCATCACTGTCTGAGGAAGCAGCAGGGGTTGTCAACATATCCAAACTCCGAATGACTCCCTTGTTGGCGAAAGAGTACTCGCGAACACCACTAATGACCGCAGTGGAATCAGGCTCGGGGACAGACGAGTCCTTCGCAACAAGCTTCTGAATGAAGTCGACTTGAGACAGACCCTTAAGCGTGTACTTCGGAGCCGACAGGTGCAGGAAGTAGATGGAGTTTCGCGTGGGGTGTCCGACTACGATCATACCGGTAGGTGGATGGTACATCACACTGCACACTGCATCAGATTCCTTGGAGTGCGGCAGGTTGAACTCCTGGACAGGTTTTCCGAGAGCTAGATCCCAGAGCTGCAATGTGTGGTTCTGTTTCATACCCACGATCATGTAGCGCAGGGCACAACGCTTCTGGTACGGCCGTTGCTTATCCAGCAGTAACACAGAGGTTGGCCAGGCCTTCTCGCCTTCGGGAGTGGTCGTCAGAGTCATCAGAGGCTCCTTGACTTCGAGAGAAGTCTGCGCGGGCATTGGGAACCTTGGGTCTGAGCCTTCATCGGCAGCCGTCAGATCTCGGACGTCCCAGAACTTGACACGGCCAGACTTGTCTAGAGACACGATTGTGGTATCGTCCTGACTGAACGTGAAGTCTTTGCCGGCCTTGCCAGTGTTGATTCTCAAAGAGCACTTCTTGGAGAGTGTCTCGGTATCAACAACGCGGTCGTGACCAGGCTTGAAGAGGTTGTTCTGCATGATGAAGGACGGCCAGACAATGCTGATGGTCTTGCCGCGCCCCACGGCGAAGTACTCGGGATGGGTGGACGAGGTCCTGGCACGCGTCTTGAGGACGCCACCGGGAGCATCACCTTCCTGGGTGGTAATGGGAGGGAGGGCGAACCCATGCTGCTCCGGGTGGGCGTCATCCAGATAATCCTTCTCTCCGTTCTTGATCAGCTCGTAGTAGACAGTGCCACTGATGCCGGTACCGATGATTGATTCCTTATGCGGGGTGTTGAGGTCGGCTGGGGTGGAGGAAACCGCAACATTGAAGATGCGGTCCTTGGTATCAGTGAAAAGCTTGGCATCGCGACCATCATCCTGGCGAATGACGCGGAGACCACCGGCCTTGGACATTCCGTAAATGATGTACGTCTCAGTGGCTGACACCAGGTTGCGGTCGATCTGGTCAAATTCTTTCTTCACGCGTGCAATGTCCAGGATGACTTCGTCACGGAATTGCGGACGAGGCTCCTCGTTCTCCTGTAGGGAGATCGAAATCCAAGGCTTCATGGGGAAGTTGTAGACTTTGACGGGGGAAGCCTCCTCCTCAATGACCACAATCTCATCAGCTTCAGCGCTTTCCCAGCTGTCGGCAACAGGCTGACTGTGGGCCGCCTCGTCAACAATATCGTGAATGGCCTTGGCCATCTCGGGCGGGAGCGAGTCTTCGAGGATGCCGGAGTTCTCTTCCTTCTGGAGCTCATGCTGGATATCACGGGCGACGATTTCGGACTTCTCATCAAATTCGGCCTCGCTCTTAGCAGCCAACATGTCCTCGAGCTCTCTCGCAATCCTGGCCTGCGCCTCCTCTCCCTCAGCTCTAGCCAGAGCCTCTTGTGCTTCTTCGTTGACAGTCTGAGCAATGTCGCCGACAGCCTTGGAGACAGGCTCTTTGGTGAAATCGGCTGAAGAGTCATAGTGGGCTCGGTTGGCTTCAAAGGCAGCAGGCGAGTGATTCTCTGGGCTGAAAGCGGGGCTTCGACGCGAACTGATGTGCTTCTGTTCAAACCTGTGCTCATGTGCTCCGGGAGAAGAGGTCGCGCTGGGAGCCTTCTTCAAGATCTGGAAGGTGGGAGCTGTCGCACCGTGCGCATGGCTGCCGGAAGTCATGGACTTCGGTGTTCGGTTGTGCGGCGACGGGGCCTGCGACAGGTCGTCAAACGGATCCTTGTAGTCGAAGATGGTCTTTCGGCCAACACCATTCTGGGAAGCAGGAGAGCTGTATTCGGGCTTTGTAGGGGGCGACGGAGCATGGTGCTGCTGGCCTAGGAAAGGGAAGTGTGTAGACGTGCTGCCCTCCAAAGCCTTCTCAGGTGTGTCACGAGCCCCGTGAAGGTCTCTCGACTGATCGTGGGCGGAACCTTGGGTCGTAGACTGCGGCGTCAAGGTAGTAGGGTGCGCCGACTCGTTTGCCGACTGTTGGTCGGTCTGAGAGGGCTTCTTGCGCTGGAGCAGGTTGAGAAGGTAGGTCTGGGTGTCCTCGGCCGGACCTGGCGCGGCATTCCAACTGCCTGCAGGAGCAGGTGCCGGGTGACCTTCTTGTCGTTGAGACTCTTGGTGATGGTCACCCTTCATCAATGAAGCCAGGAAGCCTTGAGGATCGGCAGGCATTGGCACCGGCGCGTGAATGGTAGTGGCACCGGCGGGCTGAGGCAGATTGGTGGAGCCATCGAACGATGGGAGACCAGGGGCTGAGGAGTGTGAGTTCCTGTGGGAATGAGTTGAGGAGTGCGTGCTACCACCACCGTTGTCCTTGAACTTGAGCAGATTCAGCAGGTTCGCGGACTGGTCACCCGGTGCGCCAGCTGAGCCGGCGGAAGGCGGCATGCTGCCAATCGGACCCAGACCCATGGTCATGCCCATGAGGCCGGGAGGACCGTGGGAGTGGGAGAAATGGCTCATGGGAGGCGTGGGGGCGGCGGGCGGCGGGAAGACGTCCGAGCCGGACATTAGAGGTGAGTCTGTATCTTCGGGCTGGTGGCCTCCACCGCCACCGGCCGAGCTGGAGCCGTAGTAGCCGCCGTGCGACTGGTTTGCCTGGTTCAGGGTAGCAAAGCGAGACAGCAGATCGCGCTCATCGCTGGGGTTTCCGGCACTGCGTCCTGCCTGGAGGCGCGCAAGCATGGACTGGAGGTGATTGTGGTTGTTTGGGTCGTTTGCACCCGACGGATTGTAGCTCGCCATCGTGACTGGGTCGGTGGGCAAGCGAGCTACGGGGTGCAGCAGTCGCAGGCGGTGGGGGAAGGCGTTGCTTCAGGGCGAAGCTGGCCGTTCCTAAAATATTGTGCGATGGTGCAGAGGGCAATCCAATTACCGTGGTAGGTGGATATGGGAGGAAGATGGAGATGGTGTATCAGACGATAAATCCGATGGATAGTGTTGTCTCCAAGTACGTACAGACGGATTGCGAGTGGCTGAACTTTTTTTTTTCCCCTTTCCTGCGGGAAGAGCTGCCCAATGCTTTTTTCCAGTCAACCGAGCGCCGGGTCAGAACCACCTGGGAGCTGGGAACTGGGAGCTGGAGCTCCAAACCGAGCTAGCCAAGTTGAGTACGGGCAGTACCCAACTCAGTAGGTACGGTAGGATCGGGCAGGACCGACACGTCACGACTGACCGACGAAATGGCCTGGGATGTGTCGGATGCTTGACTGACGGAGAGGCCGGTCAGGTGAAGAAGTAGTGGAAGAAGAAAAATACTAATGCGGGCAGTTCTGGAGGAAGGGGAAGAAGAAAAGTCGTGACATCAAACGGCGAACGCCTGCCCCGGGACAGAACACAAACTGCGTTGGACAGCTATGCATGCGGCGTGAGCTGTACGCGGTGCGATTGGGTGGCGGGTGGTGATGCAGAGGACTCCAGTAAAAAGTTACCCAGGTCGCCAGCCAGCCAGCCAGCCAGCCTCGGGGCCTAGTTCAGCCGCTGCTTTGGTGCTGGGTGCTTGTCAACTTGCGGTGCTTGGCTTCCAGGTTGGCTGTCAACTGCACAGATCCTGGTCTGTTCTGTTTGGTCAAGCCCGATCCAGACAATCAGATGTTCGCGGCCAGGCCAAATCCAGGTGAGCGAGGTGCTGGCCGAGATTGAGCCGGCCTTGTCCCACTCGAGGTCTGTCTCGACTTTTCGAGTCTACGAAGAATGGTGCAGGTGCTGGATCAGGGCCCGAATCTACACACGGAGAAGTACTGTACAGTAGATTCGCTCGATTCTAGGCGATCGGTCATAAAACATGGGCGATGGTGGCGGCCTGGGTGCCTGAAGAACTCGCGCCTTGGGGCGGCTCCCGCGTCGGGTTAGTGGTTAGTTAGCGAATGCGCGGGGCAACACATCCGCGGTAGTAGCGCCGTTACATAATCGCCTTGTCCCCTAGCCCGCACCAGGCCCGACTTTCCTTAGTCAGAGATCTAACGCCAACGCCAACGCCAACAGTAGATTCACCCTCGTCTGATCGCATCGGCATCGGCATCGATAGAGCCAACCCGCACCTCCTCGGACCCGCGCAACGACCCTCTCCTCTGCCGGAGGTCCAGCGTCGATAGCCACACGTGCTGCAAACTGGGAAGGCCCCCTCGCAACTTGCGGCCGCGTTACAGGCCTCAGTCTCTCCTTGATGCCCGCAAGAGCCCCTTCCAACTAGCCTCGCATCAGGATCGCCTCTGTCCTACCCTCATTCGTCCGCTACCATCATGTTCTGCCTCAGAAGGTGAGTTTTCGCACCACCACAGCAGTTCCGTCTCTGTTCTCCCGCTAACAGTGCCCTCCAGCTGGCTCCCGCTTCTTTTCATACCTACCAATGCCTCCCCGGCCTTCATCTTCCTCTTCTTCGTGTGCACCTACTTCCTGAACCGCCCCTGCGTGTACTGCTCTGTGCTGCTGCTCATCCTATTCGTCACGTCGTGCTACTGGTCCGACCGATGCTTTTTCGACTTCAGCAGCAACTGGTTCGCCCCGCGGCCCTCGACGTCGTACTACTACGACCCCTCAAGCGGTGCTTGCGCCGCCGGCAACGCCACCGCGATGACAGAGCCAGGCTTTAACGAGACTGCCATGGAGATGTTGAACACGACGGCAAACGCGCTGGCTGGTGCCGCTGCTGACGAGCTAGCAAGACGGAAGGCGGAGTGGACTGGGCTGGGTGTCGAGTGGCTGAGGAGCTTACTGGGAAGGCGGGAATGGAGGATTGAGTGTATGGACCTTAATATACGACTGTGAGAGTGCGGTGGTCATGGTGTGTCGGCATGGGTACGAAATACTCTGTGTACAAAACGCGTGGCAACCGATCAGACGATACCCCTCACACGACGGAGAATCTACGATCGAGTAAGGACGCGAAATAAGACACATTAAAGAGCATACGGCGGCGTTGTTTGGCTTTTCATAGAACATTACGAGTTCTCTCCATCAGTTCAAGAGCTTATACTTGACGCATGCATGATTTAGCGTGGAAATGGGAGAGGGCATGTGTTCTGCGAGTCGGCGGTTATGCTGGGTTACAGAGGTGTGATCCCCTGCTGTCCATCGCCTGTCTCTAGAACGATCCCGACCATCGTCCATCGAGGCATCCACTTTGGGCTCATTGAGGATTAAAACTCCAAGCCGATGATGAATGTTGTTAATACGTATATAACCTTAGGCTTGACGTCCAACCACCGATCCGGGCACGATATTAAATTGTCCTCGACATATACGTCCATGTCTAGCCCTCCTCACCTGGACGCTACCTGCCATCCCATAGTCACCACTGCACAATACTTCCCGGGACCGTTGGGCAGGCAGAGGAACGTTGACCATCTGTAAGCTGAGAAATGTCAGTTCGTAATTGGATATTTGTAGATTCTTCCGGCTTGTCTTCCAGGTGACGCACAATGACCACGTCCTCAGGCTTTCCACAACCTTGAGCCTTGAGGCCCGTTGCCTGAAATATACTGGGATGGGGGACCATGTAAGTGCAGCTTGGTCAAGATCAATCAATGCTGGCCACATCATAGCGTTTTTGTCAAGTGCACAGGGGAGTCAGCTAGTTCTTCGTAGGAGCCCGGCATTTGCAAACCTCAAACAATGGTAAACAGATCCCCCTCGCGGTGTTCATCCCACGACGGCAAGTTACGTCCCAACACAGACTTTAAGCGATCTATGATCATCCAATTGTTGGAAACTATGGGCTGTTCCAGTTCATTTGGGTCGTCAGCCCAGTGATTAGTCTTTGTCTTGCCTAGCACTTCCGCAAGATCATGTTACTCATCGACTTATACGGCAGCGGCTACCAGCAAACAATTAAATCCCTGAGAAAACTTCCTTGAATGTGGTAAAAGCCATGAGAAGGGTGCCGACCGGGTTTCCCCGAAGATCAACATTAAGCTTAGTAGATTTTCGATTCCATTCTCCTGTAAGAGGCTGATTTACTGCGGTAGTAAAGGTGCGCCACCCCCAGCCGGATTTGTCAAAGCCGGATACCCTTCAGACCACAGTGGAAGAGTCGTTCAAGAAGCACCAAGTGACGACACTGATTCTTCGGACATTCCATAGTATATCGGCTGATGGATATTGAATGGAAGTCACATTATCCCAGCCATTGGTATAGCTTAGCTGGATGTAGTTTACACTCTCAGTGTCAAAGCTGTGGTTCCACGCCGGCGGAAGTGGTACTTCGGAGATAGAAGGAGGTTTATTCCAGGGACGAACAATTATAGTAGTCCCTTCCCGTTGCCAATGGCCCAGTAAAATCGGCGATCGTGTAGATGGCTATCATTCTGTATCTAGCGTGCTACCGTTGGCAAAGATGAAGTTGATCTAATCGCGCTCGTAGAATTTTCACGTAAGAAGCACGCTATAAACCTCCTATTGCTGCCTGTACGGGGCTATGCATAAGTTGAATCTAATATGCGTGAGGCTCAGACATTCCTATGGAGATCAGCGTGCGAATCTCGAGAGATATTCCAACACATTTACCCCGTTCATCTGTGAAACTGGAGTGATGCTAAAGCCATCTTTCCGGCAATCTCGGTGTCATCTAGATGGTATTAGAAGCGGTCACAAGCGCTGCCTTTTTACTAAAGTTATTGGTTGGTGTAATGTCACCCAATGGCAATCTGGTAGCGTCCGAATCCGTGACCATCAACTCCAAAATACATCAGTGGCCAGATACAATTAGTATTTATAGGTTTAGGATAACAGCCGTAATATGGTATTGTCCCCAACGGATTAAATGCAGTGTTTTCGAGAGATGCCTTGGGCAGCATACCTGTGCTGAGCGATTTCGGGCGAGCCCCGACGGCTTATCACACTGGTATAGTGTGCCCTTTTTTCATGTGAAGGAAATGTCCATGTAGGGCAGCTCGTCTAAGTCCTCTCTGATTGCAATTATGCAAATGTACAGTCCGAGTCGTAAGGAGGCAGCTTTATCAGTTTTAAAAGCGCACATATGTGTACAAACCGCAAGCGATACTCTCGGTCCGTCGGAACTGCACTATCATGCCCCACGTTGTTCATCCAGGCTTATTTGAGTGTCCTGAGCTTTCTCTGAACATCACCACTACAATTGCCTACATAGGTGTCTTAGATTGCTCTAGATCCTCTTCAATTCAACATCTCTCGCGACCAGACACTTCGAGCCGCAAGATGGCTATCGCGGTACTCGGCTCTCTTCACATTCGCCACGTGCGAGCTCCGCTGACGGATCACAGGCAGTGGGGCAGATATGCTCAACAGCGTCCATGACGCACAACCTCGAGCAATGTGTCAAGCTCGTGGCAAGAGCCGCAGCAGCTGGTGCGAAGGTGAAGATCATTCCGTAGTTCCCCCAAACATGAGTTCCAAGGCGCATCGGGCCTCGCCTGCTATGTCTCCCTAAGCCGCCAAAAGCATGGAGCAAAGGCGATGGACTGAGCGTCGGTTCTCGCACTTGGACGAACGCGCAGGCGGTCATGAGAGACCGGAGATGAGCATTTGCAACTTGTGTCGCAGCATCTTTGGAACATTGAAACAGCTCGTCGTCTTGCCAACTGACCAGTAGATAGGTCTTGTTCCTCCCGGAGGCTTCCGATTACATCGCAAGCTCCAGCACCGAATCTCTCTCGCTTGCTAAACCAGTGTCATCGTCCCCCTTCGTGACCGGTCTTCAGTCTGCGGCAGCGAAGCACTCACTCGCCGTACATGTCGGGATTCACGTCCCAGTGACGGTGAAACCTGCCAGCTCATCCACCAGCAACCCCGTTCTGACCGCGATCGCCCAATCGGACTCCTCCTCGGGAGCCTCGGCAACGAAGCTTTACAACCGAACCATTTGGATCAACGACGATGGTTCTATCAACGAGAAGGCCAACTACGATAAACTGCACCTCTTTGACTACGCCTCATTGCGTGAGTCCAATACAACTCAAGCAGGAGTCAAATTCACGGCCCCATTTGCATCACCTGTAGGGCGGGTAGGCAGCCTAATTTGCTTTGATCTGCGGTTCCCTGAAGCAGCATTACATTTAGCAAAGCCATTACCGTCCTCTGAGTTTGCGAACAGCCCTGCGCAGGTTCTTCTCTATCCATCGGCTTTCACAGTTCCCACGGGGCGAGCGCACTGGGAGGTCTTACTCAGATCCAGAGCGATTGAAACCCAGAGCTGGGTCATTGCGTCCGCACAAGTTGGAAGGCACGGAGATGGTGCAAAGAGAGTCAGCTACGGGAAAAGCCTAGTTGTAGATCCGTGGGGGAAAGTTGTGCTGGAGCTCAAGGGAGTCAAGGGTGAGAAGGACACCGAGTGGGAGGCAGAAGACGGAGCTGTCGGTGAGTTGGGTCTGATCGATATTGACTTGGAGCATTGGGATGGGGTTAGGGAGAAAATGCCACTCATTCGAAGGACGTAAGTGTTGATTGGAAGACCCCGAGCCACGCAGCGAGCCGGGTCCAGTGTCCATACCATGCTAACAATCGCTAGGGACGTATACTCCGAAGTCTAATGTTCATATTGACCTGGCGTGCTAGGATGTCATGGATTGACAGCTTCAGAGCCCATCGATATATGTGCTGCTTAGACTGATACTGTGCTACTGACCGATGTAGACTTGCATAAAAATAGTTAAACCTCCTCTTATATAACAATCATAGAACGGTACATAAAGCCGATAGACTGTCGTCTGGATTCTAGGAATACAGTTCTCAAGTTTGCTATAAGATGAAAGTTGAGGGCTTATTTCATGCCTTGCCACATTGCTTTCGAAAAACTGCTGTTTGAACTATGTCATATTGAGATTGAACGGGGTTGAACCTGATCAGTATTCTGTGAACAGGAGAACTTAAGTGATTGCACATCCCCCGCACCTATACGGGCCCATCGTTTCCAGTCTCCAGGTCCTGTGTGACCGTCATGCTGTATAGCCAGCCCCGCTTAGGAAATGTCTCCGCTAAAGGTTCTCCGACTCTCAGTTGTCGGATAAGCTATATCCAGCTTGGCCATTCAGCGCTATAATTAATAGTCACCAGGAACGAGAGCCAGTCATTAGCATCGACGCGGATACAACACACATTTAACACTACATCTCTTCACCCAGGAATAAACGTCTTCCATCAAAACGCCTGTCGTCCTTAAGTACCAATACTATTCTTCTGCAGACCGTGGCCATGAAGGCAGGGCAATGGGACGGGGTATGTTGCCCAAATTGCCTTTACGAATGGATAAAGAATTGACAGCTGTAGACATTAAAAAAAGTCGTTATAAATGACATACCCATCCCAGCACCTGTCGAGAACCAGTTTCTAGTAAAGATACATTCTGCATCGCTTTGTCACTCTGACCTAATGACAGAGCTCCGTCCTGCGAGCGCTGTCACATTAGGCCATGAAGGTGTAGGCTTCATTGAGAAGATACATCCCTCAGCGGAAGGGAAAGGCTTCAAAGTTGGCGATGCCGTGGGCTTCAATTATTTCATCAACTGCTGTTTCGAATGCGATGGCTGTTTGGTACATAACATGAGATGCGAAACGGGGCAGTCTCAGCTACAAGGGTTTGCCGTTGATGGCTTCTTCCAGGAATATGCAGTCGCAGACTATCACAACTGCGTCGTTTTACCCAAGGAACTTGATATGAAGCGAGCAGCGCCACTGTTCTGTGCAGGTATCACAGGTATGCTTTCCTCGCGTCAAAGCGTCTCTATATACTGACATTCAATAGCATTTCATGCCGTGGACAGCTGTGAACTGCAACCCGGACAGTGGCTCGCTGTGATCGGATGCGGTGGGCTGGGGCAATACGCAACTCAATATGCCAAAGCCATGGGATACAAGGTCGTCGGAATAGACATCAATGACGATGTGCTCGAGTCTGTGAAAGCCCTAGGTGCTGATGCAACGTTCAATTCTAGAACCAGTTCGAACTACCTAGAGGAGGTCAAGAAAGCTACGGGGAAGGGGGCACATGCAGTTGCGGTTTTCTCTGCTGCTGATGCTGCATATGCCGGGGCTCCAGAAGTGCTGCGGGTCGGAGGTCTTCTGATGGTCATCGGAATCGCTGGAAAGCCATTGCAAGTCTCGACGTTTGATCTGTGCACTGGTAGATACAGGATCAAGGCAGACAGTACCAGCATTCCGCAGCGGATGCCAAAAGCTGTCGAGTTCACGGCCAAGCACAACATACAGCCAGGCGTCGAATTCAGAAAGCTTGAAGATCTGCCTGCTATGTTTGAGGATATGCATCATGGGAAGACAAAGTGCCGACAAGTAGTGCTGTTCTAGCTTTTAATTCCACGAATTTGTCAATAAAACGCCTTTCGCGGAAGGAGATAGGACATAAATGATATCGTTCCTGTGTCGTCAAGCCTCGGGTCTCCTCACACATATTGTATGTAATACACAGAAGTCAGATATGTCTTCCAAGCAGGTTCCCTTTAATCAATCAGCCCTCCAGCAGTACCGGGTGATTCACTGGCTAGCTGCCGTCATCGTAGCTTTAGAACTGTATAAGTATTCATTTGTTAATAGGCAGGGGCGTACGACTCGAGATCTCCCCCCACCCATGGCTATAATATGCGCTGAAGCTCTTTACGATACGATTGAAGATCATGACGGAGTTGAAAAACAGGTATTCTAGATATTCGATATAGAGAATGGGATGGGTGAGGCACACGACTGTGATGCATTCATGTCTTCAATAGTTAAAATCTCGGACGACGCTCCCACGCACCATTCAATAGGAAGTCGAACAAACTGGCATATTAAGCAGCCGTTCGGATGGAATAAAGTCAGCTCATTAGAGTTCATGACCAGCACTGCATTGTCTCGGCCAATCATCGTAGCCTCAAGTTAGAGTTCGAGAAGCTCAGTAGCTACGCCTTGACACCCGTGCGCACCCTTGTGCCCGATGGCCTGGAGAGTCGACAACACACCGTAAGGTTCTGCCGATCTTAAGAAGATCTGACCAAGCGCTCGGATAAGACATGGTCGTCGCATCACTTTAAGGATTCGTATCGGCATCGTTAGGAGAAGTCTGCCGGACCTCCGAGTTCTCGTGTTTCGAAGCAAGCCCAACTAGTCGTCTGATAGCTCCACTACGCACGACAACAATGCGCATCAGAAAGAAAGGCGAATCAGGCTGTAGCTTGTTGCTTCGACAGGCTAGGCGATGCAGGCATTCAATCCACTCATACCTGACCTGGGCCATCCAATTATGGCTGTACGCCCTCAAATAAGGCCGCCCGCAATCCTGCCAAATGGTATGAATGCTCCGTTTAGGCGACCAGTGCCAAGTCATATACTCCAGGCCCCCCACATATTCACTGACTTCCAGTCTTGGGGCTCAGTGAACGAAAATGTTAACCTCGCATAGCACATGCAAGACAACTACGCAAGGGGTTTGTCCTTGGCAACGTTCGGGCAAGAGAGAAAGTCATTGCGGCTAGGTTGTATCCTGTGATATCTGCGAGGATAGTTCATCACTAAATGCGCTCTATGTTACCACTCCGTTTTACTCTTCATTCATTCTGAATGTGGTGCTGTTGTTGTACTAATGCGACTTTCAAGTTGACCCAAGATTGATACGCGGCAACTGTTATTGCTTATCTTCATGTTGCGTTGATTGAAACTGCTTCAGGGCAGGGCATTGCTTCATTTCGCAAGTCGCGATGAAGGGGCGCGGGCCGCTCCGTTTGCTTCCCATTATTGCCGTAGCCGTTTCTGAATCGGCCGCAACGGCGACGGTTCGAGGAGAAGGTGTTGAATACCTCGGCATCGAAAATGCGACGTCTGGGTAAGGGATCTCCTCAACCGAGAATTCTGGAAGCCAAGCTGACTGCGTTAGGATTAACACTTTCTTCGGTATCAAGTATGCCGAAGCTCCCGTTGGGCCCTATAGATGGAGACCGCCAGTGCCGGTAGACTACAGCCAATCGCCCGAGACAACCTACATCAACGCTACTATTCCGGGGGACGGTTGCCTGCAGAGTGTACCTCCGTGGTCCTCTGGGTTCACTTTGTTACCAGGTCTCGTTCAAGGCTACAGCGAAGACTGTCTCTTGTTGAATGTTCAAGTGCCCACGAACCCGAAATCAAGCAAGCTCGCAGTTTTAGTGAACATTCATGGCGGCGGTCAGTCTGATATACCTTCTTCGTTTTCCCCTCCCTCCCGTTTCCTCCTGACTTAGGTCTAATTGAGGTTGTGTCCTTTAGGTTATATTGCAGGCACGGCAAGGGACGCGCCTGGCGACAGCCTGGTCTACCATGCGAATGGATCACTGATATATGTGGCCGTCCAGTATCGGCTTGGCTCCTGGGGTTTTCTCGCTGGGGACGAGATCAAAGAGGACGGAACTGCAAATGCTGGCCTCCTAGACCAACGAGCTGCACTCGAATGGGTGCAGAGAAATATTCATTACTTTGGTGGCGATCCTGAGAAAGTCACCATCACAGGGGGTAGCGCCGGTGGAGGCTCTGTGGCCATGCACATGGTTATGAATGGGGGAGACTGGAATCCCCCGTTCCGAGCGGCATTGCCAGGCAGGTTCTCGTAGTCCTGACAACGTTCATTCTACGACAACTAACACAGGCAAGCAGACTACGCCTGGATGACGCCCATGTTTGACGATCAATGGCAAAACATCCAATATAGCTACTTCCTGAAGGGCGCTGATTGTTGCGATGTTGCGTGTCTTCGAGGCCGCACCACCAACGAGCTGCTCAACGCAGAAGCATTCGCGTATTTTGCTGGCTACGGATCGCGCCAATTTGGGTATGGTGACTTCTACTGGGGCCCGGTCATTGATGGACACATTATCCGCGGGCATCCCTTTTCCGAATTCCGCAAAGGTCACTTCACGAAGGTCCCAACGCTCGTTACTCGCAACGGATACGAGGGCATCATGTTCACGAACCAGTCCATAGTCACTGTCGAGGACTCGACCAACATGCTAAAAACCCTGTGGCAAGATGGAGATGGTACTTATGTGGACATCGTTCGCAAGCTCTACCCTTCGGACGAGTACAATAGTACACTAAGATATGGCCTGAATATTGTGGCAGATTCTGGGGGGCCGGCTAGCAGTGCCTACAACTTCCCAGACGAGTTCATGCGCACGCAGGCGGTCTTTGGAGATGCACTCATCAACTGCGCGACCACTTTACTAGCTAATGCTGTAGCCACGGATGGTGTTGCTTCGTTCAAGTTGGTATTCAACGCCGGATATCAGTTGCATGGCGCGACTGGACCGTTTGTGTTTAATAAGGACATAAACCGTGAGTCAACTTTTTGAATTCACCCCTTATCCTATGAGACCTCAAAATGCTTACATCAAGATCCAGCTGATGGATCACTCGATATTGGGTTTGGATATCCAATTGGAGGTAACACGACACTTGCCGGCTATATGAGGGATTGGTATGTATCCTTCGTTCTGAATCTGGAACCCAACGGCTATACCTACGGGTTGAGTCCTGCACCGCATTGGCCACGGTACGGTTCAGGTGGGCATGAAGTGATGTACGTCGAGAAAAACGCCATAAGCGCGATCAACGACCCGGAGAAATCATGCCAATGTAAATTCTTGGAGATGGGGCGTGGAAATGGATATCAGATATGGCCCCAGTGGTGAGGTTGGATGCTTCAGACAATAGAAGGTGTAATCGCCCCCTGTAAATAAGATGCTGGCGTTTCATTAAACAATGAATTATAACGTGTCATGTAACCTACATGGTTTCGATACAACCACGACGAAGCTTGATACAAAGTATTACTCACCCCCTTTTTTCCCTACCCTATCCAAGCTCCATATGTCACACCCCTGATGACTATTATGACCAGTTATTGTACCTGGGATGCTGGTAGCTTCGGCATTGAAGTTCCTGGTTGTTGGGGTTGGGGAGGACGTCAGGAGGGACGTGCGATAGTTGGAACCACATAGCTCGGCGATTCCTATCCCTATCAAGGATCTTGAAAGAGTGGATAGACCAGGATGTTTCGCGTAAGAGAATCAAGAAGTCACCACAAGAGTTCCGACAGGGGGTGACGAGTACATATGGAGACTGCGGACGGATCACAACGAGGCGCTTGGGGCGTATATACCAGAACACTTCGGCGCGGCCGAAAGAAACCATGACAATCATTGGACTAGGATGAGACATGACTAATGAGACCTGAGAACTGAGAAACGAAGTTACTGTATCCTACGAGACGACCTGACTGCGGAAGAGCCGCACCCGAGGCCCTGGACAAAGGGGCATCTAGACCCGTCAGGGCGCGAACAGCGCCCCCAATCTGCAACAATGCCAGATCCCGGGACATCAGGTCTCGGGCAGATGTCCAGCAATACGAAATTGGGGAACCGGCTTGCCGTGTATGCAGGGATTCTTGAGATGCGCCTCCCGGGGATGATTCCCGAGAGGAAATTTTCTCGCATCGGCTGCCGTTCGATGAGCCCAATGGCGAACGGTCAGAGCGGTGAGTTCCTCTGCATACGAGCAACTTGATATTACACGGCAGCCATTCACAGGAGCCCGAAACAGCACCATCAAACACAACGTCGGAGAGTTTCCAGCTTGTCGGGCCTGAATAATACAGTTGGTTACACTGCTGCTGCTTGTCCGATGATCCCGCCAGCCTCTCCAAGGTGCACTTTTGTGACAACTGACCAAGCTTGTTGGGTTTAGAGTTTTATTGGAAATATACGATGTGCCTTGTACGACATGGACTAGAGTGCAGAAATTCTCTCATGGGAAACCTGGTGAGCCTTACGGTGGACCACGGAGGCCTGGATGGAAAAGCGCCATGAGTAAACAAAGACATCGAGGCACTTGCGTGTCTTGGTCCCCGCAAACGCCGTCGAACTCAAACGCGGGTAAAAGGAAAACGAAATGTGATACTTCAGAAGTTGAAATTTTGGATCCTGGACGATGTAACGTCTTTTGGATCTCCAGGGCTCTGGGAAACACAAGTGCCGTGAGGTGCGTCTGCCATCGGGCAGAAGTGCCTGCCTTCGTGGCCTTGGCAATCGCCGAATACATGGCGACCCTTGAAGACTGGCGCGGAACAATTCCCGGGTCCCTTACCTCCGCGTACTGCATGCATGTCCGCTCGCTAGTCCCGACGGGCAGCCGCTGCAAAGCCAGCTGAAAAGAAATGAGACTGAGTGCCTGCAGTGGCTCATCGTGCAGGACGACGCAGATCGTGTCGTGTCGTGTCGTGTCGTGTCGTGCCGATGCATCACATCGAACATGGACATGAGTCGCATCCCTTTGCACCTTTTGGAGGCGTCCACCCAAAGCGGTGGGAATGTGACAGGTCGGTCGCCCATCCGCACGCCAGTCTTGTACGGATCGGGCTTAAAAGGGTGGCCCGCGCGGGCTGGACCGGCGTCACCACCCCCGGCCCCGCCCCAGCAGTCGCTCACGCAGGGCCTTTCCCCTTCGGGCCATTAATTGGTTTGACCCGACGACGTGGTTGCTGGTACAATGCAGCCCCTTTTAAGCTTGCATTAGTCCTGCAGCCCTTGGGGGGACAGTAGTGTTTTGGTGTCCTTTCTTATCCCGAGGGAAATCATAGGCAGAAGAAAAAGCTGGGCCAGCTGGCGTTTGGGTCTTCCTTGCGACGGACGTTTTCGGCTGCTTGTTTTTCAAAAGTAACAAATCGCCGGCTACACTGGTTTGCTTCGTGCCGCAAAGTTTTATTTTGTGTGGTCGGGCAAGAAAGCAAATGATGCGTATGCTTGGCCGTTTCTGGTTAACCCCCCCAAGTTGTCATGAAGGGGCTGGTCTGGTGTCGCAGTATATGCTTGCTTTCTGTTGTTTCGTAATCATGACCACCTACCTGACTCGGTCCCGCAATAGAAGGGAGATTGGGAGAGGGTTGCGCATTCCAGAATCCGTTCCCCGAATGATTGTCTTTCTTACGTTGTTCGTCTGCGTAAGCCCGACCCTGTCAGCGGGAGGGTGTGTGTCATCCGCACATGCAGCATGTACATATGCAGGTCTCTATTTTTGTGATCTCATTGAGCGGCTCCAGGGGTGGGTGGAAGACTGCGTGCGCATTTGCGGACATCGGTCTGTTATGGGATGACCATGGGGGGTTTGGTGTACAGCATACCTCGCCAAAATTTACTACTTGTTTGCCCGAGTCTGATACCTGGACAATCTAGCTATTCGGCCGAAAGTGAGATGTGTTCCAGTGTGTCGCGCGGTCTCGGTTATCTGGACAGGGAAAGAAGCAAACAACCAGACATGTCATAATGTCTTTGTTCCAACGCCGTCCCAAGCCCCGACGAACAAATCGATTCTTAGCAGCAGTGGCAATTTTCCCTCGGTGATACCTGCACGGTCGTTGACAAAAGCGAAGTGTGAATACTAATGTTATCCATCTTTGTCCGATCATGCTCGGTGCTGTGTAGCTATGGTACTCCTGTGTTACTGTACAGTCTAACCGGGGTATCTTCTATCATCCGGGTTCCAGCCCAGCGACCAAACAAAAATTGCTGGACATCCCGCAACCAATAGAGCGTGAATAGGACGGCGGCGAGCCGTCCGAGAGTGTTGCCTATTATCCCTCACAGTAGAAATCAACCCTGCAATATCCTGGAGGTCCAACTCCCCAGCAGTACAAGCCGTAAAACCCTGAACGCATGTCCCCGCGAAGGGATCCTCAAGTGATCTGGAGATACAAAGGAAATAGAAAACAGAAAGTCTATATGCGATCAAAGCAATTCTTTTCCCGACCCATTCCCGATTTTTTGTAGCCCAACCCAATAACTGCGCATCGCGAAGTTGAAAAAGAAATCCGTATGCTGCGACCATGACCAAAAACCAAAAGGGGTATTAATAAAGGATATGTCGAGAACGACTGTGATTGCGAACCGAGTTCATGCCACGTGCGAGAACGTTGCCATCTCGCACGGGGACAAGAGATAGACCCGTGGGCTTGGATCGAGGGATGAAGAGTCGTGGGTATGCCGTGCGAACAGCTGCTTGCGAAGCGCGATGCAAGAAATTCCGAGGCCGCAATGCCTCAGAAGCCCACAGATTCCATAAGCCAACCAGTCTATTTTGAACGCCGTGAAAATTGAACAGAATTCCCAAGTGCGTGTGCGAAAAAGTGTAGCGATGATCCTCCTCCCTTGCTGCTGGGAAGCAAGTGGCGCCGAGCCAAATGTGTTTCTAGGCGGATCGGAATGTGATGTATTAAAAGTGTATTCGGAATGCGGATCATGTCGCAAAATTGTTGTACAGTCGGAAGCCGAAGTGATTATGGTTGTAAGCCGTAGTGTAAAGTATGGGGCTTGCCGCCCAAGCCGTGAAATCGGATCAGTGCGTAAGCGGTCGCTGGACAAAAAGGCAACGCTTTGAAGATTGCAAACTAGCTCGCAACGCGGAAAAGTGCGGACCAGTCCTGTGGACCGTAGTCGCATTGATGGAGATGAGGTCAAGTGTCGCGAAATTGCATGTCATGACACTTATCGTGGCTTGGGCCTCGGGGGTGGTTTGGGCACACCTGTCGTGTCGTAGGCACCGCGGCCCATGTTGGCCGAAGCTTGAAGACCTCTGTCAATCATTGTGAATGAAGATGAGGTGTGCGAGAACAAGACTATACGCAAAAGATTCCATCGTCAGCTCGGGTTCCCCAAATGCGTTGCGATCCCATTGTTATATATAAAAGCGTGGGCTGCCCGGGAGGGTGCTTCCCGCAGTCCCGTCTCGCCGCCCAAGCGTCGTTATGAGATTGTGACGGCCAAGGCAGCGACAGGTACGCGAACAGAAGGTGGCAGAAACAAGGGGTCAGCTCGGAGCTGCGCGTCTGACTCACCAAAATGGACGTCGCAGTGCAGCGACGTGTGAAATCGGGATGGTGCGGGATGGGATTGGCGAAGGTCCTGGGGCGATGATGCAGCAAGTGCAGGGAGCGTTGCCGAATAGCAGCAGACTTCAGATGCGTCAAATCCAGGGTATGAGTCGTGGCCAAATCAGAGTGTGGATGGGTCGCAATCAACAGCTGATATCAGCACCGGAGCGTCAGGGAGATGACGGCAAGGACGGATTTATATAATCGGCAGCTCTCAATGTTTGCCGTGGGTATCTCTCTTGGAGCTGAAAGCTGGTGTTGCGGAAGCCTTTCGACCGAGGCTGATGGGTTTGAGACAGCAGAGAAGCCTGGTCTTTGTCGCCAATACGTGGGATCTTTCGCGAAGGTCACGCAGGTTTCGGGAGCGCGAGCCTATTATGGGTCTTGTTGTTGAATTATTGCTGTCTTGGTTCGTATGGACGTATGCCAGGTACGATGCAGGCCGCTGGGCTGAAGGCGGAGCCGTTGCGAGGTGCGAGTGGACCGAATCGCTAAAATGCAGCACGGAAAGAGCAGCGCTGGAACGGTGTTGTACAACGGAAGTGTCGCCGAGGGTTGCAAGTAAAGTCGGTCCTGGTTCCAACGTCGCGACAAGAACTGCAAGAGTAAAACACAGAGCTAGAGAGCGACAGCTGAGGCGACGAAGGCACTATTGTACACGCAGGAAATCTAGGAGATAGGAAACTTCCAGTGAAATGAGTCGGGCAGTGGATGGGGGCTCATTTCTGTCTTATAGCCTGCTGTCTAAAGGGGAAAAGGAAAAAAAAG